GATATCCATTTTTTCTGTACTTTAAGTGTACTGCCAAGAGCAAGTGTTCTATCAATCTGTATGCATTGCACTAATCAGACCCAAAACCCCCACTTTGTTCTGAGGGACTGTGCGAAACCTCATTCACTGAAATTGTTGTTAATCCTTCCTGATCTTTGTGGATCTAAATCTGGCCATGCTTACCGATAAACAGTTTAAAGAGTTGAAGGTCAGTTTCATCGAAACAGCTACTTCTATCATTCATGGCATCCTTCATCCTGTGCAGATATTCAAAAGCATCCACAGTTCGCACCTGCTTGTTGATTACCAGAGATTTATTGTACTCCTGTCGATAACCACAACATTAAAATCACACAAATCTTTCTCCACAAACTTTACTACACCACTCTTTTATATGGAGACTAAGTTTATCAAAAGGTATCCACCACTGCATGGAATGAAAAGAATATTTCTACTTCCCAAAATTTATCCTTAAGTGCAATCTGCTTGTTCCATATTTCCCTACTCAATTCATTATTACTTTCATAAATTAGAGAACACTCTCCCATACCATTAAATGAGTAATACAGGTTTGCAGCATGCGGTAGACAGCGTCCTGCCCGTTCTTGATGAATATTTGTGCACTGCGCTTCATTCGGTCACACCACTGACGATATGCCTGGCTACCTCGCTGGCTGGGGATGCACGCAGACCTAATGAATTTTTGGACGTCCAGACCTATAGGAAAACGTACGTACACTTGATTCCTAAAACAAACATTTTTGGCTAATACTTTTTTTTTTAGATCGATCAAATGAAATGCTCATTGTCAGCTTCCATGTGGTGATACGACAATTTTCTCAATTCTGGCGAGAGAGATTTACTTTTTAATCCTAAATTACAACAGCCGCAGACTAACCTTATGTAATTAGTTTTTGTGTTGTTAAGTAATGGATAGTCAAGGAACCAAGAGTTATCGTAATTTCATTAGACTCATGGTGACATAATCAAAATTCACCAAGAACTTTAGACCAGTCGTAAATTGGCACAGAGGAAGAAAACAGAACCATGACCTTGCTATATCAATACGTAGTCAGTCATTTAGAAACAGTCTAGGAACATTTTCCATACCATTTAACCCCATCCAACTTACTTGAAGATTCATTAAGCATCTTTTCAATTTTCTCCATGATCTGGTTAATCTTTTCAGCAAATGGATCCTTCTCTCTGCATTTTATTTCAATGGGCTCGACTGCCAATGAAAAGAAAACTAGAATCAGTGATTTTGTCACTCGTTTATCAGGTTGTCAATACTGCTGTCGCCTGCAATTTGATGACACGTTAATCTGCATGTATGAAGTGCTACAGACATGCTTCAAAAAAACTCACAATTAAACTTTCCATCAAAGTTTTTCCCAATCATTCTGATTCACTTTAAATTCTGCATATTTTTACTGCTTACTGACCTTCTTGAGGGATGTTGACCCGCAATTCTAACACTGCTACATTTCTGATAACCATGGAGATGCACTCAGCACCCATATTGGCACAAATCTGGACGGCGTGATTGTCAGCATCATCCTGCGTCTTGGCTTTGCCAGTCCCCAGGCTGGCTGTCATACCAATGATCTGCAAGACCCCATGAAAGTGGTGTACAGCATCAGTCAATGATCTCTTCTCAAGGTCAATTGTGTGAACGGTCAAAGAGATCACGGTTACCACTACTGATGAATCATTTATAATGTAAAGCAGCAATCCTAGCTGTCAGGTTTACACTGAAAAAGTTGTACTTCAGCGAGGACAATAAGATGAAAGCTCCAGTGCAGTGTTGAATATTCTTACTTCAGCCTTAGAGAGATCACTTTTAGATCTTAATGTGACCTTACCTGTGGTAAGTTTGTCTTGCCTTGCCGTTTTTCATCTAGGTAGCGCGCCATAATTGTATTGTAGGCATGACCTTTCTGCAACCATATGAAAGTCAATCATTGGGTAATAAATAAATGGTACTCCTCTAAAGAAATTTGACAGTTGTTTATGTTATGAGAACAGAGGGAACCAGCCAATGGAAAAGAATCTAACCTATTAATTGCACCACTCTCCCTGGAAAAAATGTTGGGTTTTTTCAGAATAATACGGCCGTTTCACAATAGTGCACCACCAAAATTTTGCAACGCATTGGCCAATCACAATGCGCGAAAGTTGTTGACCCAAAGCGTGTTTAGAAAAAGTTGACAAATTTCGAGCGTTGTGATTGGCCAACGTGTTGCAAACTCTTGGAGGTGCCCTATTGTGAAACGGTCCTATTGCAGTTAAGGCTTCCAGGAACAGAAGTAAACCTACCACTCAGTCATTTATCTTTAGAAAACAGCACACACGGCATGCTGTCGACCCAAGTTTGATTGAAACAATGTATCTTTAAAGACTCAATGACTCATTATTGCAACAGAAAACCTTTGATATCAAAAAGTGTCCATCTTGAGTTTTCTTAAAACTGTCATGACTGGAAAAGAGAAAAAGTAGACTCACTGACACAATCAAGTACAACTCAACAGTTTGAGTGTTTTTCACTGTAGTAAGACTCAAGCTAAAAAACCCTTACTTGGCAGAGATGGCACTCGTCAAACACCAGCAGAGAGAATTCTTCCAGGGAAATTTCCTTCACGGCATTTTCTAACAACTGCGCCGTCAGCACGATGACGTTCCTGCTGGCTACCTCTTCCTTCAAGGACAACTCTGAAGCCCCATGGATTCCAATGACGGAGAAAAAGCTTGTGGGCTCAAGAACCTCCTTCAGTTTTTCTTGCTGCTGGCCGACTAAATTGACCTGCGAGAAAATGTTTAAAAATGGAAGATTTAGAAAAAATCTGCGACTCACACCAGAAAATATATGCACTAGCTAAACATCCCTATAGTCCACGATGAAACCAAATTTTCCAACATTTAAGAGTGTGGCTCAATTACTACAAAGACTGTATAAAGCTGAATTTAATTATGTTCTAAACTTATCCGTAGTAACTAAAAATACAGCAGCTTTTCAGTGACAAATCTTCATAAATAGAACCTTCCACTTACAGTGTTGACGAGGAACAGGGCACGTCTTTTGTTTACAGGTTTTGGTAGGTTAGCAATAAAGTGATCATGGATGATGTATGCTGCCACGTGAGTCTTGCCAGATCCCGTAGGGGCTACAAGGACAGTGTTCTTCCCTGCCACGGCATTTTCAGCAAGCTCCAGTTGGTCTTCATATAAGTTTGGTCTCTTTATCTCGATACCTTCCATGCTTGATTTTCCTGAAGAAAGTACAATATTGTTATATTCTCACTTGATCTTTTTGTACAATTTGGTTACACTATATCATAAGCATTCATCTTCAAGAACTGTAGCGAGTGGTCATCTGAAACAACTGCAGGAGATGACTTGGGAGTTTTATGAGTTGATCAAGTGGTAGACTTTACAAGTGGACGAGGGCTAACAAATGATTCAGTCACTGAATTTGTTACATCAGAGTAAGGGGATTCAGAGTAAGACAGAACTAAAAGAAAGATTGCCTCTTGTGTAAATACAATAAGAATGAATGATGACGGACAATTCAGGATATTTTTGTATCTCCTTACTTCATCTGCTGTTGGTAGAGTTAAACTTCATCAAGGTAGAAATACTTGATTGTTTATATATCTTTTAATAATGCACTCCTTGACAATCATAATGCCATACAAGTCTCTTCAACCTTCTCTGCATACAGAAGAGGCTATTATACAAAACGATTTTACCCATGCCTGGTGGTGTGTCATCAACATTGCTCATTGGTGTTCTGTACACATCACGTACGTCCTCATGCCTGGGTACCTTGGCGTGGTCAGGCTCATCATCTCCTCTACACCGGTCATCTTGCTGTAAATCTGCTTCTCCATCTGAACACATCGGATAAAAGGACTCTGACCATGAGAACGATGTCCATACAAATCACCCTTTTGGATATCGAAGGTGAGCCAATTTAAATCGGTAAAATCATGCAAGTTGGGGACATCTTATCACTTGCCTCAAAATCCTATGTGAAAGATTTAATATGGCTATAACATTTCTGAGGGAAAATCCCCAAATTGGAAGTGGGTTTTAAGATTTTGACTTATTATGAATGAAAGACTTTTAGCACAAACTGCAACATTACAAGGAAAAAAAGAAGAAACTGTAAAAATGAAGAGATTTTCAAATGAGGCTTTCACCATTTCCTGGCATTGTGCCTGCATTAAAAACATCAATTAAAAGTGGCCTATAATATGACACTTAAAAAAATTCAAGATCTTGAACAGTGCACGAACATGGTCGGTGCACAAAATGTAAAAAGCAAAGCTTGGTCATTCTTGCCTGGCATTTGATCTGGTCTGCATCTCTGCTCTCCTATATTCATGGTGTTCCTTTCGCCACCAACCATTGCTCTGACATTTTGGCTGTTGACGATGTTCACTTTGTTATTGGTGGTGTTGTTATAGATGTTCTGGACATTCTGTTGTATGACCGTATTATTGTACACTGCTACGAATTAGAGAAAAGAACCGGATGCAAATGAGTGAATCAGCAATTAATGTAAAAAACACACCCGTTTTTAGAGTAAGAGACAGGATACATGAAGTACACGGAAAATAAACATTGTGCCAACTTCGTCCAAAATTAATCATTCATATACTTTCTCTGCATCGCAATTCAAGCATTTATAACTGAACTCTTTTCCAGTAAGGTATAAAGACATATCTCCATCCCCGACCTGATGCACCCCCTTATCAACAAATGAGAGATATGTTGGTGTGAATCCTTACATCTGGGTGCCCCACACAGGTGTTGAGACCATATAATCTAATGTATGTTGGTCACATGGACCTATGCGTCCAACACTGAAACCCGAGCACGAGGTGAGTTTCCACCAAGAGGAACCATCACTGCAATGTTACAGAGTGGATTACTTCTCATCGGACATAATTGCTTACCTGGCCCGAAATTTGGTCTACCTCTATTTCTCTTGAACAAGACCATTTTTTCTTGATATGTTCTTCGTCTCTTAGGGCTTCTGGAGGATTCTCGAGAAGAAGCTGGCCTTGACCGTTTCTCTGAGCGTGACCGTGTCCGGGAGGTTCTACAATGCAAGGATCAAGTCAAATTTAATATTTATGACAAAAACTCAGAACAAAGTACCTCACTTTGCCTTTTTTCATGACATGCCATTACCTGGCAATGTAGTCCCTAATCAAATCTTCACAAGAGTCAACAAGTCCTCACACGTCCATTACAACTCTTTCGATTTCAAGTCATCTTAAGCTTTGCGGTGAACCACGACAAAGGCATGTTTATGTCAATATTCAGTTCCTCCTTATAATTTGTGCCGGGCCTTCGGCTCTGACGTGCATTTGATTTGCCGAAACTTATGCTAGAGTTGTGATGAAGACTTGAGATGAACCTGAATTCAGCTCTGTGATGAGTACACAACAGCATGCAGCGCTACCACAAGTAACATCAGTTACACTATTTTGCTCAACACCAACCACATCCAGACTCCATCATGTGTTTGTATTTTCATTCTATTTTTTCAGACACTTGTCATAGTCTTAACACCAGAATAAACATCACACCATTAAGTATATTGCTACTTGCGGAGAGCATGGTTGGAGAAGCTTACGATGTAGGCGGTCCCATTGATTGCGAGCGTCTCTCTGGTTGCTGATGACTAGGGTATTGCATGCCGCTCATACCTTCTCCTTAAAGCACACAAAAAGAGAAGGTAAACATACTGGGCGATTCCATGGTAACAGAGAGATGATTTGGACATAGTTTGACCCCCCTTACACGTTGTGAATTGTGAATATAAACAAATAAAGAAAGGACCACTAAACTAATACTTGTGGCACTTAAAAAAGAAAAATTATTTTGCTAATTATGAATATTAATGTGCTTGGTAAGGCAATGATGCTATCTATTTGTTTAGCACCATTCCGTTACTCTGGAGTTGTCCTGTCCATAGCTTGCAAGAGTCTTGCAACCAGACAGACTTGGTGATGTCTTCGTTCAGATCAATAATCAGGTTACTTCCTTAAATGGTTTGCCAAGTACAATCATTTGTGTCATGGTCATTTAGTTAGTGACGATGACAATGACAGTGATGTAAGTCAGATCACCATATATTACCTGACACTCTCTGTTCCATTGGTCTATGCCTGTCTGGACACCGATAATCCTCCAAGCTCAAAGCAGCAAGGCCAAGACTGGTCTCTTCACTGAATCTAGCTTCAGTCGTGGCTCGCAATGCTTGTGTCTCCATTGCATTTTCTACCAAAGAGGCAAAGCAATCCAAGAAAAAGTGTGACTTTTCTGACAAGACAGTTTGATTCTTAACCCTTGCAGCATCCCAGAAACTTGAAAAAGTGACAGTACTAAAAACGTTCTGAGCAAAATTGATATTTCCAAAATTTCTTGGTAATTTTCTTTGTCGAGTTATAGGAAAAGTGTAGCAGATTAAAATTAGGAAATGAGATAAACAAAGGTTGCCTGTAAGTCATTTAACCACTTGCTGCCAGGAAACCCTGCGTCAAGCACCATGGGTTTATATGCAGAGCCGGGCTGCCCAAAATTAGACAAAAGAGCTGGTGCGTGTAACAAAAGATAGTACTTGGAACAAAAGACCCTGCTGCTGGGAATCGCCATAATTTTTGGGCTTGCATTTTTTGAAGGTAATCAGTCACTGTTTTTAAACAGGATGTACCACTGTTTTGGGCATAGTGTGCCCACGGATAAGGGCCCCATTGATGAGCAACACAGCACCGCTGCATGCTAATCCAGTGCGTTTGAAAAGACAGCACTCGCATTCCCTGGGAACAAAGGAATTACACAACACCTCACAATTTTGGGCTCTCTTCACAGGGTGGCAGGCCTCGCTGAAATACTCAGGAGTCAATGGAGGTTTCCTGTCAGTTAGAGTAGCCACCAAACAGTCATTCATGTGGGTGTAAACCATTTTTAAAAGCACCCAGCAGCAAGTGGTTAAATGTTTATTTCTGAATTTACAAAGCCAGCCATCTACTGTTTCGGCAGTTTGTTTTATTATCAAACCAGCTGCCACAACCCAAAAACAAAGATTCTGGACTTGAGTTCCATCCCCCTAACCAGGTCTTTTTCAGTCCTCAAACTTTGTTCTTCATGCTGTGCACTAATGCTGTAAAATATCTCTGCAGAAGACACCATAAGAAAAAATACCTTCTTCATTTTGAAAGTCCACTCGCATTTGCCTTGCGACGTTTCCTTGGCCAGTGTTTTCCAACGCAGTCAGGAATTCATTAAACCACTCTGGAGCAAGCGTTCTTAGTGTCAGATGAAGCAATGCACACCTTGCAAGATCAAGGTGCCCATTGGCATATGTAGCCATAATGCGCTCTCTATCATCAATGTGAATGTATGTGAGGTGCGGAATCATGCCAGAAGGATCGATATCCTGTGCGAGTCTTTGATAATGCTTCTTTATCAGTCCACGCTCTCTGTCGTATTGGGGGATGTTGCGGACTCCCTCGATGTGGTCAGCCAGTAGCCTGTTGGTATCGCCGTCTGGAAAGTAATAGGAAAAATCACAATATGGCTCTAAAACCAGACAGATGTTGACATCAGTGAAAGCATATGAGAGTATTCAGATTGAAGAACAAAGAACCAGTTTTTATGAGACGCAAATATTTATTTATGTCAGCAATTAAGTTTGTCCAGGGATTTTCCTGTGCCAATTACACAGAGGATATCAATATCTGTATCCAAGGTAGTGAAAATGAAAAACTCATCCCCATATGCTAGAGTAACATTTTAGTCTCAATAAATAATGTCTATATTCAACATGTGCGGATAGTCCAAGTAACAACTATGTGCGATTTTGAGTGTGTATGATCCCTGGTGTTAGATTTCTACCTGATTGCTTCAAAGCTGAAATGAACTGTGACACAACATCTGATGGATTAAACCAAATTATCCTCAATAAAAACCGGATCCTGTCCTCTCTTGATTCTTTCCTTAAGATGCTTTCTTGCTCGTCTGTGGAAATAAAAACAGGAGAACGATCATTACGATAGAACCAAAGAACGAATCAGTTGCACAATAAATATGGTACATTTAAGAATGGAAAGATTTCAGATCGCACCAGCAGCAACTGGAAACAAGTCTACATGCTTCACAATTTCAAGACGTAAGACTTTCTGTTTGCATCACTGTATAATTCATTTGATTAGTAGTGATCTAACTGTGGACTGGTAAACTTGTTAACCAGCAATTTTTAAGCAGTCTTTGATGACTATCTGCAAGTGTAAAGCTGGGGCATAAGTTCAGTCATTCAAGGAATTAACCACTTGTAGACGATATCATGTTTGACAGAAAATATCAATTTTTGAAGAATACAATGTCTGATAGACATACAGGCCAAACGCCATGAATCCTGAATTACAAGAGTCATTTGAAACTATAGTTGTGCAACAGTGCTTGATGACAAGTTCTTACTTTTTCAACAAAATAAAGCATGCCCACAGAGTGATACATGTATATTTGCTACCACACAGGCTTGGGTTCAGCAACCAAGTTCAACACAAAGTCTACCTACCAACTGAAATGAGACATGATTGCACCAGTGCACCCAGGAAACCAGAGTCTATTGATAGGTGGTTCAGAAGCGGAGCCCTGAAGACAACAGTTAGGAGGCCATTATTGGCTGATGATGGATCTCCAGATCCCTTGAACTTCTGTTGATTCAGAGCCGCCATCATGCATTAGAAAAGTGTCCTTCAAAAACCAAAAGTGATTCCTTCAACTAATAAACTCTGCAGCTCAGGATGTGGAGGTATGACTCAAACCAAACAAAAAAATCATCACGTCAAAGTATCCATTGGCAGATCCTAGGAGGGGGCAAGGGTCTGGGATCAAGAATGCCCCCAAAGGGTCCATTTGTTGTATTTGAGATATAGTGATTGGAGATTTTTTGGAACAATTTCACTTCCTATCTTTCCCCAAGAGTGTAAAAAGTCCCGGAATTTAGTCTCACCCGTAAGAAAGAGGCAGGAAGGTAATCAGCCTACATAATGAAATTCTAAACTTAAATTAGACACGACATAAAAACTGCCTTCCCCAAAATTAAAAACAACAACGAAAATTAATTCTGAATCTGCTCTTGGAAGCAGCATAGGCTATATCCGAATCTCTTGTCTAAAGCTAGGTCTAGGTCTTCCCTCCATTGGACAATAGACCTTGCCGTAGTTCAGGAAGCCCGTTTCGGACACAGCCATAAACTCACTTTGCTTTCATTCTTGAGGTCGGAGATTGTTCCATTATTGCACTTGACGTCTGGGGAAAGGGGCAACTCTCCATTCACTTTCTACAGGGATTCGTATGTTTTCTTTTGTTTGGCAACAATATGATAAAAATTACTGAAACCTTTTCAGTACAGAGTGGGAGATGTTTATAGCGCATAAATAGTGAATTTTCAGACACGTTTGATGTAAAGGTCAAGAGTTTAGTCAGTAATTCAGATTTTTCCACCTAGACCGCAACACTATTTTTGCCCCTTTCAGTTTTGAGTGTGAAATATGGAATAGCCATCAACTGACCAATCAGAGAGAGAATCAAGAATCAGTGACATCATCCTGACCTCTAGAATGGAGTAATCAGGCTCTGTCCAACCTGGTCCGAGTAACTTAGATGGAATCGCCCGACCATGTCCAAATGTTAAAACAGGTGATCTGTAGAGTCCGAGTTACTCGGATTATATCCGGCCCTACAGTCAGGAATTTATTCCATATGAACTTCATGGCATTATTACCTTGGCCTAAATTTCTGAAGGCCATAAGATTTTTATTAGCATACAATCTTCTGCTCTTTGTGCATCGGGATCCATCAGCTTCCACCTTAGCTTAGGCCGTGTCCAAAACGGGCTTCCAGAGCTACGGCTAGGTCTATTGTCTACGCATCTCCATGCATTTCCAATGGAGCGAAGACCTAGACCTAGCTCTAGACAAGAGATTCCGATGCAGCCTAAGTTTCAACTTCAAGCTAGACCGAAAAGTATTGATAACGGATAGTTACAAGGCATAAGCCTAAATCTGTTTCCTCGTGCTAATTTCTTGGAGAGTTTGATACACGGACATCATTTGACACCCTGTGCAAAATTAAAACCCAATGTTGCCAAAAAAGAATGGTCTAAAAAAAGGCTTAGACAGTGTCAGTGTTGAGATCTGGCACATACCACGCACGGAAGTTTACAATGGATACGTACCTGACAATCGTGAATTATTCTTGTTTGAACCCGGAGCGGTCACGGCGGCATGGTGCCCGATACGTAGGCGGCTTTTTAGGACGTTAGGTCCCGTCCATCCGCCCGTAATATCATATCGAAATGATGTCAACCAGCAAACTTTCTGCGACAATGGTGTTTTGAAGGTACTGCAACAATGCAATCCAAGAGATGACCATCGGCACGCGGCAGTGCGTATCACTTTTTTCATGAAATAACACAGGCACATTATTCCATAGCGCGCAAGCCTTCGCACGTACGGGAACCGTGAGCTGCACTGTGCGATGAGAAATCGCGGGGATTCCCCCAATGTGCAATCATATAGGCGCGCACAAACAAGCGAAAGTAACAGCGCCACCATAATATTTCTTCAAGCTTTACGTCGAGACCGTATGATTACAGATTGTCTTCTAGGTCATTCAAAACAGTGCAACTTTACAAGGCAACTTGTTCAATTTTATGACAACTTTTTGTATGATCTACACTCTAAACAGGCTCTCGTGGGGGCACTTTATCTGTGCTTTTTCATGTTATAATTACAAATTTTCGGGTGCGAATTAATTTCACATTGCTTTAAAAGTGTTTTTTCCCTACAGTCCAATAGATTTTGTGAATAAAAAAGACGTAGAGATAAAACAAAAGACCCTTTTTTTGGATTTAATAAAACAAACTATGCATGCACTTCGTCTGACAGTTTACAATTACTGTTGTGATATTATGGATAACATGTAAATTGTAAGGGTGGTGTCTAGAAAGAGCACTGACGACATTGATATTCAGTTTTAAACGAGTTTCATTTTTCAACAAAGAACTCTTTTGGCATGGTCGTTCCCTTCTGCCTTAAAAGTTCCTGAATTATTTTCATTTTGAATGGGAAAACTAGGTTCCAATGCTGCAAAATTCTTCAAACGTTTAGCCCAGAAACAGTTTGAACGGAAAAATGTACATACTCATGTCAAAACTCACCAACAAATCGGTGAAATAAAAAGTCTTGTCTTGAGTTTAATGCTTTATTTGAGTGTGTGATGTTAATTTTCCCAAGATTAAACATAATCCCCACTTTTGAGTTGGAATTGCCCAACTTCACAAAATACTCTAAACCGAAACATCTCCTTTTCACACAGTGTTTCATTGAAGAAAAATATTACTTAATGTTTGACTCGGGTTCACTTCCCCTATAGGCCCATGCTCCCCCCCCCCCTTTGGCCGCCCAGAAGCTAGCTCGCCGCGGCAAGTCCAAAAGCATGGCTTGGGAATTGTTTACCCTCCCTTCACCCATGTGAAAAACTTAACTCAATGCCTTTTCATTTATTCATTTTTTTTTATCTCTTAACCACGTAATTCTAACAGCAAGAAAAATCGCTATTTACAGGAAAGGTACAATTAAACAAATATGATAAACCATAAAGACAAATATGTATAAAACATTACAAATATGAAAACATATACATATATAAAAATGAAAATGAGCTAAGTAAGTATCGGTCCCTATTCACAAGCTACCGGATTTGCATTTATGATCTATTTTCAGCATCTCAAGAACAGCTGTTGAATACTCTATCTTGGCAACATGCCAAAAAAGCACTCCATGGAATGCACTTGCCACTGAAAACACCTCAAACGTACGTGTCCACGACCGTTTTTTAGTAAAGCAATTGAAACACTGAAAAACCAAAACAGAAACCGAGAAAAATAAAGTAAAGTAAAGTAAATAAAGTTTCGTAAAGCAATTGAAACCTTGAAAAAACAAAACAGAAACCGAGAAAAATAAACAAACATGTAATTAGAGAAAGTCAGACTTGTTTTAAGAATGAAAACATAAACAATGAACATCGCATTTATATTTCAATTTCTTAAACCGACCGGCCTATGCAATCTTACTATGTTCCATCTCACGTTGATTTTTTTAATAACCTTAAACGAACCCGTCACAGCCCTGTCGCACTGACTCACTTCTACACTGTTTACACACTGAGCGCATGCGCATTATACATATTACCAAATATGGATTTGCAGAGCGCTCTGGTCGCTTAGACGTGTATTCAGCCATTTTGTGCTATTTGCACTCTGTACAATTTGAAAGCATAGGTTTTGTCCTAAGTTGCCTCCTGTGAATCCACATTAGTGAACACTGTGTTAGACAAAAGAAGTGTCCCTAGCTCACCTTGGAAAGGTGTTTCACTGCAAATGCAAGATAATTTGGTAATAAGATACTTCACTGAATTATACTTATAGTGAAATTTAAAAAAATTAAGTACTTTTTGTTATCATAATCTTCTTTGCAGTTCAGGTGGATATTTTATTTTAAGTGGTCTCCATCAGATAATGTCTGCAGTTATCACACTTTGCAAAAATGGTGTCTTTAGGTCTAGTCTCAAGGGGCAAAATGTGTTTTTCCCCAAAACTGTGGTCCCATTTTCACCAGTAAGAATTCTCCCCATATCCATCCCCCCCAGATCAGTTGTTGGTACCGTTTGTAAAATGCTGGTACTTTTAATTCAAGATCAAAAAACAGAATCACCCACATGCTCCGGGGGATACGTAGGCCTGATGAGCAGTGCGTAGCGTACGACGTTTGACTCGTATGCTAACTGCATGTAATTAGGTTCATACGACTGGAGATGGAGTCTACCACGTACTTGCCAGCTTCGAATCACCTGTACGTTCGAAACCCATGGGAACCCCTTCTATTATTCGATGTGAGCTGTGCAGTAGTGCGGGGGGCACATTAATTTTGAAAGCTAACCGCTTCGTGGCCCCACCCTAGGGGATTGGCCTGAGTAAAAAAGATTGCCTTATTTGGCTAAGGTTGAAATAAGCTGCCCCTGGAATTAGTACGTCTGCGCACAAAGCCTCATCGCCGAAAATAAAACCTGGCATCACAGATACCTTGTGTAAATGTAAACAATAGTTCTAACGTGCTCCATCGACTGCCAGGTCAACGGGCTTCCTGTAAACTCATGAATAATACATCTTACTCATCAAATACAAATATCATTGGGGAGAATCTCAGAAACTGATGTAATGACTTTGCTCTCAAGTTTTCCTTATTTGGAGGCAAGATTTCTGCCACCAACTGTATATATAGGGGTACCTTGCTCCCTTCCAGCCAAGAAAACCACCTGCGATGAAAGAGAGACCTTCTGACTGATTTGAAGCACGGAACAAGAGCCGACAGTCGTACTGACAGCTACATTTTCGTCTCGATAAAACCCTCAAGAGATATACGGCACAAGTCAATACATCGACAGAGCTGCTACAACTCCGGTAAAAACATTTCTGTTAGGTTTCCCAGTTAACATGGGATCCAGTAAAGATAAAAGTATATATGATGTCTCCAAGTACAATATTATTTGGAACTCCACACGAAAAGTTGAAATTACCAAGACCTCCGCCGTGGTTAAGCCTGCTTTAACTTGCAGATTGCGAAAATTCAATTAGAGCTGAAAGACTCATAATTTTTTCTGGACAACCATGTTCTTTTTCCTTCAAAAAAGGTAAAGTTTCGGTACTGCATTCTTGAAGATACAAATCGAGTCTGCGGAAAGCACCTTTTCAAATTTAAAAAAAAATCACAATGCTAGGCCAATTTCCTTTCAATTCTTTAAATGTGATTAATGTTATTTCTATTTGGCAGGTGATATTCTAATCTTTCCTAACTAACGAGAATCGACAGCATCATGTCTGCATTCGAAGACGATGACATTTGCCCGTTGGTAGTAGATAATGGCTCCGGCATGTGTAAGGCTGGTTTCGCCGGGGACGATGCCCCTCGAGCCGTCTTCCCAGCTGTGGTGGGCAGACCTCGTCACGAGGTAATCAAAGATCTTAATTTCTGTGTTTTGGGTAATTTTGACCAGTTCTGTAATTCCTGGAGTTTGTTTTGCTTCCCCCCTCCCCCCAGAAAAAAAGTGCACTTGGCCCAGAGTAGACAAATTAAAGTTGATGTCAAGTCAAGACAAAATACTTGCGCACCTTACTGAGACGTAGAAATTCGCAAGATTTCCTGTGTATTGTAAATTGGGGGGGTTCTATGTGATCTGTCCCTTATCCCTCAACTGTTCTTTAGTTAGCAATTCTGTAATATTTTTCGCGCAAGACATGCTTTAAATTTATTCTTACACAAATGAGTTAAATTTAGTTTTTGACACATTCCCATTTATTTTTTAAAAATCTCAGGTAATGATGGTGGGAATGGGCAAGAAGGACAGCTACATCGGTGACGAAGCCCAGAGCAAGCGAGGAATTCTGACCCTCAAATATCCCATAGAGCACGGCATAGTGACCAACTGGGACGACATGGAGAAGATCTGGCATCACACCTTCTACAACGAGCTCCGCGTGGCACCAGAGGAGCACCCAGTTCTTCTGACTGAGGCCCCACTCAATCCAAAAGCCAACAGAGAAAAGATGACTCAAGTAAGTAGAAGTCGGGCGCATGAGGGTTTTGAAATTTTTAAAACTTCATGGGAAATTCAACAATTGTGGCAATGCAACAATTAACAATTTCATTTCAGTCCTCAAGATGTCAATGATGTATGCATGCCAATTCAAATTTGCCGGTTGTGACGTTATCAACAGACAGAATGGATCACAATGTTTCCTGAAATGCTTCCGAATAATAATATATTTTGCACAACCCATTTTCCTAGTGTTCTTTTGGTATTAAGATGCCACACTTGAATAGGAAAATTAAAGAATTGAAAATATTTTGTTCATTTCATACTGACAAGCATACGTTAAAAATTATATGACACATAATCAAGTTATCATGAGTTTAAACAGTTTTTTTTAACTTCAACATATTTTCACTGTCCGAAATTTCGATTTTCAAATTTTCATGATCAAATTTTGAGGTATTTCAATTTTTGGATGAATTGTATTTATTGACGAAACGGTTCGTTATATTTTAATTTATTTTAATTCAATGCACATCCATTTTTGGTAGATCATGTTCGAGACGTTCAATGTCCCTGCCATGTACGTCAGCATCCAGGCGGTCTTGTCCTTGTACTCGTCCGGCCGAACCACCGGCGTGGTCTTTGACTCTGGTGACGGGGTGTCCCACGTTGTGCCCATCTACGAGGGCTACTCACTGCCCCACGCCATCCAGAGACTGGACTTGGCCGGCCGGGACCTGACCGATTACCTCATGGTCATTCTGTCGGAGCGGGGATACGCCTTCTCCTCGTCAGGTGAGTCTTGCAAGAGTTTCACTTACCCAGTCTTTGGGAACATTTATCAAGCTGATCGGTACAAAATCTGCAACATTATTTTATTCAGAGTTTGACTTTGGGTTTGTCTTGTCTGCACTCATCAAAGATTTTCATGGGCCATTTCGCAACTGGAGACGAAATAAAAATATTTTCCGTGTAGCTGCGCTTGTCTCTCTCATAAAATTTGAGGAGCTGAGTCCAGTAAGCTATGGTCAGCATGAAACGAAGCCAGCACGCATTGTTCCGACCAACCATACTTCCCGATATCAACGGCAGGTACTGCATATAAAACCATCTTGTCAATTTCTCGATACTCTTTCACAATAGCTGAGAGGGAAATTGTCCGTGACATCAAGGAGAAACTTTGCTACTTAGCTCTGGACTTCGACCAGGAGATGGTGACCGCCCAAAGCAGCTCCAGCGTGGAAAAGAGCTACGAGCTTCCCGATGGTCAGACGATCACCATCGGCAACGAGAGGTTCCGCTGTCCAGAGGTACTGTTCCAACCCTCCCTCATCGGGATGGAGTCGGCTGGTATCCACGAGGTACTGTACAACAGCGTCATGAAATGCGACATGGACATCCGCAGAGACATGTACGCCAATGTAGTGATGTCTGGGGGTTCCACCATGTTCCCGGGCACGGCTGATCGGATGAGCAAGGAACTCACTGCCCTGGTCCCGCCCAGTTCCAAGGTGAAGATAATTGCACCCCCGGAGAGGAAGTACTCGGTGTGGATAGGTGGATCTATACTCGCCTCGCTCTCCACCTTTGGGCAAATGTGGATTTCCAAGCAGGAGTACGACGAGAACGGACCTGGTATCGTTCATCGGAAATGTTTCTAGTTTGGAAAGTTCACAGAAGAAAATTTTGTCTATTTTCGGTTTCAGTCGGAGTCCAAAACTTTATTTTCTCGAAATGTGCTTTCTTCGGTTTAGATACAGTCTTGGGCGTGCGTATGATACACAAATGAAACAATTTTTGTGTTTACAGAAAATATGTTCTAATCAATTTTCATCTGAAATGTTGAGGTTTTGCGCGAAAATTCAACTGTTGTTAGTTAATGTTGCAAGACTGACTGAAGAGCGTTTTGTTATAAAACACAAAATAGTTCTAATCTTGATACATAGTAAAACGCATGTGACTATTATTGGTTAAATATGCATTGGGACTTTTCAACGAGTTTTAAAAATGAAGTCTAATTCAAATGTGAATTACAGGCAACATAGCAATTGTTTGTCTCGCATTTTTCTGTATAATAAACACCGTTAAAATTAGTCATATTTTATATATACTACAGTTAAGCCCAAAATGATTAACTTCGTACCCATTCTAACTTCGGGTAACATAAAGTTTAAAGCCAAAAGACCATAGACCGGACACCTGATCTTTACACGAATAGCTCTTACAAAGGCAATGCTAGTTTTTGTGTGACTGTGTCGCTCATCAGTCCAGTTCAAAAGTTATTAGTAAAATAGCGGCCACATTTTTCAAAAGGGTAACATTGAGCTTAACTGTAGTTTTTAGTTATAGACGCGTAATGTATTTAATGCACATAAGTAACCACATCCACATAGTGAAGAAAATATTTTTGTAAAACCAGTTTTTCCTTGATTCCCAATTTAAACTTCATTATCTTGTTATATCTGTTTATAATGAAGTAGACAATTGTGTTCACAATACTCTCGGGTTTACGTCTTAAATAAACATTTCAGCATTCTTTCCGAAAGAAATACTCCGCAGGCTGGTGGAGTGATGGGTTACTTTGAACACGCTAAAGTTAATGCGAGTTAGCATTTTAATTTCAATTTTGTATTCATATTTTTAGTTAATTATTTATTTTATTTGTTTTAGTTAAACAATTTGCGTTCCGTCTAATAAATTAATCTGGTGGTTAAAAGCATAACTAAAGACCTCCTCAGAATCTTTGTCAACTGGGTTTATTCGTCTCCCTTGCCCTGAAGTTTTATGTTGCCGCACTGTATCCTTAACTTGAGGGTAACGTTTGTCCTCGTGTTTATTTGAATTCTCAATTTCACATCCCAACACGTAATGACATCCAGCGAGTTTTTTTTAGAGGAGAATATACGCATCTATATTTTGGAAGCAGGTGTAAAAGAGCCTAAAATGATGCCTAAAAGTGACTGGGGAGATCCAATCAGCGGCGTAGCCAGTGGAGGCTAAAAGGATGATCCTAGATGGCATATTCCCCATCAAAAAAGAAAGTGTGTGTGTGGGGGGGGTGTGATGTACCCCCCCTTCCTCCGGGTTATACGCCCATGTATGCCAACTTAAATGCCAAATGAAGACTTTTGATGAGTCTAGACAAAGTTTCTGAAGGCTACACACAACGCACCTGTAAGGAACGAATTATCTTAATATTAGAATTTCTCGATAAACGTCATTATAATTTTGTTTGTTTGTAAGCCTTGTCCGAAGAATCAGACAGTACTGTTTTCTACGCATTCTGATAAAAATTTGTTGCTTGAACAATTTTTTGAATTCCATTGTTCTTCCAAAAGAGTCCCACATTGGCGTGCAAAATAGAGACGACTAGTGGGGGACTTGTGCACGTCTACAGTTTACTGCGCACATAATACATAAGCCGCCGACAGTGCAGTGTGGCTTATACCACACCGCGGTCCTAGCCAGCTCGGACGGGTCAGTTGAGCGCTGGGAACATGGCACTGAGCAAGGGGATCACAGACAGATCGATCACATAACAGATTCTTTTTCTCTACCAAGTGAAGAAGATGAGCCCCAGTATTACAAGTTGGTAAGGGATTGTTGAGCTAAAACATTAGATGTTGTATTGTGGTGGAGACTAAAAGCGACAAAAGGTCCTGGAAAGAGTAATTGGCTTTATATTTTATGTACATAACAATTGTACTGTGGATCACTATGGGATTACCTAATTAGGCAGGCGGGCGCGGCCTCGCCTGATGAGTATCTAACGTCAGCTCCAAGCTGTGTCACTGGAATCAGACATTGGGAGATGTCACCAAGTATCAAGTTCGAGTATAGAGGAAAGATTTTTGGAGTTCCTCAAGCCATGGAGGAACTTAGTATTCATTATTACGCACAAATACACCCTTACGATCGCTTTTATGTCAAATTCAATCATGAAAAATTCGTGGAAGTTTATGTAGCCTAGGCCTACATAAGGTATGAAATTTTAAATGTTATATGTTTTTGAGTTAAGAATTGTACAGTTCTCTGACGTTTTTCTAATTTTTTTTCTCTATTTCTACTTTTTCTTATAGCTAACATGTAGATGGCATGCTTCACCATGAACATGACACTAGTCCAGCATTTTGACTGACGTTTATCCATTTCTTGGCTACAGGTAAATAACCCCCTACTGTCGCAAAGCCCTGACCAGAATTCAAGTGTCACCATGGAGGACATGTCCGCTCTTGTCATTGACAATGGCTCAGGCATGTGCAGGGCAGGATTTGCTGGGGACGATGCACCACAGTCCGTTTTTTCATCAGTAATGGGCAGACCTCGCTCTGATGTAAGAACTGCTCTAAACCCTAGAAGTTAAAACTAAATGAATTCAATTATATTTTGTGCTTTTCTTTTTACATTTGAAGTTAGTATTGAAATTGGGTACCCTATGCTGTTTATCCGCCGCCTTGAGCAAAAGCACTCCCTGATTGGGTGAATATCTCCATGTTGGTGGAAATGTTCATTTTGTTGGTGGTGAAGCGACCGTAACATGGGTATTTCGTATTCGTTTGTGAATCGCCAAAGTGCATTTTCCACCAAAGGAGCCCCATTTGCTTGGAAAATTGCACCCTCTCTTGGTCTGGCTCTGGGCTCATTGGAGTAAAACATGGGTCCCGAGGTATGCGGAATATAAACCTAACCTCAAAACTCAAAGAAATAATAATAATAATAAAGATTAATTTATATTGCGCAAATTCCCATCAATGTTCAAATGCGCAGTACAATTATACATAAAAAAAAATGTCATAAAATGTAACTAGATAGACCCTGATACAATTAAAATGAATGAGCAGGAATTAAAAAATGCAAATGAACACAAGAATACAAATACCCATGAAATAAAATGCACGATTACAATACTGACGAAGAAAGAAGTTATTTAAAAGCAACGTTAAAAAGGAAAAAGAAACTGTTGATGTGGAACTACACTGTACCGAAAATGGTTCTCAACAAGTTAACAACCTTTGCGTAAGTAGTATTCCAAGTAGCTTGATTTTTATTAACAAACCCCCCCCCAAGGTTTTAGAAACCTTTTTCTTTTGTCTGAAATGTTACCAAGTTGGTTACAGTCACGGTTCCCACGAGTTGGAACTGGTTCCTGACCTCAGTGATCGAGGGCCTGATGGAGACCCTTACCATGGTCATGGATGATTTTACAGAGAATGAAAAGAAAGTATAAATGAACACATGCATGTGAAGCTAGTACACTGTGTGTTAATTATTTTCTAGTTGGGTTGTCAAATGCCAGGATCGCCCAGAGATTCATATGTTGGTGAAGAGGCCCAGGTGAAGCGAGGAATCCTCGACTTGAAGCACCCTATTGAGCACGGCATTGTGACCAACTGGGATGACATGGAGAAGATCTGGAACCACACCTTCTACCATGAGCTGCGTGTGGCACCAGAAGAGCATCCCTTGCTCCTGACCGATGCTGCTCTCAATCCGAAAGCAAACAGGGAAAAGATGGCTGAGGTAACGTTGACTGTTAAACATCCGAGTTTGTAGCTCTTCCCCCATGTCTCGGTGGAATTCTGCTGAACATTATTCATTAACCATATAACCCCTTTGGGAAGGGTATTTACTCCATTCAAGTCTTACCTGAGAACTGTCTGATTTTCCTGATTCTGAGTTTGAACTGGAAGACAAACTTGCGACCCACTTTGACAAAAATTGTTTAAACTTAAGCTAGTTGAGTATAAAGTTGTAAAAAAGCACTAATCTCAAAATATGTTAGGAGAGAATTCAATGATTTGAATAATTTGATTGGAATCTTTGATTGTAACAAACATAATTGTTTGCAAAACAATTAGTGGTGTTTGAATGTTGTAGTTTGAAAGGGGGTTACTGCTTCGTTATTGTTGATTACCAAAACGTTGTTTACACGGTTGACACAGTTTACACGGATGAACTCCAGAGTTCCTTGTTTGGAACATTACATACATGTACGTTGAACAGCATTTGAAAGGTGAACAAAAACTTTCAAAGAGACTCCCTAGTAACGTTCTGGAAGGGAGAACGTTATGCAAACTGTTGCTTTGTTGAATTGGAAATGTTGCAATGCAACACCAATCCATGTGATCAAATGAACTACAGAAAAAACACCGAGTGACAGTTGCAAACAAGTGGACTCATACAATCATGTAAAATGTGCAATACACTGCTTTTATTTATTGCACCATTTTATAGGTCATGTTTGAGAAGTTCGATGTGTATTCACTGCACATTGGGATCCAAGCCGTGTTGTCTGTCTTGTCGTACGGCCGTGGGACTGCTCTGTCTGTGGAGTGCGGTGATGGAGTTTTACAAATTGTGCCCGTCTACGAAGGATTTATACTGAACAAACCCATCCAAAGGCTTGACGTTGGCGGCAGAGACCTCACCAACTACCTTGTAGACATGCTAGCAGAGCGGGCACTCGATTTCTCATCATCCGGTGAGCCCTTGCAGGGAAATAAAGAATGAAAAATAGCATAGACGTTTGGTCAGCATAAACAAGCTATTTTGAGGAAAGTCTAATTCTTGATTTGTTGTGTACCTTGCACTTGCTTGATTTCTTGCGTTTCTTGCACATGCTCGATAATGTGAAAATCCCTGTTTCCAAACTTAAATCCAATTATTACAACTCACTAATCTGTTCTGTGCAATATGAGGGGACCTTGTTTGGCAGGATGGCCCACATAGTTGACTCGCCTAATCTAACCAACATCAGCTAATGTGAACTTGTCAAAGCATGATAATAGCATTATTATGTTAGCTACAAAGTGCCATCAATAGGGTAAAGTGAATGCACTTTGCGGTGATTTTACATGTATTTTCTTTCTGTTTAAGGTGATCGAGAGACTGTGCGTGACATCAAAGAGAAGCTTTGCTATTCAACTCAAAACTTCAAGATGGAGCTGTATAATTTTCGGTATGGTTGGAACCAGGATAAGAATTACACACTTCCCGACGGCCGGGTGATCAGTGTCGGCAGTGAGATGTTCCGCTGCCCCGAGGCGCTGTTCCAACCCTCCCTCATTGGCTTGGAGACTGTTGGTATCCATGAAGCGGTCTACAAGAGCATCATGGAGTGTGGCATGGACACTCGCAGGGACTTGTACTGCAACGTGCTGTTGTCTGGAGGCTCCACCATGTTCCCGGGTTTCTCCGACCGTTTGCTGAAAGAGCTGGAGGCCCTAGCGCCGCAAGTGATGAAGATCAAGGTCATCGCAGCACCGGAAAGGAAGTTCATGGCTTGGATTGGGGGCTCCATTCTTGCCTCTCTGTCGTACTTTGAGAACATGTGCATCTCCAAGGAAGAGTTCAAAGAGAAAGGCCCTGCAGTTGTGGATCAAAAGTGCCTTGACAGGGTGTTTCCGAAAGAAAGATAGGCTGTGTCTGTCTGCCCATTTCACTTTGTTATGTTTGCCTCGTAATAGTCCCAGCAACTGTTTGAAGCAAATCTCGCAAAAAGGATCTTACTTTGTGTTTACACGGAATGGGGAGTACTTCCAATCATTATAAAAAAAGAGTTCACTTCACATAGAGGGTATGACATTGCTTTCATATGTAGACTATTTCTTTTTATTGCCAGAAGATGGGTGTATCAGTTTTATTTTTTTAATAATTTGATTACGACACAGAATGTCAAATTATTAACCATAAAGTATGAATAGTATGATTATGGTTTAAACACAGTAAAAATAGCTTCATGTATATCACACAGTGGGGGTTAAATGTTGGGCACAGAGGTCTGTAACCACCGAAATTTTGAAATTTGGAAGTTATGTGCTGTTTTGCTTAGAACTGCCCATTTTGACATGAACAATGACATATTGTTGGTATGTTGCATGCAATGATTCTGCTTTTCTTAGCCAGTCTGTATATAATGTGTAGTTCATGGTTTGTAAATATGTAGACTAAAAAGTGGAATGGCCCTGAGGTCACTTTTGCACGTCCAATCACCCTGAGTTTGACGAAAAGGGGGTCACTTGCAGCCCCTCCGGGTGCATACATGTAGATATACAAGGGTGTTGGATATCGCCAGTCCCTATTGTTTTGTACACACCCCTGTCCAAAATCAGAAATTTTTGAAAAGAAACTTTTCAAAATTTATCATTAATATGTTTTGATTTAATTACTTAGTCATATGGAATGCTTTTAGTTTTCAAATTTTTGTTGCTGGTCACTATTGGCATCATGTTAGGGCACTGTAACCAGTCAAAAAATTTGAGTAGAGTGACTGATTGGAAAATTACTTGAGGTCTTGATGTGTGTCTAGTTCACACTGAAGCAGATTTCTCTGGCCCATGTTTGTGAACTGCACATGTGAACCAGGATAAAAGCCAGGAACAGGTGTGTTATTTATAACAACTTCAATAATTGCATAGAATTTTATGGTAAAAATAAATTGAATTGGAAGAATGAGGTAGTCACAATCAGGAAATATCTGAATTTCACAAGGATAGTTGCAGAAAATACCATTTCAAAACACAGAGCATGTACATTTTCGAACCCTACAAGGAAAAATTCAAAAGCATGAAATGATGTTTGTCTTTTAAAAATAAGAATACAGAGGAGTGAATATTTAGTATGGTAATTTCGTTTTTGTGTGAGAGTATCAAGAGTACCTTTCACATGTTTTGTCTGGATAAACGGGGTAAAAATTTATCAGACACTTTGTGTAAAATACCTTCATGATATCCTGTCTTATATGTGTACTTGTATTTTATTTAGTTGACAGATTTTTAACAAGTATAAAATACTTGATATATTTACTGTATTTATATTTTGTTATTAGAAAGAGCAGCTTTGGAGAAAAGGGGTACATTTTATTTGAATCTGAATGTATTTGCAAAAATAGATTAAAGCATGTTCAAAAATAAGAGTGGTTTTTATGTCAGTGATGCTGCCTGATATACTTTGTGGGGTTGTGGCTTGGTGTTGCTGTCTTTGAGCTTGGGGACAAATGGAATCGAGTGCACCTGGCTAATTTCTTATGAGGACTTGTGAATGAAAGATGTTCTCACAGTGCAGTTGGTGATGTTCTTACGCAAGTTGTCAGTGTGGCAGAGATGATCATGAAAGCTTTGGGATTTGATCATGAAAGAGAACATTGAATCGGCCTCCCCATATTTTTAAGAAAATGCTTTTCTACGAGCTTATAATTCTCTTACTGAGAGTAAAGAATCAACATCATGGGTCGGCAAATTTGACTTGAATGTGGTTGATCTTTCCCTTGGAATCTAATGCTTGTTGGGTAGGAATCATCAATGAAGTATATGATTATTGAAACTTTTATCAAGATATCAGTTTTGTGGAAAGGAAAGTGAACTTTGTTTCCTTATTGAGGAAACAAATGCATAAATTGGTGTATTTTACCAACTTCAACAAGATCGAACCATCGAAAAATGTAAGACAAAAAAACTTTGTCAGAAGTGGGATTCGAACCCACGCCCCCGATCGAACCATCGAAAAATGTAAGACAAAAAAACTTTGTCAGAAGTGGGATTCGAACCCACGCCCCCATTCGGGGACCAGAACGCCCATTCCCACTAAGTGTAGCGGAAGGTCATGAACCTTGAGTCTGGCGCCTTAGACCGCTCGGCCATCCTGACAACTGAGTGAAATAGCACACATAATAATACATAAATAATACATTTATAAAAAGTAATTCGTTTCCTTAAAAAATAAATATAACTACGTATTTTTAATAATAATCTAACCGTCACTGTCGATCATAGTTTAATTCAATATTTAAGCAATTTCGCCCATTGTTATTTTCAATAATTTTAAGAAGGTACCTGCCTAAATGTCTCATAATGTGATACCTCTCTCTGTCTGATTCCCAGACGACAGTCTATACATGATTATGTACAATGTGCGCAGCACTGTACAAGTACGTGTACGTACACCCACGTGTAATGTACATGTACATGCAGCACCAGTGCAGCACGTACGTGCAAAATGCATGCAGCACGGGTGTCGCACGTACATGTAGATAACGTGCACAGTACGTTCTGGCCATGGCGTACGAGGCCTCAAGGCCAAGCGAGGGGGCTGCACGGACCTCTACCGGCGCGTAGCGGACCTAAGACCGGGGTATATATACTGTACATGACTCAAGTTGTCAGGCACATAATGGATGGGCAGTTTTGTGGATGGAAAGAAATAGCCTTGCTGGTTCACCACTGGAGACCCATTCAGGGGCTTGAAGCCTCCACAAATATTTCGGGAAGCCAGCGAGTCAGAGTGCGGTGAAAGAAGGACACTCAAGGACATGAAGGAAAAGACTTCATCCATGCTAGAGCAGAATGGAATTTTGTTAGCTTGGGAGGTGTCTGTAACGGCATGCTGGAGCACCAAGATTCTTAGACTCGAGGCATGCCAATAGCAACCAACCCCCGGTGACTGTGAATCATCTCCACACTTGTTCATGCTGTTTGCCGCCCTCTGTCTGCTAGGATAAAAAAAAAATCCTCTCCCCCTCCCCCCAAAACATGGGCGGTTCAACCATGCAGGAAGGAATGTATCTGTATGGAGGACGAAAAGTGGCCATTTGCTTTTCTGCTATCAGAATGGTAGAAAAGCAGATTTTATATTCTGGTAACGCGCAATTTCGACTTTTCTGCTAACTCAAAAAGCAGAACGAACATTGTTTGGTTATGCATTTTTCTATTTTTCTGCTTCAAGAAAAGCAGATTTTACTTTTTCTTCTTTCGCTGGCGGCCGAAAAGCGGCCATCTGCTTTTCTACTTTCAAGCAGGCAGAAATTTGGATCGAACATTTTGACGACAACCGTGAATTAAGCTTTTCTGCTTTTGTAATACCGGATAAGCAGATTTTACATAGGTGGCCGGAAAGTGGCCATCTGCTTTTCTGCCTTCCAAGGGCCGTGAATGGGGTTGTGAACCTCGGGTTATGACCATTTCCTTTCTTGGGGATTGAAGACATATAAACCAATCATTACAGTCCACCCTATCTTTTATGATGAAAAGTTCACGTTTTCCTTGGCCCAAGCAAGCTTGTTTGTCTATTGGATGATAGTTGTAAAACTGTATTGCCTTTGAGATGCTGTTTTCTCTGCCTCACAGGGACACTGATACTGTCGTATAGGATTGGTCCCTAGAGAGCATGGTTCCGGGTTACGTACTGCTTTCCATACGTCTTCACTCCCCCCAAAAGGAAATGGTCGTAACCTATGGTTCATGACCCCATTCACTTCCCATTGAGGACAGAAAACCAGATGGCCACTTTTCGTCCTCCATAGGATCTGTCCTTGATCTCAGTAAATGTAAATGCAAACATCAAAAAAAGGAGGGAAGTTTTTTATATTAAATCAGGTAATGACAGAATTGTTCAAAAGTAGTTACATGATGGTCACGGTGCTCGCTCAAAATTCAAATTTTATTTGCAAACGGCAGTTAGAATAACCAGTAATAAAATGATGGGCAATACTGATTAATACTGGGATCACAGCTACATCAACTTGATGCATGTATGAACCAAACTTCATCGTCATACACAGGTTGACAGAAGGAGAACACGACAGAACTACATGTAGTTAACACAATGTACAACTGTCGATGATTATACTGCACATTACTGATAACGGCAGCACTGCTTCTGGACATGTTTTATGCATAGTTCTGTGCTACATAAGTCATTCATTTGCCTCCGATTCTTAAACACCACGATCCCATTCAATGGATCCTCCAAACTAAGTAGTTGAACCTCGTTAATAGGAGGTCCTTCGGACTTGGCAAATTACCTTGTTATAACAGGAACCTTGTATTATCAGGAATAAAAACAATGAAAAAGAAAGGATTGGGACCCAAAACTTTCCTTGTTATTAGCAGAATCTTGTGTTAACTGCTCTTATTAACGAGGTTCAACCTATTTAGACACGTGTATAACTATAAGGAACAAACACCAAACGTGAAACAAGTTTACCTCAAAGGTGGTCTTGCCTCATGTCTTGTATGCTACATTAACCAAGGCAAGGCACGCAAATCAACATGCATCCCAGTCTTCAAAAACCAACTTCCTTGACGGGCATTAGACATCTTTGTCTAGATGTGAATTTTCAATTTCCCTCTTACAATCAACTCTACTTTAGTTTAACTAAAGTACTGAGATCTATTTGACATGTAAACGGGGTGAAACAAATTCTAAGCATTCGAGAAAAGGAATTTAAAATGAGGCATAAAATAAAACATAACATTAAAAATATAAATTAAGTAACATATTCCATATGAAGTTTTTAAAAATCCAGCTTAATGAACACTCCAGTAAGATTCCAACCCTGCACCTCAAAATACTATGCTGACTTCTGCAGAGCAACAACTGAGTAATGGAACCAACAAACAAACGAAAAGACTGTCCACATCGGTAATTATTGCGGTATTCTGGATGCCAAAATTCCAATCTCCATCCAGTTTGGATTTTTCCTACATAAAAATTGATAACCACCATTCCTAGTAGGTTGAATCAATGACAGTAAGTCTCGGAACATGCACTGTGTTATCTGTTCTTGTGTTATGTAGACATGAAATAACTTTGTGCCAACAGAGCAGCAGTACCTGAACATTTGTATATGTATTACCGTCGCTTAAGCTTTGTTCAACACCTGCAGACTTGTCTCCACCTTTTGTACGACTATTACTTGTTGCACTTCAGGATTTTGACATTTTTACATCCAAACCAATCTTAAGTTTCAAAAATATTTTTTTATACCACTCAGGGTTTTCATTTGCCGGTGTAGTATTTGGAGGGGACAAAAGGCATCTTAGCAACTTCAGCGTCAACGCTCCGTTTCCGGACTTGAACTTTGACTGCGGTTCCTACTGCGGAGAGCTGCGTCTTGATGTAACCCATGGCAACATTGACCTTTAGAGTTGGTGAGGGGCAGCCGCTGGTCACATGGCCTACTTCCTGGCCTGCCTCGTCAAGTATGCTGGCACCCGCTACAAAGACAAGAGAATAATGATCAATTCAAAACAATGTAACTCTTTGATAAGCTGCACACAATACTGTTAGGCTTACTCTCATTTGGGCCAAGGAAGGACATATGAACAGTTGCAAAATGAGTAGGTGACAAAATTTTTGGTGTTTGCTGCTAAGTTTGGCACAAAGTCTAGACACGTCTGCAACTAAAAGTCAAAATAACTAAAAGGCCATTAAACAGAACGTGTCCTCTTACATTTGAAGGGCTGCAGCCAACTTTCTGACAGATTCTGACATGCCTGTACTAACACACAATAAATATATCTGGAGAAAGCAGACCACACAGCAGGTCAGATCAGTCTGGGGTTTAGCTTAGTATCCAGAATATTGAACTTTTGTTCAATATGTTGCAGTTTCCAAATCCTGCTCCAGTTCTTGTCTTTGTCCATCTCGGCAACTGACGGCTAGCACTCAGACGGTTTCCTTGATATGTCATTTGTTTTTGTACCATACCTCTGGGTGGGGCTCCTTTTGATATCAGGCCAACTCTCTTTCTCTCAGGTTTCTCCTTGAGTTGTTTCAAGATGAGATCTGCCGCCGGGAAATCCCTCCGCTCTCTTCTCCTCTTGGCTGAGAAAGAAGAGACGAGATGAGATCCAAGCCATTTGGATATTTACAACAGGTTGCAAGTCAAATCACATCATTTAAATTCGGCAGAACAGATTAGGAATTGCACAGCTGTGTCCAAGCCAGGCACTGCTGTCTTCAGCTACTAGTAAACCCGCCAATAGAAAAAACCTCAAGTCACGGACACAAGATACCCCAAGATACTGCTGGTCACAAAGGTCAAGAGTGAATAATGAGAGGAAGGAATAAAGGACAGGTAAGGAGTTGAAGACGGGAAAAAGAGAAGGTCAACATCTTATCAGTTCCATGATATGAACTGATTCAATAGATGAATTGGTATTAGCTTTGGAGTAAGCTGTGATGGTCTGGAATCTTGTGCTCTATAAAGGAGCATAACGCTGGCTGTAAACAAAAGTCTAGCCACAATGTCTTGGCTGTGGCTAGGCGCAGCACTGTTTTATGGAATATAATTAACTAGGAAGTCAGAGGCTTGGATAGAATGAGGTGTTTTTGTCAGCTGCTGCCGAAGCTTTGGATGCAGTCGATCATCTGTTGTTTTACTCTGAGCAGACAAGAGACTAACGCCAGCTATACTAGCAAACGCTTTGGTTTAGTAATGCAAGAGTTCCAAATTTGCAAGATCAACAGTCAAAGTAGAAACGCAGTCAAAATCTTCTTAATCATCTCACCAATTGTCCATGCTAAGGTGGCCTCTATCGGTGTCGTGGTTTCATCAATGTCGTTGCCATAGAGACACATCCCCGATTCCAGCCTGAGCGAGTCTCTTGCTCCGAGTCCGCACATGCTCACAGTGGTTTCTTGGGAGCTTAGCAACCTCTCGGTAAGCTCCACTGTCCTACTGGCTGGAACGGAAATCTACAAAGGAAGCCCAGGATTTGAGGAAGTGTGCAATGCAGTTGAAGCACAAGAAACAGGAAAGTAGATTGGATGACAAAGACATGTTCAACAATTCCAGATAAGAGTTCAGAGTTTTGTGACTATAAATGCATCGACTTAGCTAGTATGGAGAATCCAAGGCTTAACGCATACAGTAAGATCTAACTATAGACAGTTAAGATACAGTACTTTGATTCAGACCAGCAAGGAATGCAGAAATTGAAAATTCAGAATCCGTTTTAAGTGACAGACAAATCTGTGAGTAATTCATCTCTATGCTGATTTGTTACTACTTCTTCCTGAAATCAAACACTTTTTCTAGAAGGTAGCCATTTTTTCTGATGGAATACAACATTTCTTGGTTTACAAGTGTTTTTGTGTCAAGTGCACAAATGACTGTGACATACACTGTAGTTTTTTTCTGTAATCATCCTGGACACCTCCTTATCCAAACTAAAATTTACTGCCTTGATGTGGGACCTGGTTATGCCCCAGTTGCCACGGCAACCGAGGTATCAAACTACTCCACATCTCACATTGCAGCGCATTCCCAACACGCACCTCTACACCATCTTCTCCAGTGTAGCCACACCTCGTCACCCGGCATGGGATACCGAAGACGTCCGTAGTTATTGTCGTCATGAAGGTCAGCTGACTCAGGTCATGTGACATGCCAGCTTGCAGGACTTGGGCCGAAAGGGGACCTACAAAATGAAGTCAGGTCTTGTTTTGTGAGTGGCTTCACGCTGGAACTTTTGCAGGTAAAAAACATGGCCGCCAAACAGGTTTGCAGGGTTATTTTTTGGGGGGGGTTACTTAAACAAATCAAGATGCTTCAGTTTCCCAATTTCCAGCTGAACGTTCTCCAGAAGAATTTCGAAAATTTGAAGACCCCGGAATACCTACATTTTTCTTTTAAATTCCCCTCCCCAATTTGTCTTTCCAGAGATACGTAATCATGCTTGACAACATTTCTGAAGATTGGAAAGGTCATACAGTTCAAAGCAAAACGTTAAAAGCAAAATAGTTTGCATTGAAGTTGTGTTACAGATCAGTTCCTAGAAGAAAATAGCTGAGTGGAGTTTCTTATGCATTTAGGAAATGAGTTGCACCATATTATTCACCAAAAAATGCCACAATGTGAACCAACTATCCAGAAAATACTCACTGATCAAACCACATGGGAAATTGCTCACGTCTCAGCTGGTGGCAAAATGGTATTAAATTCACTAAAGATTCAAGTTGAACACATGGGATTGTCTGGTGATATTTAAACTTAATCTTAATCTTACCCTGCAAAGCTAGGAGACCCATGTCATGAAGAGGTTCAAAAGTGACATCGAGACCAGCAGCCTTGAATTCTTCTAGCTTGCCCTAAGCGGGGTAAACACATAATTTTCAGGAACAGGTGACAAGAAAAAAAAAAGTACATCGATGATTTGAGGAAGGAGAAGAGGATTGTTTGCTGCATGCAACATGTTTTTCAACCCAGAACAAATGCACTGCTTGTTTGGCAGGCTTTCTAAGAATTGGCACAAATTTTGGTTTGATTTTTTTCTCTTTTTCAGGGGATGAGAAATTACAGAATTTCTGTCATAAGCAGGATTGGACTTTCACAGCTCTTCCAGTTGTAGAATTTGGTATTTATGATCAGTACTGTGTGGTTACAGCCTCGCTAAGAACTCCAAATCCTCAGCTGTCCGTAAGCTAATCATCCCAAATTTCTTACAGACTTGTGACACCCGCTACCTATTCTGGTAAAGTTAGCGCAGTAAGTTTCTTGCTTACAGGAAAGACTACCAAGACACGGCATTCAGAGGAGAAAGTTTTGCAGACTGGGCAGGACGGGGACTCTTCCACTGAGCAAAGGTTGTCAGCTGGTTCCCACTGACCTGTATATGAGCCGTGTCCTTGTCAGAGCACCCAGCATTGGTCACCATGTAGATGTGTCCCTGGTCAGTCTTACTGACCACCAGATCATCGATAATTCCTCCCTTGTCATTCAGCAGGAGGCTGAGTGTTCCAGAGTTTTCCTTCAAGCCCTCGATATCCGCTGTCGCAAGGGTAAAAATTTAAAAAAATCCTGCTCCTCAAATGGATCTTCAGTTAGGAATTTTGATCAACCCAAAGCACTATTGATTTGGTAAATTTCTGTTATTTAAAGCCAAGAAATTATTAAAAATTGACCATGCCAGAGTATTTAATGCAAAATCCTGAATTCCCAAGAAAACTGGGTAAATCACCACTTCCCAAACTGCTAAATTTATGTTGTATCCCAGTGAAATCTTAAGACATTGCTCAAACTTTTGGGGCTTTGTAGGGCGACCTCCAATTTTGGTAGAAAACAGATACAGCTCAAAGGAAAGTGATTCCAAACAGCTTAATCATTGCACAATTGATATAAAAAACTGTTAAGAGGCCTGAAATATAATCTAGATAAACATAAACCCACCCACAGTAAGACTCTCGATAAATTTTGTCCGATCTTTGCCGTGAATTTTGCTCTGCAGCATGTGCGACACGTCAAAGATGACAGCTTTAGTCCGGCAGTTTGTGTGTTCACTGGTAATCCCTTCCTTGTAATTGACAGGCATGGACCAACCAGCGAACGGCACCATGTGGCCCCCGGCAGCAACGTGGAAGTCATAGAGAGGTGTCTTGTTCAAATTGGCCTGCAACGAGTCATACACATACATGTACATGTAACTTTTTGAAAAAATATACCACAATTCACCTCAGTCTGATCGATGCTCCTATGCAAGACAGAAACATGTATTTAGACATTTATGGTAGTTGGGCACAATCAGTCAGTCTTTATGATCAATTATTGATTACTGCACTATTGGTCAATCTTGTGGCACAATATGTCAATCTCTCCACCATCATCTAATAATCTTGTCTTTTCAACTTACAGCTGGGGAAGACTATGGTTGAAAGATTTCTAAACATGCCAACAGGAAACAGATGACTGCACAGTGTAATCAATTACTTCTAAAACTACTTTTTGAAAATATAGCCCTGCTCAGCCACTGTAGCCTAAATGATGTATGCATGTTGGGTATGATTGGTTGACCTATGGCCTTGCTTCATCATTGCATGACCAGTCTATCTTGTAACATGATTTATCAATAATTCTGCCATCTTCTACTTGCCTTGCCTTTTTAATTCATGGTTGTGGAAAATTGTTTCAAAAAAGGGCACAGGACTAAGAAGATCGACCAAGTCAGCAAATGTGGTGATCGTGTAGTTTGGCTGATTGCATTCAAGATAACTTTCAGATTTAGAAGTAAATTTTGGTTCTACAGTTTGTCATTTAAATAAAAAAGTGACGACACCGTCATGACCGGACGACAACCAGCGGCAATGATATGTCCATTCATTCACCCGAAAACAGAATTATGTTTAGGCCTCTAGCTCTGTAAACTTATATTGTAAGTTTGCACCTACACCTGACATAGCTGTGACCATGGGTGTGTTTTATTCCTGTGACTGAGCCTGGTTTGTATACACATGGAGGTAGAATCACATCCATGGTATACAGTTCTGGTAGCAATCGACTTACATGGTCACTTCGGAAACGCTTCGAGGTGAACGAACATCTCCCTATCCTTTTCTGTCGGCAGAGACTAGTCAAAATCGATGCTGCTTTTGCCGCTCGAATTCCTGCCATTTCAGACCTGCTACTCTACCTTATGTTAGTGCCAGTGGGTGGTTTAGTGGTTACGGTAGGTTTCAACTTCAACTAGACTAGAACGAAATGTTTTGAAAGCGCGCCCTCACTTGTTGAAAAATGTAACTTTGGCCTGTTTTTTTTCCATGTGTGGGCGCCGAGTGAGCGGCGATGCCAACGTTGAGGGTGCTGCTTTGTTGTTGTTGTTGTTTGTTTGTTTACTTCAACTGCCCTCTTCCTTTCTTCAGTTGCTTCAGACTTTTTCCACGTTTAATAAATTGCATATCCTTTGGCGTTATAAAGGTCGTTCGATTTATTTGTAAAGGTAAAATAATAATGTGCAAATTAGTCATTTTAGATGTGCACTTTACTCTTACCATAAATTTTGGCAATATCTACAACCCATTATTCCATCAGTGTCAGGATAAATGATTAAAGAGAAAGGCAATTAAATATCACAGTCGCAACAATGTAAATCTAAATGGTATGAAGAGTGCTGTATTTAATGAGCCAGTTTGCCCACAATGAAAGCCATTAATATGGTTGGAGGTCGGCCCAATCACAACGGCCGTATGGCAGGAAACTCACATTGCACTGAAGTAGTCAAACTGGCGTGACGTGAGGTTCCTTGCTTTCAGAAGACTTTCCTTTTTTGAAACACCAAACTGGGGTCATCGTCAGTGGCCTATCAAAGTATAGCCCAAGTAGATGGACATTTTTTTAAGAACGAGTGTTAGTCTACCGATTCCCCACCCCATTAAAATAATCATCCCTTGTCCAAAGAAAGGTGGTGCGTTTCTAAAATGTTGGCACAATCCAATTCCTAAAGACTGAATTAACTGACTAAAAACTAAAAAACAAATGAACAGAAGCGGGCAAAGCGTCGCCAATGGAAGGGGACACTACCCTCTGGCCCCGGATACGTTACTGGTCATTATGATAAATTGCAGATAACGCCCCGAGCAGAAGCACCCCCTCATCAGCTGAAAAAAGCCGCGTTGGGCGGGACTCATTTTGTGGGTAGCGATGATACTGCAACGCTTCCCAGTCGTTTCGTGTCGGAACTAGCGATAAACAGTTGGCACCAAAGGAGCCTCCGTTGTTAAGAAAATAGCGCCCTCTCTTAGTCCAGGTCGTGTCCCATTCCATACTAGTTCTATTGTCGTACGAAATGGAGTTTTATTCCCGTGTTGTCAAAAAACCCAAAAACATTTACTTGTTTTCGCTTGGATTGTCACAATTGCGTTTGCATGTCTTCCTCCAGTGAAATCCTTGGAATGTTGGACTGAAGGGTAGATATCGACACCATGCCCATCGCCGGATGACGCTCATTCCAAACGGCAGGTTATAGCAGCTCGCTGGAAGGGAAGAGTCCAGCGATCCGCCGGCGACGATCTCCTCGGCATCTCGGTGAGTGCAACCGTTTATCTCGGTCATGTGAATGTCTTCTGTCTCTACGTTTTTATCTTGTCGTCCTTTTTGGTCGTTTCTTTCGGCGTTGCTCTCTCCTCCCCCTTCTTTTTGGCCCATGAACTGTTGTCTCCAGGACAGGAGTCCACGCTCTTTGTCAGTTCCTTGCGTCGCAAGGTGTAAACCAAGTTAAAACAGAAAAGCGAAATAAATGGAAAACAATCAGAGGGGGGGGAAATCACCAATTTCCTTGAAAATTTACCTCTTCACCCATGGGAAAAAATTTCTCGGTGACGCCTATATGCATAATTGTAAAATTTCATGCCATTAAAATACATCATTAAAAGTTTCGCTTAATTTGATATGGGTAGTAAACAAGAGTGGTTAGATTTTTAACATGATTGAATAAATAAAGTATACTGAAGAAAAAAATTAATTAATTAATTACAAATTCGAAATTTAAGAACTGAACATTAAGCTAAATTAATGTCGAGTCTTACCCGGAATGGTATTGTCAAGCAAGAGTCCGAGGGATCCACCAACGAACAAGCCGGTGGTGAGCATGACTGTCAAGATTTGATCCAATTCAAAAGATCCTGAATAGAGACAGGAAAATTTCTTGATGTTGGTAAGCAGGAAGATAAAACCCAGACAGTGCACGTTTCCTGTGTGCGCATAGCCAGGGTTTTGCAGAAGAGAACTCAGCATCGATGCCGTTACAGAAATGGCTTTGGAGAAAGTAGTAAGACTTTTGGTAGAAAGTATGTGGTATTTTTAAGGGCGCATCCGAGAATTTCTCCCGGAGATTAGGCCCCCTCAGATTTCCTTATTATGTGGACAGCTGGACACATAGTGCATTACAATGTTACTGAATCAGATGTACAAATAGGCCTCATAACCTTTGGTTGACCCCAACCACCCCTCTGGGTCCGTGCCGGTGCCTTTATCTTCCATACTTGCAATCCCAATTTTTACCGTCCTGATTTTTGTCTCATTCCGTGACGGCGCACTTTCCTTTTCAAGTTGAAGTATGCAAATGGATCAATTCTGAAACCCACAATGCCCCTCTTAGTTATTCGCTCTATGAACTGCCCTTGTCTTCGTCCACAGATTATCTGCAATTGTGTTTTGCTTGTGCAGGCCTACGTAACCAAATAAACGTGCTCTGGATTTGACTGTTCTGTCTCATACTGGGACAAGTTCAGACTTTGTTCTCAACAACCCACGAGCAGCAGACAACAGTGGCATCGAATGTTGACGGAGACTACTTCAGGACGCTGTTTGCGCAAAAAAATTATTTGCTTGCCGAAAAAAAATCACGCGTTGAATTGCAAAGCAATGCAATTGGTTCGTGTACCTTGTTGAATTGAACAACTAACCGGTCTTCAAGAGGCCTGGGTTTTGCTCAAGATAATACGGCACCACGAGGCCCATCAGGGTAGAAAAGCCGAGAATGAAAAGGTTACGGGACGAGTTGAGATCCACAAACTGGAGGTTGGACAGCCCTACCGCTGTTACCATACCTGTAAACAAATACATTCATTATATATATTATAATTTTCATCACAAATGTTTGATGCACATGCCCAGATTCTTCGGTCTGGTTTTATATAAATGATTTTCGGGCAAGAAACATGGACAAATGACAATACATTTACAAAAATTACAAATTATAAGATAAAACCAACGAAAGGAGATTGCACACAAAATCATGTAAATATATACAGCAAAGACAGGAAACCGAACAAAATCTCTCGAATAACACAAACCCAGATCGACAAAAATATGCCATATGCAGGCCTGTAGGATTGCCTAAAAGCCGAATTAAGGCTTATCAAGAGGCTGTCCGACTCCAGCACAAATTAAAAAAAAATGAAAAAAAGAAAGGAGCAGAAACACTGTATTATTAAAATAGGCTATAAACCCATTGAAGATGGTCTCAAGTTCTGTCCATGAAATAGACGACACGAACAATACAAAAAGGAAGGTAGAAGATAAAACACCCAACCACAAATAACCCAAACACACGCAGAGAAGCAAACCAAGGAACCCCAGCTCCAACAGTGACTGCATGGTCCATCCACAGAATGACAACTAATATACAACCACTAAACTGTCTAAAAGCGGCTTAAGCAATTTCATCTCTAACTTGACGGGGGAGCAAACTCCATGTGCGGGAAAATCTAAGAAAACCGAATGTTTGAAAGCATCAGTTTTGGCAAATGGATGAGTAAAATGAAGTGTGTCATTTCTATGACTATTGATGAAGAAATAATTGAAAACTGGTAGATCGTATAGCCCACAAGCACTTGCAAACAAACATACAAGAGAGATGCCACATTCTTGAATGAAGTGAGGAAATACCTATTACTACATAAAGCAGTGCGTTCATTGAAAATAATCCTAGTTAATTTATATTGTACACGCTCAAGCGAACGAATAATGACTGGTTTGATAGGGCTGCCACAATGGAACACCTTGTTCAAGGATGGGCAGACATAACTTATTGTACAAACGTAGCAAAACTTCCCTTCGTTGTGACTTTTGTCTTACAATAATGCTCCACGCGCAAATATAATCTTCAAACACAGCCTTTGACAGGCAATTAATTATTTTTTACATGCCGTAATTAAAGTTGAATATCGTTGTTGCAACATAATTGCAAGTTTGATTGATAATTATTCAACAGTCTCCGTGTTTTTTACGCACCTGCTTTGGAAAAAAAAGGAAATTCAATGCTTTGAGTTGTCTGTTGGGGTTAAGCATGATGTGGCATATGATGTTATGAGCTTGCTCAAGTTACAACAACACAGAGGAAGGTCATGGTGCGCTGTAAGCGCTTACGTGCAAAAAGACACGAACCAGCATCAGGTCCGCATTTATACGACGTTCAGTGACAGAACGCCGAAGAAAGCCCTTAATTTCAGAAGCGACACACGGGAAAAATCTATGTCGCCACGATGGTTATCCGGAGGGAATCAACTAATTTTTTGCAGGGGGCTGATTTCCGGTGGAGAGGGTCAAAGCACTTATCATCAACGAACTGTTAAACTAAATAATAGTGAAAGAACGCAATTTCGAGGTTTTTCCAAGCAAAACCGACAAGCTTCATCCCATTTCATTTTCTTCCCATATTCTTTTGCTTTTCCATCGTTAACCGTATTTTTTCAATCTGGCTTGCCAGGGTGCCACGACGCTCACACACCGGGCAATTTGTAAAAACGTTATAGGATATAAGATGGCAACCATATGCCTTGGGGCGTTTTCGCGCACAGCTCGCAATGTGAAAATTGTTTAATTGCGCCCTCTTGCAAGGCAAGACGACGGAAAACGACACATGGCTGTATTTTAAAGCGCTAACATCTTAAAGACCAGCAAAAATCCTAGCGTATTTACATATTCTGTGGTAACGTGGAGCCCTAACTATTTCTCTCGGATCGTTGATTTCAACCATATTGACGCTTTTGTGTGTGCATATGATAAATCTCTCGACAGATGGCCAAGTCATGGCTTGTCGCATACAGATATCCACCGTGTCAGGGAGAGGATTATGCAGCCTCTGGGTGAAGACGAGGAAGGACTCACCAAACGCGATGCAAATGATGGCACCAACGATAGGGTCGGGCATAGTGGCCAAAAGGGCACCAACCTTACCAACAACACCGACGACTATCAAGACGCAACCAGCAGCCTGTACAACCACACGACTGCCAACCTGGAAAGACAAAAATTATCAGGATAAACCATGCCGCATGAACAATTCATTCGTAACTTTTGATTTGAATGTTGTGATTCAGTTCACTTTATATATTAAAGCCATGGCGGCACCTTGGTAAGTCCGATGGCTCCAATGTTTTCACTGTGTGACGTAGTTCCGTTTCCGGATCCCCATGCCCCGGCCAGTATGCACCCAATGCCCTCGATCAGCACGCCCCGGTTGATAGCATGTTGGGGAGGGGGTGGGGCACCAGACATTCTGGCGCATGCGTAGTAGTCACCGATGGACTCGACGATGGAAGCAAACACGCCGGCCGTGATGCCAAGTACACTGGACAGCCTTACAGTGGGCGTGCCCCACTGCCCTGTACGAAAATGAATTTGTTTTTACTACTTTGTTCAAATTTCAACATGCCAACGGTCCTCACGTAGGGTATTGTTTACTGCGAGCCAAGGTTGCAACACAATTTATACTTGTTTTCAAGCAAAAGTTAAGATGAGAGAACTCTTAGAGTGCTCCTCTGTTTTCGTAAAATAAAAATGTTTTAGTTTTATCTTTTTTTCTGCAAAATCGTTTTGTTAAACAAGTCGTGTACCTGGATACGGAAAGCGGAACCAGAGTGCGCGCTCCAGCACCATGGTGTTCAGATCGGTACGAGCGGCGTATCCATACACCTTTGGGTCGTCAGGGAACACGCCGGTGGCGGTGAATACATAGCAGAGTAACCAAGCAAGAGCGATTCCTAGAATGATCTGTGTGTGTATAAGATATAATCTAAACATTTTGTAACGCTATTCATGTTACATGATTTGACAGATTTCGTCCTTATGTCTTTAATTTGATCTTCGTCCTAAGTGTATAACATGATTAATTTATAACAAGGATTATCTCATGCCAAAAAGTACTTAAATGCTTGCTACATTTGTAAAAGGTAGAACAAATGATTAAACAGAACAAAAAGCACCGACCCAAACCAAACCAAACCAAATAAAACCCCAATCCATAAATTGTGTCGTACCGGGAATAATTTGAAGAGCTTGAATCTGCTCACGTGACACTTCTTTTCAGCGTTGTAGCTCAAAAGGGGGACACCAACGTTGGGAAGATATTGAGAGAATATGACGATGAAGACAATTGTCCTGATCAGAACAAAAACAGAAATCCAGGTGAAGAAAATGTCCTAAATGCAGTGTTGCTGGCATTTAAATAAATTCAAAAACACATTTTTGGGGAACACCTGTGTTTGGGAGGCAGAAGGGCAAATTTTCAGGATTTCTTCATAAGCAATTTTTTGCAGGCTTTCCCCAGGAGTGAGGTTTAATTTGGGGTCTTTGTACACCCCTGCAAAGTGAACTGAATTAGCGCCCAAAGCCTCTTTACCTCTTACCCCCTCCCCTGGACCCGTCATTGGCCGATACTCACATGAATGCTATACCCCAGTGCGCCCCTGACTTCGCTGCGGCCGCTTTATGAAGCGATAGACCAATCAGCGTGATGGTCGGTGTGATTGCAAGCGGACCAATAAAATTCATCAGGATACCCACGATGCCCGTGGCACCAATAAAAACCTGCACGCACGAGGCCACCATGATGGCGCCCTGGATCTGGGGAAACAAAGGAAAAGACAGCTACCAACCAGAAGCCTACTATTATAGTTCACTGTGCTCCCACTATGGGGCTGTCTGCGCAAGTGCACGCCCTGATCTTGTTCTCAGATCGGTCAGTGCGTGTTGCAAACGGAGCCACAGTTTGAGTCTGTCGCCCACTTCATCTCGTCATATCGCAAGTGACACTGATGTAGATTTTCTTCCCTGAACATACCAGACTTGACGAAAAAAAAATCAGTTATTGGCACTCAAATCATCGTTTAAGTTGGATCGAAGTGACACGATTTGATCTACTTAATCCTCTTCCGCATGGTTTCTTTTATTAAAGTAATGCCAAAAAGTTCCATCGTCTGGTTGAAACTGTCTGTCTTTGCCCACCTCTCTTATTCTTGCCAACCACTCCTCTTCAGCGGCAGTGACCTCTTCTGCTGTAGAATTCCCTGCATTCACAAATAACGCATTTTCAAAGGGGCGTAATGAATAAACACTGCGTTCGTATAGTATTGGGGTTATGTTGAGTGTGTAAACGCCTTCAATTATGGACCTATAACAATAGGAGACAATAGGGTCCACGGTTGCCGATCAGTCCACGGTTGGAAAACGTGTACAAAACATATGGGAGGTCTTCCAAAAAAGTTCAAGTATGAACAAAAGAGGAACAATAGGGAGTCGACGATTGGAGGCGTTTACACACTTGTGTGGGTGAATTGAAGGTTGCCTCTATCATAACGTTTTCTAACCATAGGAAACTGCTTGGGAATACGAATGTTTGTACCAAATACATCTTTACTGTGGAAGAGAAGTGACACGTTTACTTTGACAAGAGACATATCACTGACATTGATTTCATATTACTTTTGTTTGTTTGGCAGGTAATTTGTAGTCCTTTCTCTATAAAGGAAATTAAAGAATGAATTCTAAACATTAAAAACCATGCGCCGGGTGAGAAAAAAAAATTGTGAAAAAATTGCACTAAGTTCGTTTTTGACGCAGCCCCGAGACATACCAGTTGGTGCTGGCGGACATTCTCCTCTTAGGTTGAGGATTGAGTAAGACGGCACGAGGAAGGCTAAGGAAGTCCCCTGGATGATGGGAAGTCTGAACCAAATATCACAGACAATGAGTGACATACTGACTACTTCTACTTAATTGTGAAAAAAAATGAGAAATGATGAAATTTAATGGATAAGATGCTTAAAAGTTGTGTGCAGGTATAATCGTCGGTCAAAGTATTACCGATGGACAGTTGGCCACTGAAAGAGGAATTGGTGGACGTGGCAAGAAAAGGTAAGAAAATTGTCCGGTCGTGAAATTGAAATATGTGACAGCTATTAGAGGACTACTTGTATTGACTTTCAAAGCCATTCACCTTTGGGACTTTATTGGTTAACTGATTGCGAAATGATGAATTAACGAATAATGCAATAGGACAAACGGCAGTGTTTAGCCCTTGATTTGGACTGTTTTGTTGAGAGTAAGTGCACTCAAACTACAAATGATAGGAGCTGAAGTGAGCTTCACTAACCTAATGCCGAATGTGGTTTGTAGGACGGTCACCAAGCCATTAACCACAAAGAGGGAACCAATGAGCTCTCCTACAGTAACGGCGTCGTGCGCAATGCACAGGCTCGGGGTCAGCAGAAACGCAATAGAAATGGTACTCCCAAAAGTGGTCATAAAATGCTAGTTTGGGAAAAAATAAGAGAAGAAAATTTAATACTAAGACCCTCAGTTATACTCATTTGTTATTTAAGTCAGCGGCATGGTCACGTCACGCCTGTCCGAAAGCAACTAATTCATGACAAACTCGGTAGTCAAGTTGCAGGCCCCTCAGAAACTAAAAACCCTCCGAACACTTCGAGAATGAAATGCAGTAAAACACACCTGAATACCGAGGAAAACGGTAGTGTACCAGGGCGGCCTGTCCTCAAGAGCGTACACCAGACCGTGGACCGGGAGAGGTCGGTGGCTGGACCTACAACCAACGCCCTCCGTGATCACAGGCGACGGGGTGTCTATCTTGCCTCTCTGGTCTGTCTCGATCGATGAGACATCCTCATCCAAAGCGGCATTGGTGTGTTGCTGAGGTACCTCAGCCACGCCAGGTTGGTTGTCATCTTGTAGTTCCCCTATAGTCACACTGTCCGACTCCATTTCATCAATAATTGGCTCCATCGTGTGGGTAACTTGCCGACAACGTACGTATACAGGGATGGCAAAACTCCAGCTTTTGCACCTGGTTTGGAATGACAGTCCCAGAGATCAAGTCGGTGATTGGTCGAGTTTAGTCTGCCCCTGCCGCCGCATTTTAACCGTGCTTGGTGAACGGTCGGTGCAACTTCGACCCCAACATATATTAAGAGTGTATACCCACGTTAGGCATCACTCAACCTTGCCTTACCAGCTCTCATCAATTGTATGTCAGAGTCAGGAAATAGCCGTTGGTTTGTCCTCAGGCCCTGAAAGGCAATAGTGATAACATTAAATAGTTGTTGTATGGGCAACCCTCTCAAATTCTGGACGCAGCACTGATGGGGCAGGATGTGAAGCAGGTCGTTGCCCCACCACCTGGGTGTCCCCTTGAACTTTGGAAATGTACACAATCTATGCACAGGTCTCAGTCGCGCAGTTTTTCAGATTTTGGTGCCCCTGAAAAATGTGTGCCCCCTAGAAATGTCCACCTCATAGTTACGTCATTGCATATTCCGTAGTCAACATTTCCCCAGCCTCGTCCTTTTATCCAACGTATGCGTGCATTGTTTCGTCAACATGGCCTACGTTTGGCTCGCTTTGGCTTTCACGTTTATTTCGTACGCATATTCTCTTCAAGTCCAAAATGCCCATTACACGTGTATTGATCCAGCAATGTGACTCTAGTTTTGCTCGACGGCTTTCAATTCATGGCCCATAACATATTGACAAACAAACCTGCCGTAAGAAATGACGAAGCAAAAGGTTAGTTGCGTGAGTAAAACCAAATTCTCTGGATCCACTCAAGTTGCCTCAGTAGGCCTACAGTTAATTTTGGTTTGCCCGACTGGCCTGAACCGGGCAAAGGTTACTGACAGCATTACTCATACTTCCAATGTAAAATTGTACACCTCGAGATGGTAACTTAGCAAAACTCGACATTTTCTAAAGGTCAAGCAGCTTATGTCTATTGATTCAGGTGATGAGAATGAAATATTAGGAGAAAAAAATTCACCTAAAAAAACACACAAACAAACAAACCTATCCAGGCTTGTATACGCATCAAAGAATATGGAACTAGGCCCCTACGCAAACTTTTGTTTATGGATGCGTATACGCATGTTGGTGTAGATGTCCTCATTACCAACTTGCGTGATATACTCATATCTATTTAATTCTGCCTTGCGTATCGAGCCTTCTGCCGTGTATCATGCGAGGGAACTTGTGACATATTGCACACACCTATAGTGTGGACTAGTGTGACGGCGGTAAGTTAGTTTTATACCCATTGGATCAAATTTATCGGGGGGGGGGATTCGGAAATGCGTTTGCACGATCATGGAGGAAGGATAAGAGCCTTCCTCCATGATACGATCGTTCTGGTTCAGCTGATTTGCATATTTTTTAGGCCGCGTGCGGTCGCTCTTCGCCTTGATTTTGCAAGATCTGCAGGTATGTACACAAGCCGGCCTAGCCTACTGGGTCAGGCCTTTCATGTTTATATATATTATAGGCAATGGCCGTGTTTGTTTAACCCGGATCTGGATCACGATCAGCGATCCGTCGTTGATTTACCGTGACACCAAAGACCAAGTAGTGGATGGTCCGAACCAGCGTAAGGATCACTAATGTAGATTCAGATCCAACCAGGCCTAGTGTAGCGAGCCAGCGTGCACTGCGGCGCAATCCAAAAGACAGAAAATCAGGGGGCATGGCATTTGTATGATGTATAACCAGACATTGGACCAAGGAGAGGTCCCCAGTCTGTTGAGTTTGACTTCATGCACGCCCCCTCTCGGCCAATTTAGGTGAAGCATTATAAGAATCCTCTGTCCAAAGGATGTATATTTGTAACATGATGAACCTTTCATTAAATTTTGTTTTTTATATAACATTACTACTGACAGTATATGACGCAAATAAACAACATGAGAGTCACTTTAAATCTCATAGAAATTAATAAGAAAAGCCGCCATGATGCCACACTGTGGAAAACTATTCGTTGAAAACACCGCCGGTATCTGTCGAACCAACAAGGACCAGACCGCCGGAAAATTGCTTCCCCCCCCCCCCGATTTGTTTTTTACAAAGTATACTTCATAGGTAAGAAAGTAATTGGCATATCAATTATCACATATTAGAACCAAAAGCAAGGATGTCGAACGTTTTTGATATTCTCTTCTCCCCGAACATCATGCTGAATGAGCCCGAAGCTGCATTCGCTTTTGAATTTGCCTTACCCCCACCCCAAAAGCTGGATTCGCCGCTGCCCACAGGTTATTGCCATATTGCTCCTGTCAGAGAATAAGGTTTGGCTTTGTAAACTATAATTCCAACAACAGATAAGGTTTTATTTCGGAAAACCCCATTGAAACTTCTTGTTATAACTTATAAACAAACACATCATTGAAGTAAAAGCAATTTAATCCGTTCGTCTGCCAATTTTCCATAGTAATGGGCCAGAATTTGCTCAGCTTGTATTTATTTTGAGAATGACAAGTTCAGGCACAGTTGGAAAAACGTTTCTTGCAAGTGCTCGCAATCCGGTCTGGAAAGAGCTTCTAGCCTGAGAGCTGACTCGTGGTAACTCCCTCTATTGGTGCATGGTAGCCATTACATCATGAAAATGCTTTGTTTTGATTGACAGACATCCATTTAATCGTGGTGGACAGTCCATATTGATTGGATGGCCCAATTAATTAATACATCAAGATAAACATTTCTGATCGACGGTTGCCCACGACTATACAATGTATACACTTTTAATCTGTTTCGAGTTAAAGGTAACGAGGGATGGTGTGAGGCCCGGCATAGGCCTTTGTCCATTGGCACGATTTTCAGGCTTGCAACAATTTTCCTTTGAGAAATTGCGAAGTCAGCTTCCAACATGACATCGGTTCAGCTTTAACCGTCCTTACATTGATTGCGATCGGGGTTTTAGTCAGCGGCGGGCTCATCGGTGCCCCATCCTTGAAAGAGGAGCGGAGAAAAACCAAGCCCCCAACCAGCAACAAATCATCAACAACCCGCTAGATGATCACACGGCGGGCTGCAACTACTCCACGATCCGCGGAATTGTTTCCCACGAACTACAGGACACGTCCCACCGGCTGGCTGAGCTAGAAGCAACCGTGGATACCAAAGTATAGGTGTGTCCGTGGATTTGGAAGGCGTCAAGCTGCAGCTAGACCAGATACAGAAATGAATCAACGACCTCCTTCAAAATGAGAGTGGTAAGGCACCGATCCGACTACCTACCGCTACTTTTAAGTGAGGCCTGGGCAGCTAAATGGCCATGCTCTAACCATGGTGCTTATATATTATGGTATGATGTAATACAGAGGACACACAAATCTTTAGTTCAAGATAGTTTAAAGGTTATACTTTAAGCCAGGTTATTGGTTCTATTACAGACTACCATTACAAAAAGATATACGATACAAACCGTGGAGTATGTGAATAAAAAGCACACAGGTGCAAAAACAGTTACACCGAAACAAAGTTACCCTATCCCAAAAGACACCTCATTAAAAGGAAAGAGATGAACAGATCCTTAAGGACAAGACCGTTAAAACGTTAATTATTAGAAATTATTTTTATTAGAAATTCTTAAAATATGTATGTGAATTTCTATAAGGAATGTGTGGCAAATTGTGTGCAACGCACTCTTCTTTAGCTTCGTTGTATTCGCCTCGTGAATTCTTACCAACGTTTTGACACCGCATCTGACGAAAATCATTCTCATAAATTTAGATAATTCCACAATGGAAGAGATTGATGCAGAGAAAGGAGAATGGCTAGCAAGAGTCCGGGACGTATGAATTCATAATCGAGACAGTACAAGGCGGACGGCTGGAAATCCCCCTCTTCAGCTTCGTATGTAGTTGTTATATGTTATCTTAGTTCTTCAGTGGCATTCAGTTTGGGATGCACGTGCTTGACAAATGTGAAGTCGCGTGTGATGCAAATATATTGTGTTTGGAGCTAAAGAGAAGGTCACTACCTGTCAAAGCACATACTTTCTGACATGACTTCTGACAGCGACATGTTTGAAAACAGCGTACAGTTTTGAGGTTGCTCAGAAATTAATTCTGGGGAAAAGAATCAATTACGCAATGCGGTATACCATGCTAATTGGATCAAAGTTGGTACGATGTTTTTACTTTATGCCGTTGATATGTCGTTTTGGTCTTCTTATGCGGGTGAAAATTTTGCAGATCCAGGGCGCCATCATGGTGGCTTCATGGTTCCAGGTCGTAATCGGCGCCACAGGCGCCGTTGGTATTCTCCCGAACTTCATTGGTCCCCTCGCTGTCACATCCACCATCACGCTGATTTGTCTATTGCTTCACCAGGCGGCAGCGGATAAGGCAGGCAAACACTTGGGCATTGCCTTTATGTAGGTTGCCAGTTTTATTAGGCACAGTCAAATAAGGTTCAAGTTTATGAGAACAAAATGCGATTATCGAAACTTTGCCAAATATTATTTACCAACAAGATATATCCCTCCCTTTTCTTCATTTTAGGACCATGGCGTTCATCGTTCTGTTCTCGCAATATCTGCCAGAGATTGGCATACCAGTCTTGAGCTATAATTCCCAGAAGAAGTGCCACGTGACTAGGTTTCAAGGAAACAAGGTTTCAGAGGCATTTTGGGGTCAAGGTTATCCGTGGCAAAATGAGGAGGAACAGTCCAGGATATCATCATCAAAATCCTGCTCGAAGGAGTTATCCTAGTTGGAGAAGGAGTTTTTCCTCTTGTTTCCTTGACCACAGGAGAACAAAGGAATGTCCACAATTTGTATGTAAAACAGGTAAGAGTGACTCTCTGTGAGTGTGAAACATTGTTATTATCACGATTAAAAAGCAGAGATGTCGGGACCGTAGGCTTTCGACCCCCCCCACATTATGTTGAATGAGACCAAAACTGCTTTTGCTGTTAAACCCCCCCTCACACACACACCAAAAGCTGGATATGCCGATGGTGTGATTGGTATCATATTCCCATTAAGTATAAGAGTTTTGCAGCTTCAGCATGAATTAATTTGACTTTTCATTAAAGTACATTTAGCTGCTTTTACTTTGGCATAAGTTGAAATTGAACATCGAGAAACTGATTTCCCACCACAGCTTTCCGCAGATTTCAAATAAGCTCAGGACATTTCGGGGACTCCGTCTGCTTCACTAACTACAATTGATTGGTTTTAAACTGTTTTTCCTTTTTAGTTTATCGAGACTCAGTCTCGTGCTGGTGTCGTTTAAATTGACTCCAGTGTATTATGTCAGGATTATGGGCTCGCCTCCCACTGCGCGCTCACAGTGTGACCCTTTGACGGAAGTTTGCGGCCAATGCTGATGGCTTTTTCACACACGAATGCACCAACTTTGGGGTAAGACGGATGAACGCGAAAGCCTGATAACATTTTTCTTCTGTTAGCATGAAGATATTTTTAACTTCATAAATAACAGTAATGCTTCTGACTACTTAGGTAATCCAGCGATTAGAACAGCATTGTTAGACACAAGTCATCGTCTGTTTGAACCTGAAGGAATGTCAAACTCGATAACTTCGTGTGGCATATTTACTTCGGACTGACAAAACGAAACAGCGCCTTGTTGGCAGAGTTGACGAATGATTGCACCAGGCGGTGTATTAAGCAGACGATGAATGTTAATGATCGCGAGGGTAAGAATGTTGTCACAGTGGACAAACTGGGTGCTAAGTTCCACTCGACTTTGCCTTGTGGAGTTGAACTCATACGACTATATATAGGTACTATCAGTGACAAACATAATTATGGCAATATATATATATGGCTGTATATCTGGCACTATTTAGTTCGCGTGCCCCTGGCTAATCAGGGTATATGGCATGCATGGCCGGGGCCACTGTCGACCTACACTCGTAAGTTCGTCTCCGTTATCTTTTTACCTCATATTTCCCTCATAAATCAAAACCCCACCCTGATACCGCCATATTAATCCTGCAGGGTGTCATCGCCATCTTTAGGAGAGTTTACAAACATTAAAGATTTTTGATTTTGAAAAGGAACGGTACCTAATACCTTTCCTGTCATCTCATAAAATCAGAATATTGGAAATCATAAGTAAAATGCAGCGACCGTGCCAATGAATGTAGCAACAGGTTAGAAGAAACCCAAAACAACCCTCCCAAGGATCATGGAACCGGTTTAGAGGCATGATCAAAGGTGAAGACAGTACCGTCAAACCTGTCAAATGGGAAGGCCTGATGTGCTTATTGGATTATATTCTTGTCCGCATTTATATAGGGTTGAAAGGTTGAATATCACAATTGGCTGTGATGTACAACGAAGGTTTGTCGTCGGTCTAAAGTGCATAACTTTAAAAAACTGATGACATTCAAATGTTATCACTATTTCTTGACGACTCTACTATTTTTATGAATAGCGATCATGACGCAAGGTCCTCGAAGTTGAAATGGCCAACATTAAAGCCCAGGAAACGGATGATCTCAATGCCACCATCATGGAAGTCGGGGGAATCGAGACTGTCAATCTGTCCTCTTCCAATCCAGAGCATGGCCAGGCCAGAATGCAGGAAAACAGCCGGTCTGGCCCAGCCCATGATTTGGAGTACGCCCTTGAAGATATACCTCCATGGTATACTACCATTCTGCTCGGGCTGCAGGTAAGAATTACCTTCAGTTGCACTCACATTTACAGAAAGCTAAATTAAATTTTGGAAAAACCAAAACAATGATCACCGACATCAAAATATTGGAGGTCTATAATTATTCTCAATCTGCGAGGCAGATTTAATGGTTCTGTATTTTGTGACAACGTGCATTTCATCTTTCCAGAAAAACTTGAACAATTTGATGTTTAATAAGTGTACTTTACGTACACTGAACTGAAGGATTTCAAATAGATTTTATACCTCGAAGAGTACAAAGGTGCACAAAAAGTGAGCCTAAACCAAACTCATAGCACAGATCTTTTAATAAGGATATTTTCAATAACAACTTGTCGCTTTGACACCAGCAACGAGTCTTTCTGCTGAGACAGGCCAGCCAAAACATCCTTTTATCCATTGCGTAGTGAGAGCCAAAGTCATGAACTTCAAATGACCATAAATATCCGGGCCAAACCATGCGTCAAATTGAATTGCAACTTCACATTTGTTCTGGCAATGAGTGTCTACAAACATCAGAAATAATGACAACTGAGTTCTATGGGGCGGGAAATACGGTTTCAAAATGCCTCACTTTCTTTGAAAGACCTTCTGGATATGCTGGTAGCTTCACGACTTTACAGAGGACCCAAAGGAGGGCCAAAGTGTGACGTCAGTTTCCCTCGTCCCGAGGGGTTACTTAACTTCGTTTAAGTAGTAACCCCTGGACACTGAATGATCCATAGGCGTATGCTCATTGAAAAACGTGCATGTTCCAATCATTCCTGATGTATTTCAGTGAGCCTGGATAAGCCCTTGCAACTAGGCGAATAACTTTCTTCCTGCACCCTAATTCGTTTCCAATGCAGCAGATCAGCTGTCCATTCTGAATCATGATTATGACTGGTGGATAAGCTGCACGTGATCTGTGGCAGTTTTCTTTTATTAAATCACAACACTGGCTTTAATTCACTAATACCCGGCTGTAACTTGGGGCAGAGGGCGCTTTACACAAAAGCAAAAAAGGATAACTGGAGAAAGGAAGTTACAAGTATTACATGTAGGCTTATCTATCAATTTACAGAATTTCACGACAAATTTTGGAAGCAACATATCCACAGCTTTCATTCTGGCTCCATACCTCTGCATTTCTCACGATCCCATTGCCATAGCAAGGATCACTGGTACCCTGTTTTTCGTCACCGGCATGGTAACCGTCCTACAGACAACCCTTGGGGTGAGGTAAGCAGCGTACGAACACAGTTTAATGGTTTTACATATGCTATGGAAAGCAGATGCTCAAAGACAGGTTTTTCACACCTTACAAAACAATGAAAGCCGTCATTCACACAAAGCTTTTAAACGGTAGAAACCTGATGAAGTTCAATACTTATCGAGTAACGTTATTCACGGCAGTTTTGTGACCGAACGCTGCTTTCGTAACAACGCGGGTGTCTTTGGATGTCCTATACACACCAAAAAGGGTTGGTTTATGGGTACACTCAAATTAGATGCTAAACTAACTTACCCACAACAGTCTGCCCACTGGCCTATATACTCATCACAGTCCACATACTGCGCATGAACGGTACTGAAAAATGATGTCATCACTGAGTTACGACACGCTCCATTCTGTTGTGTTAATGGTGCTCAAAACTGACAGTTTCTTTCTCATTGGACAGGCTTCCAATCATCCAGGGGGTGACTTTTTCCTTTATGGTCCCAACATTTTCGATTTTGAGAACACGGGGAGAATGTCCCCCTGCACCCACAGGTGGGTTGAAGTGTAGGAAGATTTATGCGACAGGTCTTCTCGCTTTCCCCTCATTCCACTATAATGTAATAAACGAGTGTGCTTCTGTCAGGAATGCAACAGGTGCATGCCAAAAATGGTCAACCCTTCCCCCTCAATTCAGTTTTGGAGGGTATGTTCTATTTTGTTGTATAGGCGCAAAGTTCTGGCTGCTTCATTTAAACCAAGCCAAGCCAAACATCTCTGACATCTAGCTGTTGTACATACAGATAATTCCACGGTGGAAATGTCTGATGCAGCAGAAGAGGAATGGCTCGCAAGAATCAGAGAGGTAGGACTTCACAACACAGAAAGGAAACTGCAAAAGGAAAGGCTCCAAATCAACTTTACCTTTTAGTCACTGATTATGGAGTGATTTTTATAGCGCACTGATATTTTTGAGAGGATAAAATACTTAAGGTACTTCGTAGCCGTGTAGGCACCACTAGAGGTCTACAAGCCTTTCTGCCCCGGGCTGGTATTAAGCAACTCAAGCCGAACTGGTGGGTCTGAGAGCCTGTCCGTATTGTGTGCTTCGGAACTTGACAAGAGTTTTACGTTATTTTTATTGGTCAAAATGCACATGCTGCAAATGTTGTGTCAGTTGATGAAAAAACATTGATTTTAGCTTCAGAGGAAAATCCTATCATAATATATTACCGGCACGATTCATAGCTTGGCATTTTTTCGCTTGGGGATGGAATTTTGCAGATCCAGGGCGCCATCATGGTGGCTTCGTGCGTTCAGGTCGTTATCGGCGCCACGGGCATCGTTGGTATTCTGATAAACTTCATCGGTCCCATCACGGTCACATCTGTCGTCACTCTAATCGGTCTGGGTGTTCACAAGCCGGCCGCGGAAAAGTCAGGCAAACACTGGGGCATTGCCGTCATGTACGATTTTGTTAATCTTTATTGACATTATATACTCATTGTGTACTCAAAATGGTACTTAAAATCAGGACGAAGTTTCCTAGATAATTATTTCTTGATTAATGTACTGGGTAAAGCCGATCAGATATTGATGAACACTGTTCTGCCTATCAGAGACCCCAGGGTAGAACACAACGAAAACTCATTTTTGGAGAATGGAGGAAAATCCTAGCGTAATATTCCCGGGAAAACCGATGAAATGGGCGTAGTCTGAAAACCCAACTTTGACGATGGCCTGGGTGGGGTTCGATTCCGGGCGCTTTAGGATAAAGCCCAGGAAAAGTACAACCTGATTCCTCAACACTTCATTTCACATCTCGCTTATCCTTTTGCATTTTAGGACCATGGTGCTCATAGCTCTGCTCTCACAGTATATGCCAGAGATTGGTGTACCGGTTTTGAGCTGCAAGTCGCAGAAGAAGTGCCACATGACTAGATTCAAACTCTTTAAACTGTTTCCGGTAAGACCCGCTGTTGCACCCATTTGGCACTTCGTTCCTAAAGTGTATAGGCCTCTTAAGGACACCTAGGACACCTAGACAGATCAAGTTCTCATTGATAGCGCTCGGACATCTGAATAAACTAACTGGTCAGATTTGTAGAGCGTCATTTTGATGATTGTGTTAACTTTTTCAAAAGATAATTTTGGGCGTTGCTGTTGTGTGGCTATTTTGCGTCATACTTACTGCCATTGGTGTGTTCCCTGACGACCCCAACGTGTATGGATACGCCGCCCGAACCGACCTGAACACCATGGTTATGGAACGTGCACCTTGGTTCAGCTTCCCGTATCCAGGTAAAAGTCTCGTATTATCGCCACAATCATGTCGGGGTTCCTCAAAGGGAATTAAAAAAAAAGCAGTCCTGATGTTATTGGGCTGCACACAATCGTGACAGACAGATCCGGTAAGCCCCCCCCCGCACCTGTGCCGGCCACACAGCATGTTACACTTGAACATCATATGCGCATGTTCACGCGTGTCGGACATAAAATTACAGTTGTGATTGGTCAAAAAACCATGCGTACTATCCTTTGCAATAATAGGTGAAACTTTTAGGGGAAACCCGAGTTGCTTGCGGGAAAATGTTTTTCTAAGGGCACCGAAGCAAATGAAAGTTGCGGCTTGTAAACAAGCACTGATCCTATGGTGCTTTCGTGAATACCCCAAAATGTGTTGAAAAGTGTTCCCTTTAGGCCCTATATGTAACAGAGGGGATAGGGGGGAGGCTACTTTGGCCTCAAGACGAGTCCCGTGCCTCCTTATTCTACTAATATAGAATATCGAGTAAAAAAGGCCAAAACTGTGCGATCCAAGGCACTGCATATATTGCAGCACAGCATATGCCCAGGTTGTACTGTATTTACATTGTGAACGCAGGTTAAAGCTTTATTTTACTTTTGATAGGGCAATGGGGCACGCCCACCGTGAGGCTTTCCAGTGTTCTCGGCATGACGGCCGGCGTCTTTGCTTCCATCGTCGATTCCGTTGGTGATTACTACGCATGCGCCAGAATGTGTGGTGCCCCACCTCCTCCCCAGCATGCTATTAACAGGGGCGTGCTGATAGAGGGAATTGGATGCATACTGGCCGGGGCCTGGGGATCTGGAAACGGAACTACGTCACACAGTTCAAACATCGGGATTATTGCACTTACAAAAGTATGTTGACGTGGTTAAAACCTTATTTTTCGCTCTCTCTTTCTGACGGCTTTCGAATGAATTTATACATCTGAAAAAGTGATTTTTGAAGCAATACTTGAAAAAATACAAAAGTATCAATTTCTTCACACATCTGATATCTTAGGATGCACCATTTACTTTTCCGATGATTGCCAGTTTTGAGACAAGACTAGTCTTCGCGCATCTTGCGAGGCTCCTCTGTTGAAATCCTCCAGAGCCACGTTTGTAGCCCTTATTCGAGTCAAGTTTCCCAAGCGTGTTGTGTCAAAACAATTCGCCACCAGGTCGGCAGTCGGGTGGTTGTCCAAGCGGCGGGCTGTATCTTGATGTTCACCGGACTGCTTGGAAAGTTTAGTGCCTTCTTCGCAACTACACCAGAACCAATCGTGGGGGGCGTCCTATGCATCGTAGTCAGTAGGTTTTAAAAATTCCAGATAATTCAAGATCATATTTTTCGAGTCAATGACTCAAAAAACAAGAGTTTAAATGTTAAAAAAGATACTTTGTCTGGACCTGGAGTATTGTAAAGAGAGAAAAGAAAAGTCAAGAAATCCACTCTGTTTACCTCTAATTGAGGACGTTTGCCGATAATTAATTCATCTTTTTAAGGTATGGTTACATCGGTGGGGTTGTCCAACCTCCAGTTTGTGGACCTCAACTCATCCCGTAACCTCTTCATTGTGGGCTTTTCTATCCTGATGGGCCTCGTGGTGCCTTATTACCTCGAGCAAAACCCTGGAATCTTGAAGACCGGTAACAACCTTAACATTCAAAAATATCGCTCATTGCTTGGTATTGATCATCAGTGGTGCTGCCTCACCCAAATTATTTATGCTTTTTGGTTCGGTACATTATAGCATGAAAGATTTAGAAAATCGGCTAGAGTTCACTTCAGAATTGTGATTGTGTTCCATTTCTGCAGGTTTTACCGAGATAGATCAGATAATTTCGGTGATGCTCACCACGGGCATGTTTGTTGGTGGATTTCTGGCGATTCTACTGGACAACACCATACCTGGTTGGTTACCAAATCGGAATATGGCTGTAATATTTTTTCTGTTTTATTCGTGGGAAAACAGGAGTCACTAGAAGTCTGAGTCGACGATAAATAGCGATAAACATATTTGACTGGCAATATCGATCGCAACACATGCAGGTACCGACGAAGAACGGGGAATTCATTCCTGGCGGCAGCATATCACCTCTGACGCCGGGAACGAAGAAGAGGGGGCGGAACCAGAAACAGACAAAAACAGAGACGGAGGTGAAGGTCAAGACATTGAGCTGGATGTGATGCATGTTCCTGATCAGCTGCAAGCGGACGTCAACGAGAAAGGCTCGTCGATGCAGACCGCTTCGCCAGACAGCTACGACCTACCCTTGGTTATGAGGTTCGTCCGACGTTGGGCCTGGTGCCGTTACCTGCCGTTCAGCCCGACTTTCCGGGGATTCAAGTTCGGTTGGATGAAAAAGATATGTAAGAAAAAAGAATCGGTAGATTAGAATGGGACAGGTTTGAAAAAAGCCAATAGAGTCACGCGTATGCAGAGACTCTTGACAATTTTTTTTAGCTCTTAATTACACTTACGGATTTTGGGAGGTCAATTCTGTCTTCATTTTGCATAGGGAGATGTAAAAGGAAGAATCCTTTATTAAACTTGTGTTAGGCTGATTGTGACAAATCAACACGTGTATTCTAGCTTTAGTTTATGAGTTGATCACGTAATGTTCAGTATCATTATAATAACCACACGTTACAGGTAATATTTTGTATTCATTAAACCTTTTAAACACTATTCGAAGGAGGAGTCATGTATAGCTGCGGTGGCCCTATGCTGTCGTTCTTGAGCTTGACGCGCGCGTCATTTGGAAAGTAAAAGAAACCATCAGCCTTGAGTCGAAGTGCACCCTCACTGGCAAAAGAAAGACAGGCTGGTACGAAGTTTTTCCAGCAGGTTCTTGCACGAGTTCAGTTCCAGAATAAATTTGTTGGCGTACATAGCGTGCCCCGCGTCAACGCGCATAGACCTGCGCGCCTATATGCGGTGAGTTCGTACCAAAAGGCTGTCGATTTCATTTAAAAATACGCCCTCTTTTGTTCTCACTCGGAGCGGATTTGTCAAAAAGACATGTAACGCACGCGTATCCATGAGCGTTGTACTATACCGCAGTAGTGGCTTCCAATTCTGCTTGCCAAATCGCACCATACACTTTAGCCACCTTCCTATTGATCGAAAGCCCACCACATAGCCGGTCTTACCGTGAAAAGCACTTGGCCATACATTGGGTGATGCTGGACCTCTGACTGGACGAGAATAGTCGGAATCATCGGGCCTAGTATCCAGAGTACTGGCTGTGCGCCACCGTATGCAGTACGCGCCGTGGGCGCACCAATATTATATGACTGCTTGCGAGAGAAAGTGGCTAGAGGGATCTTGGGAAAAAAAGGAAGTAAACAGTTAAACAAAATCGATGGAAATTGTAATTTTAAATGTATTTTGACTTTCTGGCTCGAAAGGTATATGTTATGAGCTTGGTTGGTCTAGTCTTAAAGCAACGTTTAAGAGCTCAGGAGATCAGACGTTGATAATGCCCTCGCCTGCGGCTCGTCGTTTCTCGTAAAGCCCACGGCATCAAACAAATACTTGAGACCGGCCGAGCACATTATTCATGAGCATTAGTGATGGTCTTCATTGTAGCCCCTTTTTAGTTTATATTAAAAATGAGTGTTTTTCTCCACCACGCCAAATTTCTATATAGAATACCTTATTTTCTAGCTGTTCTTTTTTTTTGGGGGGGGGCTTCACATAGAAACACCCAGAACAGCTTTCTTTTCTTTAGGATTTCATTTTTCAGTCATACACTTATAAACGTATTGTTAGAAATTGCCTTTTCAGGATGTTTACATCTGCATCTCATCCTTTCACTCAATTGCAAATATAGATTAACCTGACGGGGCTTAAGCCATTATAGCCTTGACCCTGTGTATTATCAAATCAGAACACGTGATAATAAAGTCATGGATTCTTGTTTCACCTGATGGATTTTTTAATTGCAGTATTTCTATATTTAAAAATTGCTCTTTAAATCATCATTCCGTTTGTAATTAAAAGTGTTAAGAGAGGCCGAGTAAAAGCAATACATGTATTTGTCACATTAATTTCAAAGTAGTTATAATAGAAAGTAGGTTTGCGGTAGCACCATGGACGTATCTCTTTTGTGAGTATTTGTGGTTCTGAAAAGTACCACTGGTTCTTTTCAGAACCGCAAATACTCACAAAAGAGATACGTCCATGGTGCTACCGCAAACCTACTTTCTATTATACCTCTTCACCATGCAAACCTTCAAGACTTATCTTCAAAGGAGTTGCGTCTAAAAACCAGCTCATCCATCTGGAGTTTTCATCCTACCTCTTAAACCGTCAGAGTTGCTGACTCGAGTCATGTGACTTGGACTCGAGTCGCTATTTTTTGTGACTTGTGACTTGACTCGTAAATCATTGATTGGGACTTGACTCATACTTGCAAAAATTGACTTGTGACTTGACTTGGACTTCCAAAAAAATGACTTGTTACCAACCCAAGTCAGACGCTACTCGACCAGCCCCGTATATTTGTAGGGGAGCTATGGAGGCATTTTTAATTGGAGAAAAGGTGTTCAGCTGTCCGAAATTCATAGCTCGTAACTTCGGAAGTTGACGCCTGGTTCTGTTGGTTTATTACAGCTGGAGACTTGTGACTTGACTTGTTTTTAGACCAAGTGACTTGACTTGCCCTGTTACCAAATGACTTGTGACTTCACTTGTGACTGGACTTGACTCGTGACTTGACTTGGACTTGCAAAAAATGACTTGCTGCCACCTCTGTGATTGTTTTCTAATTGCCTTCTATCCGCTAAATTTAAAGTGTGCAAAATCCCGTCCGACACAATGCCTGTGGTCGCAACCATGTTGTATAGCGCCCCCTTTCGTTAATGATCTCGGGCGGCTAGGCTGCATGCGATATGCATGTTCAACCAGAAAAGAAAATGGCGACGTGAAATCTTGTTCGGCTAGACAACAAAACGCTATTTCGTTGGAAATTTTAGGCTAAAGCCGCATGAATTCAATTATAAAATTATCCAGACTTTGAGGAAGAAATACACAGACACTAAAGCTACGATTTGGGACTGGATTGAAGGGAAGAGTCCAATTACGTGGATATGATCTTAACTGTGAAAATTTTACAAACACACGGAAGAGAATGCTGCGTAGAGGTAGGGCTACGTACGTACAGTTCAACGTTCATGTGCCTTGGCTTGGGCACAACATTGCAGAATAAGCCTACCCCGCCACTCAATTATGCCATCATATATCAGGCTATGGAGTCATAGTTAACTGCCCACCAACAGCACAGTAAATAATTACATAGGCTTTGAAGGTGTGTATTTTGAGTGGCCATGGTGGCGGCCTGGGTATTCTGCAGTTTATTACGGCCTGAGCCCACTCTGTATTCATTTACGTGTGGGCAATTTACATCTGTGACATTGTAGGGCTTACCTCTCTGTGCCCCCATGCCATGCCCTTTTTAAGATGGGGTTTGTGTATTTGAGGATGCCTCTTTTTTCTGTACTTTAAACTTTTTATTCCACAAATCGTGCGGTTACTCAATATAATGTCGTCATCTAGGCCTACCTGCATGACATGGGTAAGTCCAAAAGTTAAGAAGTATTTTTCCAAACATTGGAATGGATCCACAAATACATCAACCCCTTTAAAGACAATGTTGAAGTCATGGAAATATTATGTTCAGTGACAGGGTAGCGTTCTCGGTCAAACATGAGTTGGGCTCAAGCAGTCGATAGTGTCGTATAATTTGCCGGTAATTCTGTCATCAGCCTGCTGCTGCCAGCCATTGGCCCTTTTGTTTCTTATTTGCAGTTACAGAAGACTGTTTTGAAAAATTGGAAGCTATTAAAGTCTGAGATATCAAACAGGATCGACTGATAGCAAACTGTGATTGCACTGAATGACTGATAGCACCAAACAGTCAGTGGCAAGTTAATGGCTTTCTTGTTGACTAACTGCGTGGATTTTGTTTTCGTACAAGGTGACGGCAACGGAGCCCATTCTCTCTGTCAAACGGATGGTTGCCAAAGAATTAGATGTCCCAGTCCACCAACAAAGACTTGTCTTCAAAGGAAAAACGTTATCTGGTAAGCTCTTGATGTCACACAAGGAGTCAGCAACATACACAGTCTACACATGGGCCTGGGGCTGTTTTCATCACTTTGAATTTAAAACTCAGAAAGATAAATTCTATAGTGGACAAACTTCATACTTGCCTGCGGTTGTCACTAATTTTGCCCTGCGATGACATTCACTTTTAGCTGGAAAAGTATTGAAGCAGTTTTTCCAAATACTTTTCAGACCATTCCCACAGCATTGAGACAGCTTGTGATTGGTTTGTGATAGCCTGTGATAGCTTGTGATGGGCTTACGATAGCTTGTGATCGGTTTGCTGACTTTGCAATTAACTTTAATGGCTTGTGACAGTTTCTAATGCACTCTGAACTGGAACAAGAGAGGGCTTGGTCTTATGTAGAAAGGACAGTCTTTGGTGGGAACTCACTGTGTGAGTGCATAGGTTCCGTGGGCATTTAGCGCAGGGTGCACTGAGCTTGTGCAACCAATTTATGTTGATACATGTATGTAGGGTCATAGCTTGTCCATCACGCCAAGCTCAGTTTGAAAAACTTTCCACCAGCATGCCTTTCTTTTGCCAGTGAGCATGGTGATGGTCCACTTCAACTCAGTGTGGATTGGCTTGTGATGGCTTTTATTGCGTTGTAATGACTCAGTTACAATTCTGTTGTGTTTACCATGTTCACATGCTTTGATCCAGATGGCCAGTGCTTGTGTGACTACAACATTGGCCCAGACACCAAGATACACCTAGTCATACGCAGACCAGACGCCTCTGAAGACCTGACCAGCCCCTCCAGAATAGGGAAAGGCACAGCATTGTGGGAAGAGTTACAGAAATTACTCCGGAAGCATTTCACCTCAGAAGATGCAGAAAAGGTTCTGGAACAATTTAAGAAGGTAAATCGACATCACAGGTGTTTGTGTGTGGAAGTACAGTCACAGAATGAAGTCATGAAACAACCTTGTTTTGTTTCATTCTACCAAGCAAGGAAAACTACGTGTAAGGCCCCCCAAAAAGTCTCTGGTTACTGGTCAGGAGCTAGCTCCAAAAGTGGTGCAGCAATGTGGCTTTTTTTACCCCTCACTTTTTTTCTGGAAATGCATGCTCACGCAAGGCCGGCCGCTATCAACACTAAAATAGACTGAGCTCCGTTTTACTGTTTAAAAGCATTTTCAGCTAGTACATGTACGCAGGACATAAGACCACCTTGTTTGTCTGGTTCCCAGACACATGTGTAAATGTGTAATACAGAAATGACGTCATCTGAAAAAGAATGCCGGACTAAACGTATAGAAAACTAGAGGGACTCCTTTACTGTACACATTGCTCAACTGTACCCCATCAAAACCACATTAATATTACACAGTAGCAGGATTCCAGTCAATTAAGCAAATTTGGCAGCTTTTGGACATTGTTTTATACCAAATAAAAAACTTTTATATTTGGCCGACACGCAGGTCTATGGCCAGGTGTGCGCTGACCAGAAACCAGAGACTTTTTTGGCCTAAGTACTTGTCACAAGTAAATGGTTGATGTCATCGTCTTCGGGACTTGTAGCCCCATCCGTATTGTCATCCTGTTGACAATTCTGCTTTATTTGTATTCACACGATGACATTGGCTTACTCTCATTGTTGAATTTTTTAGATTCAGGGAACTTCCATCAAACTTTACCCTCGCGTAGAAGGGAAAATCTCACCAAACCGTACCAAATGGGCACATGCGACATTCCAATTCCCTAATGGCATTTTAACCAAAATTAATTCATTCTGCCGTCTCCGTGCCGCAGGAGTTCTCTACAAACATTGCCAGTCTCAGCCTGGACGACATCGAGAGGATAGCCATGTCTAAGCTTGGAGTGTACCCAGATGGCAGTGAGGCAGGTCCCTCAACGAGCTAAGGGTCACGGCCATCCGGCTTGTCTCTCTTTGCCTGCAGTTGCCCATCTGCAAATGCTTGTCATTCTGCAAATGCCTGTTTTGGCTCCCTTGAGAAAACGACTTTTAGGTGGATTCGAACCCTGGACCACTTGCACTCCGCATCAGATGAGCTGGCGTAAGAGGCAACAGTGATTTCCCCCCCCCCCCGGTTTATGAGGAAAGCTGTGTAATAGTGATTCTTGCTTGGTTTCCTTGAACCACTATTTTTCTTTAGTTGCATAATAAATTCCATCAATGCCTTCAGTTTGCTTCCCACTTTAGCATAATTTTCCTGTCAATTCTCTGCAATTAATTTAACTTCTGATTAGCAGCAGTAACAATGCCGTTTACATGTCATATTTACTTTTTCCCCATGTTTTTGAAGATCCGCCGTGGGGAAATTCCATCCTTTGTTTCCTTCACTCATTTTGGGTCACATGACTCTGAGACTAACCAGTCAAGTATCACATTAGTTGCATTCTTTTGAAAAGTAATGCAAATGTTCTAATACAGAAAATGAAATACATGCAACTGTTGAGCCCATTGCAAGTCAAGTAGAGTTCAAATCCACTGACATTCAGTGACTATTTCATGTATGTATTTTCATTAGAATTAAATCAATATCAATCAATCCCAGGCTCAATATTCAAAAGCCCATGGAGGTATTAGCCTCAAGTGCATTTAATGAAAGACGTTAAAGGAATCTTCAGGTCAGGGGACCAGACTGCAAAAGTGAGAGGTTGGGAAACCAGTCTAGCGCAAGATTTTACCTCACTGGTTCACCTGCTTTGTTATTACCATTTCAGAATAATTTGATGTGGCCTGCTCTCATAGTAATGAAGACTTGGTCACTTCATATTTTCAACTTTGCAGTTATAGTGCATGTTGGTGACATGTATATAAGGACTTCTGTTAACATCTTAATTATTGAATGCAAAAACTGAAACAAGGGGACAAAATGTCGTGAGAGTTTTGCCAAATTGCAGAGCGGCAAAGGTGGATTCGACGCTTGTGAAGCAAAAGGTGGATGGTTGTCTCTGAACCGTGTAGTGTTGAGATCAAATCAACATGGATCCCCATTGGTGCTCGTGCGGTTCATGTGATGAGATGATGTACATATTGGAGCTGCTTTTGGGGATGCCCCGTTGTGGAGAAAAATTAGGTGAAAAAGATTGGTTACGAATTCAGGCTGGTATGGTGTTGTAGTTCACTCTGTCAGGACGGTCGTTTCGTCTGATGGACTTGGCCATAAAGGGTCGAATGGATCGATTACTTTTTAACACCGATGCAAACCAAAAGATCGAAAGAACTAGTAAGAGGCCTATGTACATGTACATCACATGAGGACTGTATTGTTAAGCGTTCGTTTTTTGTCATTTGAAATTTGATTAACTTTTGAAAATCGTAGTGATATGTTTTCGTTGTCGATCGATTTTTGTTTTTTCTTTTGTATAAAAATAAGATCTCTTAAAATAAAAAGAAAAATCACTCAAGACATTTTATGCATGCTGTCTTCATTTTTGGAGTTCCATGCATAATGCTGGGGTCTTGTCACCGAGACCGCATTTTGTGAGCAGTGTTGAAAACTGAAATCATCATAAACTTCTTGGTGGACTAACAGTGACAGTAGAATTTGCGAGAGATTACTCTTGGTGCGCATTTAACGGATCCGTTTTACGTGAAGACTTTGGGCATTGATAAAGATAGTTAACTAGGCGCGTGCTGACGCGTTTTTTTTATTTCATATACCAGTTTAAAGGGTTTGTAAAAGTTAGCTTTCTTGCAGATAGCTATCTGTACTGACAAATGATTTTTTTTATAAGACATTTCCTGTTACACTAGTAACAGTTACGTTTTCCATGATTTTAAACATATTATAAGGGCAATATTTTTTGCAGCTTCTTCAACAGAGCAAACTTTATTTTCAAAATACGGGGTCACGTGAAGTTCGAGTTGATGTATTCACGTGATTCACGGACATGAATCGGGACTAACTGTTGTACAGCAGTCGGCCAGGTGTTTTTTTCATTTGAATAGTTCCCGATGTATCCCTTTGACTCGCATCCGTGCGATATGTCATTCGCGTGCAGTTGATTTTTTTCTGAAATTTGATTTTCACTCGGGGATAATAATAACTGACAGACTCTCTTCAGATTTAGTTGCACTATTCGTGTTTCAGCACAGTCATATTAGAGGATAGAGCTGCGACAAATTATGACACTGGACACAAAATGGAGAATTGCGGTGATGTGCTGTCAATTATATTGCATATACTCAATGTTATGCTCTGTAAACCATTTTGTGTCCGTGGCGCGCCAGTTGTTGCAATTCTTCAGCTCTGCATCGGATGTCTCGGAGTGATTCAAGCTGCAAGTTGTGCCATTTCCACGGAAACCGGCGATTCCACGGAGTTGTTGTGCCGGCTCCTTTCCCGCCAAGTTTGGACGCGCCCTAAGATCGGTTCCAGCAGCAACACCACACCACTGCCCAGAAAGGCAATAGCTCCAACCACATAGACAGCCGAGTAGTCTTGGATGTGCGCGTACACAAAACCTTACGTAAACAATCAAAACAAATGAAGGTAACTTGAAGTATGGCCTTCTTATTGAAGAAAACTTGCCCACGACACTACACTGAAAAAAATTGGTTATTGCAATTAACAACTTTTCTACACGCTTTCTTATTGGCTATTTGTAATCAATTTTTTTTAAAACACTACATGTTGGTGTTTAGTATAAATGAATAGAACTGGACAGGAAGTGATATATGTGTTCACAAAGTGGCAGCAATGTGATGTTCATTTGCTAAATAGTTATTTGAGTGCACATCTCTTTGGAGAATCACGTGAAATCTTTTACCATTTCTTGAAGTAAACTGTGTATTATTCTGAAAGGAAGCAAAACCCCGGAAGAAGGGTAGAACCAAAATCCAGGTATTGCATAGTGTGACGACACGGAATGTAAAATAATTATTGGTTCATGTACATGTATAATTCTTTCTGTTCGCCGAATATTTCAAGGGGCTGAATTACATTGGGGCAACAGTGTAATATCATTTTCATCGCAATACTTTATCGCACTTACCGGCAAGTGGTGGTCCTACCAGAAAGCCCAGTCCTTGCATTTCAATGACCAGTCCGAAGGAGTAGCCCAACGACTCCAAACCAACGTACTCAACGAGGAGAGCAGGCACCAGCGGGTCTGTTGACCCGGCCACAAGCGTGTAGGTGGCCGCTGTCAACGCAAGGGTGGAGTACGTGGATGCGGTCGACATCAATGCAAGCAAGAAGCAGGAGATGAAAAGCGAAGCCACGTATCCCATCAGGCGGTGGGAGACGCACATGACACGGTCGAAGATGAACCCGACAACCAGACGACCCACTGTGTCCGTGATACCCATGACAGCTAATATGACGGCCCAAGCGTCTTGCTCCAAGCCGCGGGACAAGGCAAAGGCTTTGAAGTACATGTATGGAAGCTGGTAGCCGATGCACAGAATGAAACCCGAAAACCAGAAGAAAACGAAGAACCGGTTGCGGAACAGACCGCCAATAGTCGTCAGCGTGCTCAGACACTCTTGGCAGTTTCTTGTGGGCGTGACGTTAGATGCATCTTCGTTATCTGTGTCTTTTTGAGAACTGCCTTCCTCAAGATCATCTCGGAGTCCTGCTTCGATGGAGGTGACTGAAACTCCAGAAGCGTTGTCTGTGAGGTCACCCAACACTGGGTACAACCTTTCCTCCTCGGGAAGGCATTCGAGGAGAGTGGTTGTTGGTAACTGATTCAGGGATCCTGGAGCCGAAGGGTCTTGGGACGCCTCCAGAGCCGAAGGCACCGACAATCTAGAGTTGTTATCCCGAAAGGAATTGTCCGTAGCCAACGGAGACCCAGCGGTGGGAGAGGTGATCGGAGACTGCAAGAAGCTGCTCACACCCGCTCTGACATTCACGCTTTGCTGCCAGCTGCCAATTGTAAATCCTCCCGGATTTGGCGAGTAAGCTGTTGGGCTGTGCACTGGTGACGGAGGAGAGGAGGCATGCACGATCTCTATCGCTGGAAGTGGCCCGGCAGGGGAGATTCGGCTGCCTGACTCGCCCACAGATGAAGAGTTGTTGGCGAGCGAACGTCCCCTGACGTTGTTCGCTGCCGAGGGAGACGGCAGCCCAAAGAAACTGTCCAGCAAATACGGTGAGGCGGGCACCGGCGAGTTTCTCGGTGACTGCAGCAGCACGCTCCTGCCCACTTTGACGCCGATGCTCTGCTTCCAACTCCCCACAGGGGAGTTCAAGCTCTGCGCGCTTGCCCCAGTCTCTGGCCGGCTTAAAATGGCCACGGTCTGCTCTGTGTGTTCCTGGGCCATTCCATCGCCATCAGTGGCACTGTTATCGACATTAATGTCCCTGTCACCTTCAGCCCCAGAAACACGCACTGGGATTTTTCTCGCTAGGTAGGTGGCTCCACAGAGACACAGCATCAGTTCCAGGACCCCGAGAACGATGAACGAATTCCTCCACCCGAGGTTAGCCAGGAGGCTCTGATTGACCGGGGCGAAGATGAATGTACCCAGACCCGAGCCGGATGCAGAGATCCCCGCCGCAAACGCTCGCCGCCGCTCAAAGAAATTTCCCAGCATGACGATACATGGAAGATAGCTCATTCCGAAACCAAGACCTGTGTCCGAATACATAAAGTTTATCACCTTTTTTCCAGAATTTGTATTGATCGTGCTGAGATCTTCTATGAAGTGAATCACAGAGCAAAAATAGCCATTCCATTTGCCAAAGCGTTTCTCAAATGGCAATATGGTCTGCTTGATAATCCTTGTTTTTGTTGTTTTGATCTTCCTTAACCCTAACACTCAATCCTTCACCTGTTGGAGGACTGAGGAGTGTTAGGGTTAAGGAAAATCAAGTTCTAAGCGTCCTCAATCCTCCAATTTCAGATACCCCCAAGGGGTTTACGGTTAAGCACAACATGCAAGCTTTGCTAATGCTGGATATCCTTATTTACAATCTTGAATCTGTTATCCCAACTGGCTGCCATACTGAAACAACCGACACTCAAGAACATGCATATAAGGCTAGTTAGGCTACTGAGTAAAACGTACCAGCAAGTACCCCAAACGAGAAGTAAAGATGAATTAGGCTCGTTGCCGTGGCGCTGAGAATAAAACCCGCTGATGCCAAGGCCCCGCCTACTACAGCCACTGCGCATGCACCAAACTTGTCAATGAAGACACTAATCATGGGACCTGTTTGCAAAAACGAAAGTAAAACGAATTGAAGTTTAATAATTTCTACATCAACATGGTTTTTAGAATATTGATCGCCCTAGTATTTGACGTAACATTAACAACTCGAGTCGCAGATATGTGGAATAAAACAGCACTTTAGACAAGACTAGAACGTTAATTTTCAGATACGATACTAAATTCATATACCTGAACACAGCATCATTCCAAGCATAATGGAGCCCGTCCATGACGTTTCGGCGTTCGTCCCACCAAACTCCCTCAAGAGTTCAACATGGAACGCCCCGAGGGTGGCATAGCTCATTCCAAACGTCAGGATATGGGTAAAGAGGGCGGCGATCATGATCAGCCACGCCCATCCCCTGTCCAGATTCTTTGGATGGACTGATGTTGCCGGAGACGAAGCAGGCACATTGCTACCAGCCAGTGGTATGCTGGTGATCACCTCAGCCAGGTCCAATCCGTCCAGCTTGTCCGGCCCGGCTGGACCGGCGGGTTGCCTGCAGCAGCCCTGTGCGTCCCCAGCAGCATTACTGACCAGGTCCGGTTGAACGGTGGGTAGTTCGGGCGGTGCAACGGGCATGCCAGCCTGGCACGGAACGGACATTGCCTTATATTGTTAAATAAGAATAAAAATAAAATTTGTTTATAAAGAAATGACCACGAATACGAATGGAGTAAAACTGGGGAAAACTTGTAATTGTCCGGGATTGCATGATGGAATCTCGTAGTGTGAACTGCACTTTGAAAGCCGCAATCGCCCTATGTGCAGGCTTTCGAGGGCCAAATTGCTTAGTATATATGATCGAAAGATGCAGACCAGGGGCCAATTTCATAGAGCTGATTAAGGACACAATTTGCTTAAGCGTGAAAACCTTGCTTAAAAACAAAGATTACAAGCTCAAACTCTATAATGATTGTCGTGCCAACCAAAACAATAGACATCACATGGAGTTTTGGCTGGTTGCCTGATTTATCAAGCAACGTTTTTTAAGCAAATTTTGCGCTTAAACCGCTCCGTGAAAGCAGCCCCTCGCTGAAACAAAATGTTGGAACAGTAAAATTAAGATACGGACCAACATACACATGGTTTAAGCATCCCATACACATACAAATGAAACCAAAACATAAAGTTATCCTTAAAAGCAGAAATTTCTACAATATTTTAGTCCTTTTTAAACATTATTTTCCCCAGAATAAAGGCCGCGTATTACAAAAAATGTGCCAGTGTCCCACTGAATTAGAAGTGTAGATGCATATTCCAGGCAGAAGGCCGTCAGCATAAATCGTAAATTACTGTTAAAGTCAAGTTTTTATTTATAAAAATGCACAATATTATTTTAATCACCAACAGACCTTCATCAATCTTATATTCAGACTTTTGTGGTTTTTCTCAAAAAGTAATATTTGGGCTTTTTCTTGGCACACAAGAAAACCCAAGCCACTACTTGTAATTTGATCTGATAAGCATCAGGATAGGATTTTCAGAGCCATAGACTATGCCAACAAAATCAATAAACCCTTGCCAAGCTAATGTTTTTAAAACAGTATTTTGTTACTTAGCCTAGTTCTCCATGTAGGCTAACATGTACCTCAGAGGACGAAAATTGTATGCGATGCTCAAGCTATGTTCGCATCGCAATCTCACCGCTGTCAGGCTCCGTCAATACCCGGCGAGATGGAATGCTGCAAGCTGAGCGGAGCTTGACTTAAACGGACACAGCCTCCGTCGATGTCGTCACGGTGTAAGCAGCCAGCAATCGGTTTGCCGTTGGCTAGGCACCCAAAGTCAGGCCGCGTGTTGATGTTCGTGTATAAGATGGAACTGTCGTCTTCAGCGTGGAGGGCTTTGGTTTCCATGGTAATAACGCGCGTCTCTCTTGGTTCCTTGAATCATGCGCGTAAATGCAAAAGGGACAAAATTTAATAGAGACCTCTGGGCTCTTTCAAGACAGTCCGATCCTGTAATTGGTCCTTCTGGCTCAGTGTTGCTTGAACATACAATTATACTTGTAGCCCTCTTTGTCTTCATATCATCATTTACAAAGAACAGGCAATGAAAAGTTTCACACTGTTTTGAGGTGAACAACTGCAGTTCAGAAATCTCATAATACAAGTGTTAGAGATAAAAACCCCCCTTCATTGGCCTGCAGCAAGATGTCTGGAAGTCCTTGAAGGCCATATTGAGGATGCCCACGGAGAGAGGTGTCACGCTAGGGACGGGGGGGGGCCTGGTGGTTATGACCGTGGATGGTGGTATGGGGGAGGGGATGCAGAGCGGCCGCGTGGAGGAATCGAGTTATCCGGATCCAGCTGTATCGCCAAGAGAAGCGCCCCCGACCGACGTCGTGTGGTTTTCCTGGTCGTGGGCGGGGATGCGCAGGCGCGGCTGGCTGGCCGCCCCCGGCCCCACGTACGTACGTACGTACGGACACACGGCTGCTGGATTGTGGTTGCTTCTAAAGAAAATGATGCACGGTTCCGAACATGACTTGACCAATTTTGGTCAATAAGCATGTACGTACGGGCTTAAATGTGCCAAGGAAGTGGTGCCCGTCATTTCTGCCGTGCTGCATGATCTGATGTAAGGCCTACTCCCAGAATGCAGGAAATTCCCTGTCATGGTAATTCCATTCCAACTGACAAGTTCTAAGTACATAGTACGCCACATACGCACTGGAAGTCGCATCAGGTTGAGAGGGTTCGTCGCGACTCCACTCCGGGATTTCACTGTAGGCCTTGCTCGTCAATGTTGATGTTGATCTGGTTGCACAGCTAGCTTTGTGTAACTCTAATTGCTCCATGATGGCTACAGTGGAGAAAAGGCCAACATTTAGCCCTTCTACAAGTTCTGCATACTTAGTGACCTTAACATTGTTAGAAATGTTACTGTTTTCGCCAACTGTATTAAGCGATTGTGATCAACCATGCTCCCCGGTGAGTACACGTAGGCTTGCATGATGTAGTTCATTAGTGTTTAGTCTGTCCTTGCAGATCCTTGTCAGGTGCATGTGCCATATTTTGTTCTGGGCTTAAGCTGTACTCTCAAAATGCATACCGCACGAACGTAGGTCGTTAACAAATTGTGACGGAAAGTGTGGAATTTCGCAGAATTTCCTACAAAATATGTTGTTCACGGGCGTATTAATGAAATCTTGCATAACGTTGTTGGGTTCAGCATGGTTAGGGTTAAATTTAAGTAATTTATGGAAGCATTTATGGAATTCAGGATACAAGGCACTTGGGAACGAGATTTCTGTCTTCTTCAAGTAAAAATGTGAGAAAAACTTTTAAAAAAAATTTCGCATAGTAGGAGGACTTTCATACCCTGGACGTTAGTCGCAATGTAATGTAAACGTTGTCCAACCTGGGCTAATGTACATGTACCGTATGTAGACCGGTGTGAAAAATTGCACATTATGATGGTTATGTGTTTTCCAAGTCATATCACAATATCTTCGCTGGGATTCTGTGGGAAAGCGTTTCATCAGACACCACTGAGTTTCCCTTAAAATGTCATAACAGCCATCTGAAAGTTATAATGTCCCAAAAAGTGAAATTTAGCAAGGAAAATTCCGAAGCATTACTTGGAAAACACTTTGGGTTTTTTGAACAAGTCTCATAAGTGTGTGCACAGGGGTATCTCAAGTGTTGTCCACAAAAGAACATTTTGTCTTTTCCCTGCTAAATTTGACATTTTATGGCATTGTAATGCATTCAAATGACTGATTTACATGAAGGCTCACCATGCCATGCTTTATCATGCACTTTTTTAAACACTTCATTCACAAAAATGTTAAAATGGGTTGTACATGTACTGGGTAGGCCAACATGATTATAGAAGACGGAATAGTTTTTAAATATTGATAACGGTATTTCATTTTTCCCATCAAGTTTATACAGATCCCTAACAGTCCCAAATCCTCTGATTTCAATATGAGTTTATGCCCTAGGGGGTTAGGATTAAAAAATCTGTTCTTGGTATGTGTTCATGCCTTGAATGAATGCCATTATTAAGAGGCAAGCCATTCAAATGTGCTGTTTATGGTGTGCTATTTGAAATTCATCCCTGTATTGACGGGCTGCGATACTAACAAATGGCACCATAGTTGAAATGGGACTGCCCCTGGGCCACACCTGGGTTGAGGTGGTCTGATGACATGCTCACCTCTCTTGTTCACATCATGTGGAAACTGAACCCCGCCAAAAATTGGTTGGATCCATCATTGCAATCCATTGGTACATTAGGCATAGTATAAAGAGAGAAATTAGCCTCATCCATTGACAGTACAGGCGTCCCCCACTCTTGGTCTTCCCTATACTGCCCTCATACCAACAAACATGACTGAGAACAGGCCAGAATTCCTCCATCATTGCCCCCCGAAATCACGACCCCATTGGATACAAGTAAGTTTACTTCACTGACCACACACCCTGTATCGGTTATGTTTGCTTAAAAAAATGCGACATCTCCCTTACATGTAGAAAAGACTTGTACCACCCCTCTTGAAAATTGTATAAATGTTCCCATGCAATTTTCCCCATATCACTCAAACTTTATGTCAGATCTTCCATCTTATAATGCATTTCTAGGCATACATGTTGATGAACATACATGTACTCGCCATAAGTTGTGTCAGCCCCACCTGATATGTTCTGTGGTGCAGCGTTGTTACTTGAATCAAAGAAAGGAAATACATGTGTGAGTTCACCGTAGTAAAAATGTCTCATTGTAAGCCGAACAGAGCCATTGCATTTCTATCTTTTCTCCACTTCTGCCACCACTTTGTCCACAGCTACATGTACCAAAATATCATTTAAATACAAGCTCTTACGATATTATTGCTCCATTGCTCTAACGAGGAAGCTTTACACATGTTTCATTCCTGTGTTTGTGTACATGTGTCCATGCCAGACACGCCCCCAGTCTTGGAAAGCGCTGCTGAAACATTTTAGGAAGTCCAGTTCAAAAATAAATGTTGATGTTTCCAGCTCTTCAATATCCTCCCATTGTCTTTGGACTGGAGAAAGAGCCAGGACTGTTGAAACAACATAATGCTCAGTCCAGCTTCTTTGCCATTTGGTTTTTAATGACTGCACATTTTCTATAGATTGGCAATGTTCACTTCCTTGTTCATTTTTATCTGTCATCAGTCACACAACTTGTCCTAGTGCCTTGTTTGCTCTACAAAATACAAACATTGAAACTAAATCAGAGCAGTCATTAAGTCCCAATCACAACAAAGGTGTACCATTGTTTCTGTTTCACTTAATTGTACTGGTCCACGCAGGGTGCACCGCTGATAATGTACACACGTACAAAATGTACACATGCAGAGTGTAGCCAGGGTTTTCATTGGGGGGGAATTGGGGAGCTGGATATGATCAAGTGGGGGGTGTAATTAATCCCAGTATTTTCTTGATAAATACTTTCATTTTCTGTATTGTTGAAATTTCAGGGGGGGACATGATATTAATATGAGGGGGTACGCCCTCTCCAAACTCCCTTCCCTCCCCCAGGCTGCTACTCACATGCATGCGAATATCACACAAACTGTAATTACCGTCATTTGAAAATATTTGAGACATCAACTACTAACGTGTACGTGTACATGCACATGAAGTTTTACAGCCAGTATTGTTTCTTTCTGATTGAATTCTGTCAAAAAAATTTTGTTGAGTACTGCCGTAGGCCATTTTCAAAACATTTGTCTGATTGAACGGTCAATTTTATATGTTACACCAGAGTTGTGGTATCAGGGATTAAAGACATTTAAGTGAAGACTTAAGTCCTCAATCATGTACGTACTTGTATGTACATGTACTGTGGCTTCTGAAGGCTTTAACCAAGACTCCAGGACACATGGGCATGTTAATTACATGTATTTTTCACAGTCTCAGTTTTTTTCTCAAATGAGGCACAGTTTCCAGGACAGTTGTGACATTGAAACTGTATCCATGAGACATTTAGGACGTATTTTCCCTTTCAATCCACGAAGGTTGTACCCCTTAATTACAACAAAAAATGCATTCATAACTGAACTTGCCTTTACTGACTGATTGTTCATTGTAAGTGAGACATTTCTAATGTTTGATAAATTTAAAATTACATGTTATTTACTGGTACATGTATATTTTAGTTTGTTTGCTGCTGCACATTTACCAGTATCTACATGTACATGTACATGTACGGAACCATGGCGATTTGTAAACTTTTGGGAAGAGGGGAGGATGTCAGTACATTTTCCAATTTTTATTTCCTATTTTTCTCTCTTAAAGTCATATCTCCCTATAATATGTCAGGAAAATACTAGTACAAGGGCAGGAACATTATTAAGTGTATTGATATTCCCTTGCTCTCAATTGGTACTTTAATAAGTTTAAAGGCAGAAATTATCACTAAAAATATGCCCGGCTTGTATGTTGGAGTTGGTTACCCCCTACCCTTTCAAATTGTCCACAAATGATATATTGTCCATGACTGTAGCTTTGGGGTCTAATTTTTTTGATGTCCCTGTGACATCTAACATAGATGTATGACTTTGTAGCCAAGTTCAGAACGCATTCTCTAATTTCCAAGAGTAATAAATTGATGCAGATTACCTGTACCTGCCAATCAAATAGAAATAGTTTGAAATCAATCTTGCAATATTTCTGTGTCAATTTCCACAGGTCGGGTGTAACAGGGACACAAAAATGTCACACCTTTGGACCCCAAATTTTTCGAATGACCCAGGTACAAATGTACAATGTACACTGTACAGTATACATGTACATGTACAGTAGGTTGGTAGTGTAGGCCTACTCTACATGTATGCATGTTGCCTGACCTTGACATGAGTGGGATCACAGAGTGATACTACAGTATGTACATGTATCTATAGAATACATGTCATGTAAAGGTTACAGGTGCATGTACATCATGTATGCACATGTGTTAAAAAAAAAACCACTGGTGCATGTAACTGAACAGTGCTGATAGATATACAGGTCATCCAACCCACTTGATAGGAACTTATAAGGCTATGTGAACAATGGAGATGGACAACTGTTTTCTCATCAAAGGTCATCAGCACTGGCACAGTTTACTGGGAATAGGAGGGGAATTCCCTGTTTTGTTGCATTGACAGCATAGTCAACCAATTCTGAGAAGGAATTACAGGATGAGTGTGTGCCAACATGTGCCTAGGCACAGCAGGATACAGTGGTTAACCCCAAAGGGTTTGTAGGCAGTAACACTTCAAAATACACAATATGACAGCACTGAGTATGTGTAAGAGTAAGAGCTATAGAGAGAAGTACATGACGTGACACGTACCTTCATTGGTCCAGTTGGAAATGGTACATTAACCCTTGTTTACACTGCTGTACATATTGGCCCTTATGCATTAACCATTTTCAGATGGTATGATTTTTGTAGAAAATTTCGATTTCCCAAAAGGGAAAGATACTGTACGTGTATACGTGTAGCAGGCGACTTTTTTTTTTACAGTATCAAGCAAGTGCTCTTAATGCTGACCCACTGGAGTCATTTGAACAATGTTTTTCCCCAATCTCATATTTTTCAACTCTCCAGAATGCCACACCACTGATGAGTTATTTACGTGTAGCTAACTTCATGGTTAATGTGCGTGTGTACACTAAACAAATGGGGCATTTTGCCAGCAGTTACCCTGGGCAAGTGAGGTGGTTTCAATTGCCACCTGCCAATGTGTGTGTTGACAGCCATGTTTTTTTAATGTACATGTACATGTATCTTCCACTTTGAAACTCGTTAAAAACACAAAGCCAGACCCGAAGCATTGGACCTTGTGATCCAACTCGGCAGAGCCCACACTGCCCTGTTGCACTGTACTACAGTGCTTTTAAGCCGCAAATTATTGAGGCATGGCCAGTGTTTAGAATGTATGGTAAAAAAGTTTGCTGTGTAAGCGTGTTTTCATCACAACATCATAAAAATATCCATACACAAACGTGGGTTTGTTGGTCACATTATACATGTACAAAGATAGAGAAAGGGACGCTGAAAACAGCGCTTGTTTTCAGAAAGAAAACTGGAAGTGTTTTAGGGCATGTTCTGTGAATTCATCTGAGCCTGAAGTTGATTGTTGTGGGAAAAAATGTTTATTTATAGGCATTGAAACAATTGAAAAGGAAATACTTTACATATAGAAAGGGTGGTTTCCTTTCTCCAGATTAGGTAACAAAATATTTTCGTAAATCTCTTTCAGAGCTTTCCCATGGCAAATCAGTGTCAAAGTGTTGCGCCAGGTACGTATTACATTTGTATTAATTCCTGTATTTATTTTGGATTAATTTCCAGGCAATTAAATTTCAAAAGGGTCAAGATCCTGTATGCAGATAAATTTTTGTGCACTTGAGTTAATGCGGATCACCCAAAAGGAAAGCAAAACATAGTCCAGGGAAGGAACAAGGAATTTGAAACCAAACTTCTGGGATTCTGCTAAATCCGTCGTAAGATTGAAAAAATTAATCTATGTACTTACTGCATTGTAATTAGCAACCAAAAAAGCCCTAAATAAACATCTGCATGAAAAAGCCAATCCTAGAATAGCACTTGGGTCCATTGACTGAAAGTCTACGCGTAGGTCACTGTCAACGTGTTTACAACAGATCTGTCAAACATTGGTATATCAGTGCCTCTTTAACCAAATTTCCAGAGATTAAGCCACTCCTATCATTAAATATGCAAAATGTAATGGTCCAATAAGGAGATGAATAATCTGTACCCATGAAAATAAATGTAACTGCCTGGTCATTCCCACAGGCAGTGCAAAACAACTTTGGACTGGGCAGTATTTGCTCGTTCAAAAACAAGCCCCCCTTCTCCTATACTGATGAACACGTCTCAACAATTTCCTTCCAAAATATTGGATGCAAGAGGGAAATGTGATGTCAATTTCAAATAAATATTCCTGGGAGGGGACGTGCCGTTTTTTTGAGCTTAGCTGTGAAGGGACTGCCAGATATTTCTTTCCTAGGTGAAACTCTTGCTGAGAAGATTATTAAAGATCCCTTGAACTTGTCTACTTAGATTCGCATTGTGGATACATACATGAAACAAGTACAACGCCGTCAGCGCCGACTAACCTCAGGTTTAGGGATTTCTCCTACACTTTTGGAAACAAGACAACCCTAGGCCTCAACATAACATGGCAGCTCCCAGGTATGTGTGTATACAGTTGTATAGAGTGCACCCTTTGTTTCGTTAGAATTTCAAGCATGGACAGTGTGAATTCTTTGGATTTTACAGATGGCACATATAGTACACTGTAGAACATGCTGTATCAATTCAGAATTGAATGACATTTCAAGCTGAGCATTGTACAGGAGATTTTGATGACAGAAATGTACCATAAACTTTATCAGAGGAAAACTTCTGTTTTGGGCATTGCAGCTTCTTTTAACTCATTCCTAAGTTCAAAATACAAATGCATAATGTGTAAATACATGTAGTTTCCCTAAAAACCTACTAAATTCCTGGACTTACTTACTATTCTATACATGGGGTTGAATATGTGGTTAATGATGTGCTTTCCTCTCAGAGAATTATACTGGACTGAGGGGTTTCTTTGTGCACGTTATGAAAACCAGCTATCCAGTTGGTTCCCAGCACTGCAAAAAAGTCGCCTTCCCTGAATTGACGACGGCTCTGCAACGTCCATCTGAGGTGAGCAAGTTAGAAAGACGTACATGTACATGTAACCTTGGCACCGAGTTTGGAAGATGCAGGGCCGAGGTTCCGTGCACGTAATGTTAAAAAAGAGGTAAAGTTATGATGATGGCTCATGACCTCTGTTAAGGCCTTGCAACAACTTTGATCCATGCAAATTCTTTGGGTTGTCTGCTTCATGCAGAAACAAGAGATTGTTTGTTTGTTGGGTTGTTGGGTTTTTGTTTGTTTGTTTGTTGGGTTGTTGGGGTGTTTGTTTGTTTGTTTGTTTGTTTGTTTGTTTGTTTGTTTGTTTGTTTGTTTGTTTGTTTGTTGGGGTGTTTGTTTGTTTGTTTGTTTGTTTGTTTGTTTGTTTGTTTGTTTGTTGGGGNTTGGGGTGTTTGTTTGTTTGTTTGTTTGTTTGTTTGTTTGTTTGTTTGTTTGTTTGTTGGGGTGTTGTTTGTTTGTTTGTTTGTTTGTTTGTTTGTTGGGATGTTGGGGTGTTTGTTGGGTTGTTGGGGTGTTTGTTTGTTTGTTTGCATGTTTTTAGGTACATGTACCGGTAGTAATGAGTAATAACAGCAGGGAAGCCCTGCGGATACACAAAAGGTCTGTGTACATGTATGTGCCCATGGAATGGGATTGTTTGCATGCAGGCAATAATGTTGGTGTGGAGAATTAGAGGTTATTAGTGCAAAGATGCCTTACTTGTTGGCAGGTGGGTCATTCCATGAGGTTGGAGCACAATTTGTGATGGTGTCCATTATTATATGGGTTTCGTAAAAATGAACAGCTATTTCCCTGCGTGTGGATTCCAAATTGACATTGTTACACATCTTGCAAGGCTGAATGTACAGAGGTGTGTCATTTTTACACAGTAAATGACCTACTCTACAGGTAAAAGTTACCCATGTAACAAGGACACCATCACAAATTGTGCCCCAACCTCAAGGAGAATTGTGCCCCAACCTCAAGGAATGGCCCAGGTGTACAAGTGAAGCCAATGGGCAAGTTGAAGAATGCATGTTTGAATGTGGTGCCACCACAGTAGAGGTGCCCCCTTGGTTAGGTTTATTAAAACAAATAGGGAAACAATGATTTCCAATGCAGCTTGTATTGAAGGAATACGTTGTACGCGTGTTTCCATTCAAAATTTACACAGCATGCATGTACAATGTGCACTGAGTACTGAGCAACATGAAAGGAATTTAACTCTACTGCTGACAGTCTGACGTTATCATACTCTTTGCCGTCACGCTCAAAGTAATGCACGGCTTTCAGAGAATGTCATCCCTGCGCACTGCATGTTAGGAAAATGAGCGCTGAGGACCCCACAAATATCGACACGTTTGAGCAGATTTGAAGAATTTGAATTGACAAGATGTGTGTGTTTGGCCTGTGTGAATGTACATGTAGGTGAGCTTTTCCATGGATTGTCTCCATAATGTCAATGTGGACGGGAAGTATGACATCACAGTGACATCGTTAGACTCTGGAATGTCAGTCAAAAAGTCACACCACACTCAAAGTGAGTCCATCCACTTTCCTCTTGTTTGTCAAGTTCTGCCATATATTCGGATATTGGATCGCACACCGAGTATCTTTGGAGTTAGATATTTGAAACAAAATGTACAGAGACAGAAATGGAAAAAGGCTTTTTTTTTGTAACTTGAAATTGCATTCCAAAGTGTTCTTTCATGGTGTTAGGAGAAATTGAAAGGCAGCTGGTTGATTGGCCCAGCAGCACGGTTAAATATTACTTCTGCCCCCTTTTGTCCAATCCCACTCCACTCACATTTTCTTAGAACACAGTGCTTCATTAGTGTCACGACTCAGGAGGTAACATCCATAAATGTAAAGCTAGAAATTGAAGAGAGGAGAATGGGACCTAGACATTCCCTTAAAATAAACAGTCCAAAGCTGACTACTTAATGGGTGTGCTGCGTGCACTGAAGAGGCCGCCATTGTAGCCCTGTGCTGACCCATGCGTGCCGTTCATCCATTAACTTTTAGGAAGCGATGCATGCATGCCTCCAGTCACAGTTATACCTTCAGATGAATGGACAATTGTGATCATTTTGTCTGGGTACAAATGCCAGGGTCACCTCGCCAGAAATTTACATCATTTACATTTGAAAAACATGCACACTCAATACACTTACTTGAGGGCACCTCTAGATTGAAACTCAAGTCAATCTAGAGTCAGACAGTTTTTCTACAAAGTGTAGATGTAATTGTTTGCCTGGTTTTTCTCTTCCAGACTGCTATGAGAGACCTGAAGTGGAAGGTTGCCTTGTTGTCCGAGGTGAGAATGCCTTTTTCCACTTACCTTTGTCTCTTCATCATGGTTTGGGGAGCATCCCCCCCTCCCCTTCCAAGTCCCCTGACCAAGTCTTTACACCCATATCTGTTTGACCTCTTTCTGCCGGAGGTCACATAAACACGCTCTTGCTGTCTGTATTCACAGGCAAATTAGAACATCAATCGTGCCTCAACCCCCATGTTTGCTAACATTTAAGTGCGCCGATCACCCATCTGTTCTGTACACAATACACATAGTCTGAAACTTCTGTGGAGGCAGACCGTACGGTGAATTTGATCTTTGACGCTTATCACAGCCCACTGTGATCAATACTACATGTAGCATTGCTCCCTCGTAGTGCTGGGGATAGTATTGAAAAAATAGTGTATAGGTTGCCGTAAAGAAATCCACACTGTACAAATAAATAAGATACCGAGTATATCTTTTTACTTTTGCCGTACAAGCAGATCCCGAGTTTCAAAATTCAAACCTTTTGGCCCAAATAAAACTATCCACAAATGATCAAATTTGGAAGACAGTCTGGATGTGGGCTGACACCAGCCTTGGATGCAGATTTATGTACAAAAAGGTTTGATTTTGTACGAGAACAGATACATCTGTACACAAGGAAAGAGGTTGAGAGGAGGAAAGCCTTTCACCCTTTGCCTGTAAGTGTGGTCTTGTTCGTCTGATCCAGAAAGTAGTGGCCATTTTGTCAAGTACGGTATTCAATAATTTCATAGAGCCACTAAGCACATAAAGTTTCTGTTCCAAAGATGCTTGGTTACTGGCTAAAAAGTCATACACTACTCACTTTTTTGTGTGAGTGGTTTCCTGCTAAGTTTACTAAGTAGATGACTTTTCTCGGCAGTATTTTGGGCTTGATAGACACCCTGGGAAATTAGCACCTTCCTTTCGATATTTGGTAATCTGAAATGAGGGAGAAAGGGTACCAGAACCTAGAAATGTGATATGAAGTTGTTCAAGCAAGCCTTATTCATTGCTTAGACTCCACAAAATCTCTTTGTCTAGCAAGTCTTCTTGACGTGCACCATTTATGAGGTTTCCTTCATTTATAGTCCTTTTTAGGGATTTGGTACTTTGGTCTCTAGTTTATCATTGTTCCTATGATATTTTTGATATTTTGATCATTTTGGTATTTTCGATCTTGACCCACAGACTGCGTTAAGGATGGTTGCCGTGGGGGTGTTCGTAAGTGTTTATTAGCTCTTTGAAAGTAACTAGCCCCCATCAAGTTCTATTCATAAATACCATAGATAGTTTAGCCATTCCTATCGATTGAAAGCCCTCCATGCAGCTATTTTTTAAATGGTTTATAAAGCACCGGCTGGCTCATTGCGTTCTGCGTCACCCCACATAGTTAGCACCACACTTACATCAGCCTCCATATAACTACGCACAGTAGGCATATGCATGTACCATAAACATGGATGGTGCTTAAAACAATTGGAGTGAAATTGTTGAACCAAAGCATCGATGCAACTAATGTGTGAGTCACAGTGAGGCCATTATTGCATCAATGCCCCTGACAAGGTCTTAAATTCTAGTTTAAGTCCAGCCAAGCACATATTTATTTCCATTCCTAGTACCCTTGGAGTCAGAAAGTCAAAGCAAGTTTAAACATGACGAATTTCCAATGATTTCTAACTAGCATCATCCGATGATTGGATACCTCCACATCCGAAGGCACACGCAGTTTATGAGGATCACATGTGGAAAGTGAGAGTGGAGTTTTATGTCTATCCTGGAAACTTTTGGTTGACATATCGTGTCAACTTGTACGTGTACTCTAATCATTTGGGTACGTTTACTCCTATATTCTCACACCTTGTCGACTCGAATGGCTCGGTGAGTAATTTGTCAATGTTTTTAATTCAGTCAGGCTGCTGAGTTTCTTTTAAGCATCATTTAAATGTGTGAAGTCTTTTTTTAAGAAACTTTAGAAACTCGTTCCAATCTGATCTGTGCTCCCGGACAACAAGGTTTCTGTATTGCTGACTCTTTGCTTAACCTTAAATAATATTTGAATCAATCATAAGGCCTTGACAGATCCAAACACAAGTTGGAATGGAACATTGATGAAGCACTGCATTTGTCATTTCACTTGTATTGCTTCTGCTTTTAAGACTGATGATTGATAGAAATGTAACACTTTCACTGACTCATATCCATTGTAATTCAAACCAAGGTTTTTCAGCATTTTGATAAATGTGTGTATGAGGCTGTACACTACAACCACTATTTCCTAGTCAAGACCCCTTAAGACCATCACAAAACTTCAGACCATCAAAAGACTTTAGACCATCACAAGACTTTAGACCATCACAAGACCAACACGAGTCAAGACCTCTGAATTTGAGTCACAAATTATTCCATCGATTATCAACATAAGCATTCCTTTATCATTGTTCTTCCCGTTACAGTACTTGCGACTTATGAATTGTCTCGACTAGACATTGCCGTTAGTACATTACATGAAATGCCCAATTTGTTCACGACGAGTGTGCCTTAATGGCTTTAGTGCACTGTGCGGTTCGTGGCTGATTCAGGATGTGCAGTGAAAAAAGAAGTTCCTGGCAGAAGAACCTGACCCGGAAGCTCCGGCTGAAATGAGCACGGCTAAATTGCAAATAAGGCCGTGTCCGGAACAAGCCTCCAGAGCTACGGCTTGGTCTGTTTTCTGCCCGTTATTTCCATTTCCAATGGAGTGACGACCCAGACCCAGCTCAAGACAACAGGTCGGGATGCTGCCTATTAAGCTAGACACCGTTGTGTTCATGTAGTGTCAAGGCTTTTATCAGATCTGTTGCAGCACTCATCTCCTTTTGTGTATTTCCTCACAGTCTGGGCCTATTTTTCATGAGTTTTGGAACGTGACGCCTGGAAAGATATCAAGCGAAGGTGAGTGATACATTTCTTTCAAGGTTTTCATCTTAGGTCCGCATGGTAGAGATCTCGTGAGGATGTGCCATTGCATGTGGTGCCTACACAGCATACATGCACTTTGATGTGTTGCAACACACGTTCTTAGCAATGCTGAGCAGTTAGCACAGATGCTGTGCTTACTATAGCAGAAACATGTTACTGTGTAAGTGCTATGTCACAGCTTAGATGAGCTGATGCTTTCCTGCACATGTAGTGGAGATGTTACATTGTTACCTCTACAATGGGAGACTTTGAGACACTTGGTGGCGACAAACATACTGGTCCTTTTGACTAGTTCTGAGCATGCTCACATTGTTCTGAGCATGCTCAATACCTTGAAGAAGGACTGATATGCGTGCTGCCACCAGTGTTTCAAAGTCTCCTGTATCGTCATATGCAACATTTTTCCTTGAGGTTAAGCCTTGAGGTTAATGGTTTGTAGGAAGTTAGATTGTACATAATCTTTATTGATTAGCCTGCATTCTGTCTTCTTAAAAACCACTCTTGGGCTTAAAAACCACTACTGGGTTATTTTGTGCTTGAGTGAATTCATGCGTTTGAAGGACCGCAATTCAAAGGAAACCCAGCCAATGCTTGATGCATCGAATACGATGTACGCTTCACCCAGGGACCTTCCCTTGCTGTTCCTACAGGTCAAAATTTACTCAGGAGATGCAGTTCAAGTGAAGTCAGAAGATGTCGTCATAATGGAACCGACGACCGTCAGCAGCACCGTGGAACCAACCAGTCCAACCACACCTCCAACATCACACTCAACCAACGGTGTGTATGTGTGTGTAAATGCAGGCTTAGACTTTCTGACTTGGCTGATAGACAGCTTGAAGCTATGATCTCCAGTTGTGAACTTGAGAGGGCGCTATAATATATAGCCTTGCTACCTGCTTGTCCCATGTGTTGATTGGCTGTTAGTTGTACATGTAGACTATCGCTGCATGCTTACCACATGTACAAAGGAAGTTGAGTTAAAGGTAGCTGGTGCCCAGTGTTTACCTCTTTGGCTGTAGGCTTCCACAGTTTCCCTGCAGTTTGATTTTCAGGTCAGATTAGGTAACCCTCTGTAAGTCGTACAAAAATCTAGAAATTCAAGAACATTTTTATTCATTGCCCCGGCTTCACTGTCCGCGGAAATCTGTGGGTGTATTTTTTGTGTCCTTGGGCAAGACAGATTATTGTTTACTTCCCGCTACCACCACTTTGTCACCGGGAATAAATCATGGATACCACGGCAGAGATGGTTATTAGGGTCAGTGTGGGCAATAGACTATCCCCAGGTTGTATACCCACCCCCAGCTGAGATGGCGTCAGGAATGCTTCATGGGTACCATGGGTGGGGATCGTAACACCTCGAGTGGCGGTAAACACATCACCACAGGAAGGCGAGTGGTGAATCGCTTCTGTGTAAAAGAATCAGAGATATCAGCGCAACATATGATGAATCTTCCAAACTTCAAGTCAGGACTACCCACGGTGCTGAGTCTCAAGCCTAGGTCGAAGTTGTTTAAAACAAGGTTTGTTTTTGTCACCGTTGATTCCTTGAACTTTGCAGTGGGGGAACCAAAATCTGGACTCAACATTCCAATAGCGGCACTGGCGGGGATAGGCGTGGGTGTTTTTGTGGCTGTCCTGCTTGTAGCTCTACTGGTGATATGGAAAGTGAAAATAAGCAAACGGGAGCCATTCAGCCGTGGGGGTAATTTCACCGATGGAGTCATGCCATACTCGGATGAGACGTCCGATCCCACCAACAACATGCTTCACAGCGAGGGTGAGTGTACAGCAAAATTTTGGCAAGTGACACTTTGCCATTGTAATGTTGAACCCGTCCGATCTTGGATTGCATTATTGAAATCAAACACAAATCTAATCAATATGTGTTCATGGCTCCCCAAATGTTTGCACGGAACTAACATTTCTAAGCTCGCCCAAGTTTTGTTTAAAACTACATGTTCATCAGCAATATCTGTCAAATGTTTGATTTCTACATGCAGCATTCAAGGCACTGTAGGACTTGACTATATTTAAGCCATTTTGGATTCATACAATTTCTTACGCATTGGTTTGATTACAAACAAAATAGCAAAATAGCAAAGATTGTGGGGTTATTCAATTTCTTACTTGTAACCAAAATGTCCACTGAATGCTTCAACACTTAAACTTAGGCTGTGAGTCTCACCACACATTATTGTGAGTCAATCTTGCGTAATTGAATATTTGAATATTCAAGCTTTCTATCAATTAAATATTCGCTTGTACTAAATACTCACAAAAGCAGAAATAATATATGTATGTCCGTACCTGATTTCAGGCGGGGGTTCATCCCCTGGTTTCCAGATGGAGTGGCGGTAGTCCAGCTGATATGTACTCCTGCTTGGTGATTTATTCCTAAATCCCAGAAATATCAAATGCCACGAAAAGCAACTAAGAAGCACAAAACAAACCAACCTTGAAATAAAGTAATTGTTTGGGCATATGCATCAGATGCCTGCAAGGAATACTTTGAAATATGTGCTTCACATGCAATTTTGTTACCAAAGAGATGATTTTTTTGTCTTTTTAGTTTCACCTCTAATACTCTATTTCAATATACATTTGAAGCTACCATATTTGAATATTTGATGAACCATCAAAAGGCCAAGTATTTGAAGGTAGGTTGGTTAGCCCTAGTTCCAAAATACTCATACCAACTCATACTTTCTGCTCATTGAATGTACATAATGCATATATATATGCTATTAACCCTAACCCTCCTCAATCCTTCACCTGTTGGAGGACTGAGGAGTGTTAGGGTTAATGTGCAGCCTCTAAGTTAAATTGTGAGAGTAGGACGCAGCATTTATGATACCATAAAAATTCTGTTTAGGGTAATTATTTACAATGGTACATGGATACCAATGTACCGGTATATGTAAAAATAACATATGTACGTGAATTTGTATTTACACATTCACTGGTAATACTACTATAGGGAACCAGGCTTAGGGGACCGGCATTGGGCACGATAATAGATTCTTCATTTCTCTCTCCCCGTTTACAGTGTGTATGTTCTTCTTCATTTAATAGCCATGCCACTGGAAATGCTTTTGGCTGAAGGATACGTTGGGATAAGTCCAAACTATCTAGCTGCCTCAAGTTTGTTAATCCAAATATCCAAGTTACAGAAAGAAATGGAAGGATGGTCTTACAAAGCCGGTTTTTATGAGCCGTCTTTTTGATGGGGTTACCGCCAAGGCTTTCTAAATGTCGACACTGAAGTTAAAATGCAATCGGTACTGTTTCCTTTCAACTTTCAGCAGACAGAGGCGCCGTGCAGGGTGTCTACCCGTCACCTTACGCCAGCTCCCCTTATCGGATGGACGGCGGCGCAGGAGAGGAGTTTGGCTGCGGTGATTCCTGTGTCTGTGACAACGACCTTAGGATACACAAAGTGGACTTTAGTAAATTGGACTTGATTGATCTCAACCATGCTGACCTGGGTTCTGTGGCACCTTCGGGAATCACAGTGTGAGAGAAATTAATAACATCTACATGTACATGTAGGTCAGAACAAACAGTGTGGTGGCAAATATTACGAAGATTATGTTCATGATTTATTTGAGACTGGAAAACAACATGTTGGAAATAACCTTGGCAAGTAACTAAAGTCCCTCATCAGTCTTGGATGGAACAAAGACTAGCAAGCCTCCTTCAAGTCTTGATGTGTCATTCTTTAAAGGAAAAAAAAAGTGAAAATGTTGTTGATTTTCAGTTGAAACAAGGTCTTTAGCCACTTCCTGCCGGGGACTCCGGGATCGGTTGGTTTATATTGGTGGCCGGGGTCTCTGAACTCGGACAAAGGAAAGAGGGCCCTGTAACAAAAGACCGTACTCCGAACAAAAGACCGTACTCCGAACAAAAGACCAGGCTGCTGGGCATGACCGGCATTTTTCACTCTCAAAAGTGGTGATAATCCAGCGTTATTTTGAAACCGTATACCAGGGTTTGGGGCATTGAAAGCGAGTGGATTACCACCGGGGACAAAAGCTCTCCACCACCGCAGCGATCAGCCACACAGCACCGCTGCATGCTAATCTGGCCCCTATTGAAAAGAGGTCAGCAGTGCACTGAGCCAGGTTCGTGAACAAAAGAGAGTTATACAGCACCTCACAATCTGGGCTCTGTTTACAAGGCTGCTGGCCTGGCTGAAATACTCGGGCGTCAATAAAGGTCACCTGTCAACTTAGAGTAGTGCCTACAGATTACTTGGTGCGGCTATAAACGACCCTTAAATGAAATGAATTTTTGAAGGATTTTGAAAAAGGAAAAAAATGATAGTCATGCCGGCCCAGCATCATCAACATTGAAAAATGCCGCGGCATGAAGTGGTTAAAAGCCTGATTGCATAAGTCGATCATAAGTGTCGTTGTAAAAACATTTCAAAAGGTGCAAAACTGTAAATTATATAGTAAACAGAATGTGCAGTTTTATCATTGCATGCCTTTACCTGAATAATTTAGTGGAACTATAGCTGGAAATAAATAACGAGTACTTCACCCTAAGCCCTTTTTTGTAAATATTGGGTCCACCCTTGCTGAAAGCAGCAAAGCTGGTCAAGCTTCAAAGTCAATTCCATGCCCATCATTCAATCCGACTTTTGAGCATTCATTGTTTTTTTAACTTGCAGAAGTTATGATCAATCAGCAAAATGGTTTTTACAATTGTTTTTTAGAGATTATGTGCCACTATTAATTTCATTCTCCTTTCAGAGAAATTTGTAATCTGAAGTATATTCCTCTCATGTAGCTGGTCAGGGTGCAATTGTACAAAAGTGAATTCCTTTTTGATGCTTATTCATTGTAAAGTTGGCGAGTGCAGGGAAAGTGTATTAAAGATTACATGAAGATTACCATGGTAGGATTCCTCCTGTTTAAACTGGAACAGTCATTGCAGGCACCTTGATTTTAATCTTTCACCTTTGTGGTAACTTTGTCATTCTATCTGGCTTGTAGATTTCTGATATCTTACCGTCTGCATGAGTGTAGTCGGGTTCACAATGAAGATTACAGGTTTTCAGTCACAAGGTCAATTAAGGCCAAAATTTCATCTTAAGATGATTTTCGACCTTTTGCTTTAATTATCTTTTTTTGATTGTTGGGTAGTTCAAAAAGAAAACTGCTATATGCGGAATTACCAAAAATCAGTTTAACGTGAAAGTTGTGTTACTTTCCTAAGCATTATGTCTCTTGTCTTTGCCACTATTGCTCATATTTTTATAACTATTAGAATTAAATGGGCATGTTCTTACTCCAGAAATAATCTGTATATTTACACGAGAGTTGAAGTTTTGATCCTATCTATTTTTGTGCTGCTTCAAGTTTATTGTGCACTGAGCATTTTTATCATACTTTGAAGTCTTGTTGAGCTGGATTTTATTTGCCAAATTCACAGTCATTCATTGTTGCCTCTGCATTTATGTGGGTGCTGTAAAATTTCTTGTATTTCTTGTTTAAAGATGTGAGAGATGTACAGGTGCAGTCTTGTTTATGAACAATTAAAATGCTTTACCCAAATCAAGATGCGCTGTTTTTGCAGTTTAAGTAACTCGGTGCACAACCTGGACCAAAAAAGAACAAACAACAAAAAAAACGGGAACTTTTCCATGTGGATTTGAGTTTTGTGTTATGATAAACAGCCTTTTGAAGTACAGAAAACTCACATTAGAGATGGAAAATATGAAAGATATCAAACACCTCACAAATAACTCGTTACATTCGCGTTTTACACTTCAAAAAGAATTGAGAAGCTGTCATTTCATAATTGTACTGGCAGTCAAAGGTGAATTTAAATGAACAATTTATTCATATGAACACACTAAAATTCTGTTACACTGTGGATCACTGCTAAATAAGTATGTACTGGATACACTTAATTAGGCTTTACGGATGAATTTCACATCAAATATTTCAAACATCCACCAGGAAAGTCCCTAAGAATTTCCATTTCATAACGCAATAAAAGCAATCTTCACTGCAGCTAATATCATGCCATATGAACTCGGAGGGCTCCTCACCTCAAGGCACAAATGATCTATCTACGCTGCACTTCGCAAATAAAATGAAAGGGAATTCAATTTCACCTGAAACTTCACCTGAGTTAAGATACAAGTCATAAAAAAGAATTGAAAATCAAGAGATCCTGAAGCAAATGATTAAGTTTCACTTGAGGTGAATGAGGCCTGTCATTTCCCTGGTAAGCAGTAAACTGTGCAATATAAGTACATACACTTTCACTGGTTCCCTACTGACCTTGCAAGGTACCAGAAAGGGCAGCTATATGTTTACTGTTGCATTACTTAAGTTCTTGTCCTGGGATTAGAGGTATGATTTGAACAGCTTGAGTTGCCGTTGTACATTATGTGCACTGACATGGGCAACAATATAACCCACAATGCTTTGCACCTCTTTAGCTGTGGTGTGCTTCACAAAATTCTGTGAATACGAGGACTGGGGTAATTAACCAACAAATATTACTTCCCTGGTATGTATGTGTGCCAATCCCTAAATGCATCAACCTCTCAAGTACACCAGTGAAACGTGTAGTGCCTTGCACTAGTTCTTGGAAAATAGCATAGCACAAATAGCCTGAAAGGATCAAGAAAAAATGAAAATAACAGTAATACGACAGCTAATACACGAGGCACATAACCATGTAAAAATATTCTCAAAATGTATAAATTCCAGTAATTCTACGTGATAAATATAAAATAGAGCTACAAGATAATATGAAAATGCAAAATACAGAGAGAACAAGTATAAAAATATTGATTAATCGTGTACAGTGAGAAATGTATGACATAAAAATGCCCGTAATATTTCCTTCTGAAAGACGCAGTGTACACTGTTATGTCCACGAAATATTGAGTTGTTACAAAGTGTGTACAGTACGTAAAATATGGCTTTCCTCGTCTAGCCACTCGAAGTTGACGACTCACTGAAACTCTAGTGGATAAGAGGTACGGGTAACTTCAAAAATTCAACTATTTGTGCCCTGAGTGATCAACAAAGTATGTGCATTGTGAAAACACTACAAATCACACACTGAAGATTGAACAGGCTTACTTCTTAAATATGCAAGAAATGTGCAGACTGAAATATTTAAGCAGAAAATATCAGAGAAAGCAGACCGTACTGTACATCAGCTTTTCAGATTTGGACACGAAGATTGGGTCTATGACTTCCTTTGAATGGCATCAAGTTATGATCAATTTAAAAATGGTTCTAAGCGTAATTATTCACCTGTTTCAAATTTCCTTAAGACTAAAAACACCAAATAAGCTTCTTTGATTGCAGCAAATACATTTCAAACTTGCAACATCATCTCAAGCACCAAATGCAATGCAAAGTAGAACTAAACGTACGTGTACATGAACGTCCTTGTCACTTCTTTTGCTGGCTTGTGTTTTATTAAGACTGGCCATTTGACGGATTTTCTCAAGTTTTTAGGAATAGCTGATAAATATGGAGATCTTGTAAAAAACAAAAAAGAACCCAAACCACGGCGTGTTTTGATCAAATTTATTTAGAACAAATTTGGGGGATATTTTAGTTGAATTAAATATTCCAACCAATTCCAAAATCCCAAATGAATTTCGGTTGGCTTATACAGCATTACAGAGCTGAATTACGCAGACCATTCTGAACTATCCCAGTGGAGGGTTAATGCGAGCCCACCAACACCTGGCTTGTTTGTTTCCCGTTTTAGCTGGTGGCAGTACTATCTGTGCTGCGATGGGTGAGTGGCAGGGTTCCTTGCTCACCAGTGTTGGCCCGGTCCTGGCTCCTGGTACCCGCCCCTTTGCTGTAATCGGCCGCCCGGTCCTTGCCGCAGCGGCCCCGGGCGAAGTCTACCCACGCCTGCCGCACCTCCTGCTGGCGCACGCAGAACAGCAGGAAGATCATCAGGCCCTGCAGCGAGTTGAAGACGCAGAACAGGACTTGGAAGGCAAAATTGGCCGTCTGGACCAGGGACAGCAGGCCAAAGACCCAGGTCAGGCCTAGCAGCACCGAGATGGCCACTGCATTCTGCAGGCGGCGCATCGTCTCCTGATGCTTGCTGCGGTCCGTGGTGCTGTTGATGCCCTTGCGGGCGCAGGTCAGCTGCCGCATGACCAACGTGAAGATGATGAAGTTAAAGAGAAGCACCAGGCCGATGAGAAGAATTTGGCCAAAGTAGAATGCGTTGCCCGGCCGCAGGAAACAACTACACATGAACATCAAATATAATAAACAGGTCAAAATTCTCAAACTATTATTCAAAATGCCCATAACATCAACAGCCAAGCTGTGATCTGTGACAGATGTTACTGTCACATTGAGTGGAACAAAGCTATGACACTGTATGACAAAAATTGAAACAGAAATAAGAAAGCATTACCTCCAATCATGACTTCCATAAAAGCTTGCCTGACTTTTGAAATTTTACTGTTAATTTTTAATTTTTGGATACTGGGTGAGGCTTATCTGGCCGTCTTCCGTTATATTTTCAAGGCAAAAGGTTACTACATTGGCACCAACCCCCCCCAAAACAACAGTACAGTACGGGAGACTTCTACCAATTTTGAGACCCGTTATCATATTTCTGAGGTTTATGAACTTACTAGTTGGTACTTAGGTAGTTGGTGTGGTCTACAGCAAGAATGATGATCACAACTAAGAGGGGAAGACCTAAGAGAAGAAGAGCAACAGATATGTTTATCTTGAGTTCCGAGGCCAAAAGTGCGAGAAAGGATGACAATTTGTCTGATAAGGAATCTTACAATCATCTTATTTTGCACAGTCTTCTGGTAGACCTCTTATTTTTTTTCATGACGGAGCTTCATCGACAACATTTGAGTTGCTTGAAAAACTGTGAACAGTGCAGCCTTCGGAGGTTTGCTGGGTATGCACACCGTTGTGAAGCAATATTCACACTTCAAAATTGAATCCCAGTCTTGATTTAACTTAATCAGTGGGGCTGGGTCAAAGGTCAAAAAGTTATTGAGGGGCAGGTTGCAACACTTGCAATACAAATATCAAATTTGACTAAATTACTTCAATCCATGAACAGCTGATGTTAAGGGTTGAGCAGAGATTAGGAATCTTACCCCAGGCTGCGATGGAAGCCTTGATCAGGAAGTGAGACACATTGGCATTGAGAATTTTGACAAAGAGGAGGTACATATTGGTGGCTTCCACAGCCATCCAGGCGATGGAAGCCAGGGTGAAGTAGTGAATCAAGACAGCCACGATGATGCAGCCAGCCTGGGGAGAGGTGGCCTCGATGCCCACCAGGAAGACCAGGTAAAGACCAGCCAGGGCAAAGCAGAAACTGACCAAGATCTGCTGGGGCCGCTTCGTGCGAAGCTTCCTACGAAAGATCAGAAAACAGCCAGTGTACATCGTCTCCGACAGCACAAGCTGAAATTGAGTTGTGCACGAGTTCACAAACAGACACCCGATAAGTGCAGCGCTTCTGGTGCTTTGTCCATGAATTTTTTTAATTTTTGAGGAAGGCAGCAACTATACAGATGGACTGAATTCGTATCCACCTTTTCATGCTTGGATGCAAAACCAAAACTCAGTCCATTCCACATCAGTGTCCGATGTGCACCTCTGGGTGTTAGTTTGCGAAAAAATGATGCCGTTTTCACGAACTATAGTCTGTGGTGTCAGTGACGATGGGTAGGATATGTCAACAGTAGCCATGTGCCGTTTTTCACACTTTACTAGTAAAACAATCATCGTAAAATTTGCCTCAATGTTTGACCAAATATGACGTGACCATGTCTGATATGAAAAGGAGCTCAAATTTGAACATGCAGAAACCCTTGGTGAGGAGTAGGTACAACGAACCAATGTAAAAACAAGCTGGAATCGGGTGAAACCATGACTTCAAACCGGACAAATAATGATTAGGGCTTACTTGACTGCGAGATACGTGATGATGGTGATGATCAACGCCACCAGCGACACAGCACAGCCAATCTTGCTGATGATGCTGAGAACAACGTTATCCTGGTTACCATAGATATCCTGGAAAGAGCAGAAATAGATGTCAGTTACCACAGAAACGTGTAAGGACAGTGGGAAAATAAGACATGAGTGCCATTGGAGCTAATTAGCAGGCTAACAAATGAAGTATCCATGGTTTCTTTAATACAACTGCTTGATATTTGCACATGTATCACTTTGACAACTAAAAGAATACTAAATAAAAAAACCAAACCAAATTTTTCAGCTTTTCATTGAGGATTATAACTGCAATCACATGGATTAGCTGTTTTGAAACTTCTCAAAAATCCACCACCACGTTAAGTCCCTACCATTAAACATGGAGGCGTCACATTACACATAAAATTGTACACAACCACTAACTTGCCAAAACAAACATTGAAGAAACAAAGATAACTAATAATGTATGCGCGGACAGAGTGGTTCGACTGGTGGCTTACCACAATGACAGCAAAGCTGGTCAGGTGGTCACAGTGACACACGGTGCGACTGTTGTTGATGGTGACCTGCCGGCATCCTTCCGTGGACCAATCACCAAAGCCGCCGTTTAAATTGAAATCCCAGAATACGCACTCTGATCCATTCACTGTATTCCCTGGATTGCTCACCTGGTGATGGGGGGGGGAATATATAATGGGGGAACTATGTAAAAAGGAAATATACTGGGAATATACTGGGAATATACTGGGAATATATGATTCAATCCATCAACATTTATTTCCGTAATGCCACTAGTAGTGCATAATTAACATATCAATTGTATTTTTATGATGGGCAAAATATATAGGGATTATATGGGATGGGCATATCTGGGGGGAATACTTTGAAGGAGAATATATATCATGCAATAATTCACCATATGTCCCACTCAATATAACTCTGTAAGACCAAATAGTTTCATTGTCGCGCCCATGGTTCTACTAATGATGTAGAAATGAAACGACCACATCAGCAGTTTGATACATTTCAGATTTGAAAATATGCAAATGTGCATTCAAGGCAGTGTTTCTATCGCTCAGATGAAAATTACCTTGGCAAATAATCTATCAAGGAAATGAAACTAACAGCGAACACTGCATTGAATAACTGCATTGGTTGATGCATTTCTCGAATACTACTTTTTTTCCAACTACTTATGTGAGGCCACTGGGAAAAAAAGTGGGGCTGCCACGTGCATTCTCCAACTTTTCGCATGATGAAGTCAAAGTGCGAAATATCTTTACTGAACACACTTCGACGGCGTCTCACAAAAATGAGATTTTCTTCAACTCGAGCGGTTACGGCGTAATCAACAGGGAAGAACGTTTCTGTCCTTACGTTAAGGGGAAGGAATGCGCTAACAACAGGAGCCTCCATGGGCAGGTCTTGCACCCTGACTCCTTCTACAGTAGCAGCAATGACGTAGCTACCGAGGGCACGGCTGAATTTGTCCGACGGCCTGGCAGCGGCCCGTAGTTTGGGCGACCGGAACAGCTTGGTGCTCTGGTAGAAGAAAAAGCTGATGGGCACGGAGTCACCTGACGGAATGCACGATAACAATGTGTCCGTTTCAAACACAAACTGATCTAAAGAAAATCCTCCTCTTCTCTTAATTCAGCGTTTCCATAAAAAAAGACTGAAACGGCACAATACCAGACTCTCATAAAAGATGTGATTAACCTTGACATAAATACCACTGCATTGTACTTTGCATTAGTTGACTTTGTTCTGGTTCGTTGGGAACTTCAAAATAAATGCCTATGGATCTGAACTGAATAACATTTTAAGCAAGAATGTACCATAAAACTTCAGCAAGATATTGCTTTGGAAAATTGGTAAAACCCTGTACAGTGATGTTGTCTACAATATGAATTTTTAAACTTTGAAGAAAAATGACTAAATTTCTACCAAAAAGAAGAAAGTACACATGCTTTTCTTTAGTAAGCTGGTCAAAGGTTAGTTCATGTATTTCTGTAACTGTATGCATACCTCCAGATATGAAATTCAGAATCTCTGGTGGAAGCCTGATTGATGCTTTGACCTCAGCGACAGGAACTGCAGATGGCACATAGTAAACAACGACATCCTCATCAGTCAGGGGGTCCTGGGGTTCAGCCGATGGGCTGAGCGGCACAGCAGCAAAGCCCAAGCCCAGTTGGAGGGAATCCTGGGGCACAAGGACTGCCGACACTGCCACGTAACTCTCCACCACTGTCAGGTTGCCAGCTACCTCGCTCATCTGCAGTGCTGTGATGTAGTCCTCCAGGGCACGTATGATGCGAGAAGGCGAGGTGTCCTCACCGAGGTCCTCGTAGGTCTCCCGGTCAACTTGTAGGATGTTGTTGACAACCCTCACGATGTCACCAGCAACCTATGTCCACACAGCAGATTAACATGCATGTCAGCACCAATAGTCACCCTGTACATGGTGCATACTGAATGCGAACGACATTAAACAAGCCAATAATTCATCAGCTTTCATCACTTCCCCCAAACACTGGGCGCAGTAGTTGCTTCCCTAGAAAGTTACCCAAGTAGTGCCACTCCAATCCACACCATGTAGAAAACAGGGACCAGCCTCCATGTTTTGGTAGCCATAGCGGGCTTGAACGGATGAAATGAAGTGACCTCATTGCGAACAAACAGAGACCTAGGCACTCTTACCTCTACCGAAGAGTTTCCAGCAATCACGATCTTCTCCAGAATATCGGCAGTTGCCATGATCCCTGAGGCATCAATCCCAGTGTAATTGGACGTCAGGATCACTGTCTCTTCTGCAACCTCTCTGACATTATCACTCGTTACATTAACCTGCAAAACGGAACAATACTCAGCGTTTGACATGTTCCCAGAGTACCTCTGTTTGGAGACTATTTTCATAGTGAAATTGACAAAGTTAATGCGAGCAACAAATTCATTGCCAGGAAGGAATGTAGCAGGGTAGCTGGACAGTATCTGACTCTTGGGGGCCCCCTTCTGTGCATAAAGCAGAATTTCATGTATCGCACTTAAACACCAAGATACATGTTTACGTTGGTACAAGACTACAAGTGCTGTTTGTCCATTTCTATCAAAGTCATGTTCAAGACTAAAGAATACAGTTGGAAAAGATTTTTGCTCAGGACAGACCCAAACCAGTCCTTGGCATTTTATAAAGCAAACAAAAGTAGAATGGCTAAAATTTACTGCGATCGTTACTTCCTCTTGTTGCTTTGGTTGATTTTCTGCATGATCCGGCATCAAATCTGGCATTCTGTCCAACTAAACTGGGGCCTAGCAAGAGCCCCCTTTTCAATTCTTTCTTGTCTTCTTGCGATGGAAGCAGAAATTCATTATTTTCCATTAAACGTGCCAACATTCCTTCAATATCCCTCATCTACACTATGTTTTCAAATTGTAATCGAGTCATCATGAGTATCGAAACACCACAACTTGGTGGACTGACTCTGGACAGGTCTCCAAGCAGAATGTTGACATTGTCTCCCTCTGTGCAATCCACCAGAACCGGTTCCAGCCAGTAAGCTGGGGACAGCACATCGCCAGCGCAAGCCCTGGTCCCAAGCGGCATACCAGCTAGAAAAGGAATAAAACAGAAAAGGAGCTCGTTGTGTGCTGTCCCAAGTGACTTGTAAAAGTTCCCGATTTCTTGGAAGCGTTTTGATTTTAATGAGAGAGCAGGCCTGTTGCCTGACCAGAGACTCGGCAGGTTCGTCAAACCAAAAAGTGGAACTTTGGGCACTGTGAACACATATGTTTGTACAAAGGCCTATCACAATGTGCTTTAGAAAACAACATTGAAAAGCTGGATGTCTGTCGAGAACCAACGGTTGCATGTAAGACTTGTACAATGTAGCTTTTGATATTGAATAAGCTTAACAATAATGCTTTGATTTCAAACCCTTTGACACACCTGAGATGTGGATATTTGCCGAACTTCCTGACGGTACATACGACTGGAGATTGACTCATTAATATTCAGAATCGTGGTCACCTTGAGCTTGAGAATCAACGTATAAGCCGTGGCTTGTATGCCGAATATTATGGTATATTTAAAATATTCAGTACACATGTACAAAAAAGACCACCAACAAGCAGAACTCAGAAGCGAGGGGGGGGGGGTTGTTCAAACCCTCCCAAGCCTACGAGCCTGGAGAGGGATGACCTTTTTTATGATAGCAAGTTGGTCTGCTTTGCACAAAAATTCACTAGTGTGAAGTGCAATCTGAGTTTAACCTCTCACCCTTGGAGGTTGACAGTGGGCACTGTTCCACAGACTCGGCAATGCCTCCGACTTTGGTCTGGGGAAATGTCACACCATCCACTTCCTCACCGAGGCAGGTGACTACATACATGCATCAAAGAAAAGCAATGAAAGATTGATGTAAAATGCTACGTTTTTAACCAGCAAACCACAAAACTATACACAGCAATGTGTGTGGAGATCAAGCCCTGGACATTTGTATCAATGTTAAATTAAGAATGCTCACAAAGCCTTGTACATGTATATCACAGAATCTTAACTACTCTAGTTCACTGTTTATGCTTAAAAATGTTTTTTGGGTAAATAAAATCACCAACAACAGTCATTTCTTTCCTTCTTTAAGATACAGGCTTTTGCCTTCTGCTTCTCAGTCAAAATTTCAATTCTCTTTCAGCTGGAGCAGAGGAAGGAATATCTTGCAAGGCAAAAAGCAAGGTTACTCTAATATCCATACATTTATCAGGTTTGTAAGAACGTAAACAGTCAATGCCTTCTGCATTTTCCCCCGTGGAAATTTTCCCAAGTTTCTTGTCGCACCTTTTGTTTTCCATTCGGCCTGAAGATGAGATTTGGGTCACGGGTCAACATGTTCATCTGCAAACGGTTGGCTGTGTTTTCATTCTACTTACCCAGACTGAGCACCATGATACTACCGGGGAGGAACGTAAGAGTCTCGGATGGTGCATCACGGATTGCTCCAGCAATGAAATCTGCCAGTTTGCCGTCATCCATGTTGGACTGACCAACGTACAGGATGATGTCAGCAACTACACTTCCGGGTGTGAAGCCTACCAGGTCAAGATTGGTGCTTAACATTCCAAACTCGCCCAGTGCAGAATCAAGCTGAGCAAAGAACAGTGAAAATGAAACTAAATCAGTCTAGGAAAAACATTGACAGAAATGTACTTTTTCCACATTTTAAAAGTCCAAAATATTCTTCTGACACCTGAAGAAAAAGTTATCTCTAGTTCTTACGTGCGAGCGGAGTTCGTTCCACAGCATTGTGTATTCCGTGCTGTTTGGATTAGTCAGGTTTGGTGTGTAAACTCGATCTATTGCTGCCATCACTTTGAACATGGAAAAGCCTGCGGAAAGAAAAATCATTCAAATTCACGTTTTAACCATTTACTGAACACACTTTAGTATTTCTTACAATTTACAAAGACTCCTACTTTTATTTCCTACCCATGGCTCAAGTAATAAAATGAAGATTCCTTTGCACAGAATGGGTCACATTTTCAATTTTTACCAGAACTTAAAAGAAACTTTCAGAAATTCCCAGGTTTGTTGCCACACTAATTCCTTTGGCATTCAATAAGTCCATTATGCAGAGACTATGCACTATCTGGAAGCTGAAGATCTATGACACAGGTTGAGTTTTAATTACATGTAGATCACTACTATCCAATCACAAGTTAGTCCCAGGCTCGATAAGTCACATTATCTTCAGGCAAACTTGAATTCTCAGTGCTGATTGGTCGAGCCATGGCAACAAACAGAGCGATATACATGTAATGCATGGTTCATATCAAACCCTGCATAATGCACTGTTCTAACTCAACGCATTGCGCTATTTTATGCTAAAAGCAAACGCACATCTGTATGACTGTAAACTCAAAAGTGGCGTGTCTGCCTGTGCTGACCGTCACTTGTGTTTAAAGGCATGTACATGTACACTTTAAACAATTTCCTTTCTTGTATGCCCTGTTGTTATTGAAATAAGTTAAAACACAAATAATTCCCCTGCTCTGTTGTTATTGAAATAAGTTAAAACAAAAATAATTCCCCTGCTCCCCAGACAAAATAGCAGAATTGTGGTACAATGGTGTTACTGTTTTGGTTGTGCGCCGTATGATATCTTTTGTCTTCTTGTTTTTATGTAAAGCGCGCATAGGCCCCTTTCATTTTTTTAGAAAATCTTTCTTTATTGTGTCTTCAAGCAAGCTAGTATTATTCGTTATCACACTCGTGCTTGTAGAACAAGGAATAATGTAGTGTGTCAGTGTCTCATATACCACTCAGCCTTCGGCCTTGTGGCGTACGGGACGCAAACACACTACATTATTCCGTCTTCCACTCGTGCTTGAGTGATAACTAAAAATATCTTCTTAGCAACCTTCCAACAACATTTTGTTCCGATGTCAATCGTGTATTACTTCAGTATTTTATGGTTAGACCATAACAATTTTCCTCTTATAAATAACTTGCTATTGACTTGAGACCGATCTCTGAGTGACCAAATTGGGATTGGAATTTGAGGACAAAAAAAAGAAATCTGGGGGTTTATCTGATTTTTACAGTAACTGGTCAGGTGTGGTTCCTACAACTATGCATACCGTCCACAGTGAGAGTAGCTGGGCGGGTTTCTTGGCTGATGTCATCGTAAGGTGTGCCGCCTTTACCGACACACATGTACGAGCCTTGGACCCTGGGATTGTCGAACTGAGTAATCGTAAACGACAGTGTGCTGCCACTCTTGACGAGTGTCCGACCAGGGACGGGAGCCACTTTGTACCACTCGTACGTCACGGCATTCTCGATGTAACAAGTCATAATGGCTGTCCCTTCCTCTACCTCATTGTTACTTGGCCTCAAAACAACGTCCACTGACCTTGGATGAGTAACGACTTTGGGCACTGTGGTAAGTAAAAAAATCAAACAGTGTTCATAGATGCATGTATATCTGAACGGCTAGGTCTCAGTGGGATGTAGTGCATTGTTGCATACTGGGTTCCAAATGGGTACCTTACGTCGTACTCACCAGCCGTTGATGAGCCAAGACAAATCTGATAGGACAGCAGCTGAAGGTTTCTCCTTTGGGGGCATCCACTTTCCTCAAAATCCTGCTGTTTTTGAGACCACTGTGGGAGGAAGTCGTCACAGAAGGAGTTGTTGCCCTGGGCGCAACTCAGAACTTCCAGCCGAGCCGGCGGAGGTGGTGGACTCTCAAAGAATCTTTGCTCCTGAAGGACCGTCACGCTGAAAAGAATGACACTGTTGGCAGCCAGGGAGACTGGCGGGTCGAGGTCTAAGGTAACATCCCCGAAGGGCGGTACATAAAGGTTCCTGAACTCTCTCGAGTATATGTCAGTGTTCACACCCCTGCGCTTGCGCCTTAAGGGCAAGGACACAGTGAGCCGAACCGGTAACACAACACCTCCTGCAGATGGTCCGCTATCTCCATAATCTGGGTTGCCCTCGTCAATGTTACCTGGGTTAAGAGCCGACGCATCCATGGTGAATCTGTGGGCCACCACAGCCTGTCCAATTGAAAATGAAAACTCTGGGGAAAAGGGTGACCGGCCTGAGGAACTTCCTGATAAAGATGTTGCGGAAAGGCATGGAGTTTCCATCTGGAATGGGAAGCCGCGAACCTCAAGATAAAGATTCTCGCATTCCTCACCTGGAAGAGATGGCGAAAGTTTTCTAACTCCATCTTTGGGATTGTTTTCAGTAGGAGGGTGTGCTTTGGACCAGATATTAGAATCAACTGAAGCACGACGACTCTGTAGTTAGCACCACACAGGGTGTCGCATGTGAGGTATCCCATATATATTTTCTCAACTTCTTTTGTCCAAAGCATACAACCATTTTTCAGTGGTCTGTACAAACATGCAGTATGCATACCTCTATAATTTAACCCAAAATGAGCCCAGGATATTTTGGGGTATCTTACAGCCCAGGGAAGGGGATCACTAAGAACTCAGTTGACCAATGCCAAGTTGAAACATTTGAAACATAGCATGCATATAACAACATTTATAAAACACAAATGTGAAGTTTCAACTTATCCAATATATGGTTTTTGCTGTTACGGTACGTCATTTAAAGTTGAAGGCCCCATAACTGCATGCGCACTGAACACGGCAGTAGACATAAGTATGTTTTGGTGGACCGGTCTTGAAAAAAATGGGTGGTACGACATGATCCCCTTAAATGTTGCCCACACACTACAAATAATTCAATTTCTTTAATTAAGTAAGACCAGGCAAAATTCATTCAAACAAATATCGTCCGGTGTTCACATACTCGTACTTACCCCAGTATGAGACCGTCACAGTCTCTTCATAAGATATGCGTTCCTCAAGCACACAAGTAAAACTGTGGAAGTTAAAAAAAATCCAAAGATCAGGCACTACAAACCGCAGGTCGTCACTGGTTTACAAAAAGAGCGATTACCAGCCCAAAATAATTGGAACTACACAGTAAGAACTGGTTCTCGGTTCTCTCCCAAACTGCCAAATGTCAAGCTTACATGAAACTCCGACACACCTTACAAGGCAGATTAACTTGTATTTCATTCCAGACAGAATCTTCCTCAAAGGCATAAATGAGTGCTTGGAAAAGCAAAGTCCATGATGTTAAAAGGTGGGTACAGTTTGCGATCTTAATTTCCAAAGACTGCATTCAACATGCAAGTTTTGAGTTACAGTTCCTTGAGAGTGGAACCACTATCCTCCCTCCCCACATGCCCAGTTATTACCACTTGTGTGGTGTTACCTTGTCAACAAACAGTACCAGAACCACGAGAAAACCAACCTTTGTGCCTGGAATGAAACAGTCACATCTAAGGCAGCAGAGCCAAAGCCAGATGCCACCACATTCATGTTGCTGTCGTACCACATGACCGACGGTGGAAAGACCCCATGCCCGACGCATATCAGGACCACGTTATCCTCTAGGAATGACGACACACTTGGACTGACAAATCCAAATGTCGGCGGAGCTGGGGGGGGATTTTCAGACAAAAAAATCTCACTGAAGTGCTATTCTGGCTCTCTCTTTTTTCCCCAATGGATGTCATGAGTTTTTGGCAAATTTTATCATCCACACTGGCTTTGGGCAAAATGAACAGAAAACCTGTCTATCTACAGTGTCAATTAAAATGGTCAAGTTCTTTGATGACAGACCAGAGGATCTGGTGGACTGTTTTAAAACCATACATGGGCCAAAAGTAGCACATCAAGAGGGTCAAAAGATGCTCAAAGAACTTTGGATGAGGTCTATATCATGAAACAGTCAAATAAAGAAACCAGATTTGGGGATTTCTGATTTCCTGAGAAGAGTACTGAAGGAAATTTCCAAAGCAGTGAGGGCTCAGTGTGTAATGACAGGTTATGCATATTGACAGCTCACCTAACAAATGCTAGAGAAAACTTTCAGTGTGAAACAATTGGAAATTGTGCAAAAGCACCTGCAATACCATCAATTTGTCAAAAGCCTATAATTTCAAGTACAGGTTTTGCCCTTACACAGACATATCAGGGCAACACCTGTTTTTAACACCTCCTCAACCAAAAGTATATCTTTGAAAGACCATAATTTGTCCAGGGTATATAACAAGTATTGTAAAGGCTGACCATCGTGCACTGTGATTTCACACCACCAAACACATGCCAAATTTCTGGATGCTCAGACATGCTCATGCCGTGGTTGTAAGAACCGCACATGTTGAAACACATGTGATGTTGTTGCATGTACATGTAGGACCCAAACATTCTGAATAAAATCAGGCGTCTCTGGGTAAGCTTACCCAGGCACGAGTCGTAGATGCTATACAGGATTTCATTCTGTTCTGGAATGCCGCATGGTCGGACATCAGGTCTGCTAGAGAAGGTAGCCAATGTCTTCCAGGTGACAAAGGCATCCAGACAGGCTCTGTTGTCACATCCAGCCGTGAAGGTGCTAAACCGGACGCCAACGCTGGACCGGTTTCTACTCTCAGCAGGAAATGGGGGTGGGCTGTCCAAGATGTTCTCGTCAAACTCCATCGTCACCTCAATCTCCTCGCTTGGTCGGACGACCAACGGCTGACGCAGGTCCAGTTCCACAAAACTTTCTGCACTCAGTCCACGGGGAACCTGTGTTTGTCGTATGACACACAAAATTGTTTCTAACTCAGAATTGCATTTAATGCCCTGGCATAACTCTCATATTACGGACAAACCCCGAGACATGACTTCTTACATAAAAATACCCTGCAGGTTTGAAAAACAAACAAAACCAAACTACCGTACTTCAGTGAAAGTTTCATGTCACCAACACTAAGCTGTCTTCTCTCCTTACAATGCTATGGGATAAGAGATGTAACATTAATAACACAAAGCAAAAATGGTGTCTCAACCAGGAATATGTCACTTAAAGCACGCTGAAGAATTTTCCTTACATATTCCACGACAGCATACAGCAGACATTGAACCTCATGCCTTTTGGGGGGATTTCCTTTTAAGCTGTGACTTACCACTGTAAAAACATTCCTCACTTAAACTCTGTGGTATTTATTTGTCCATCTTTCCTCAATACTCAGGAAAAGGGAAACCTATCGCTAATGATATTGTGACAGGAAGAGCAAAACATCTTCACCCATCCTTACACAGCTATACTTGTGGGGTATTTCCTTTATTCTCATGTACACAACTCCCACACATCACACACAAAATTTCAAATCACTCCAATTTAAACCAAATTCACTCTCCTGGGTTGAAATTTCGACCGTATGTCCCTTACACTTCAATTTGTGACAGATTTTTACCCATCAAAAACTTCCCCTTTTGAGTTATTTCCAAATCAGTTTCGTGAAACTCTTGTGAGGTACCAACCACAAGGTAAACACTGGCCTTGTGGGGTACTTTCCATTGCTCCGGTACCCCACGAGGCCCCACGTATAAGTGCACATGTACTTACTGCAGCCCGTACTGTTGTAGTCTTTACAGATGCTGGGAGACTGATATTGATGAAGATGGTGGGTGACACTAATTCTTTTGACTGTAGATCGATGATGTCTGTGACATTCAACCTGACCTGTAGACAAGGTAACCGTTTTACTACTGTCACAGCATGTATCATTAATGAGCATATGGTTGGTATTCAAATTTGAGTGTCAGGTACAATGTACTTGGGTTTAATTTGCATGCGTACATGTAGATGGTGGGGGAGGGACAAACAGGGGCACCACCCCTAAAAAGAACGGACAAAAATATGTAAATTTTTCTTAAATAATTGGAAAGGCAATGTTGGAGATCTACTTCATTTTCCATCCTTCCAAAAGCGTTTCAAAAATTGGTCTCAAAAAACCTTAAAATGTTAAGAGAATGGTTCAATTTCTGCACCCTCTCCTAAAAGACAATTGTGCCCCCTTCACCCCGAAAAGAAACGGGTTCTGGATCCACCCTTGTATGCCCACCTAATCAGAACGGAAGAAGTGTTCTAAATTCTGCAGAACAGTGAAACTTGTTCCCAAATCTACTGTAGACCAGGTTCATATTTCACTTCAGGGCAATTAGCAAAGTTGGTGATGAGCTGCACTGAACCCTCTCACCATGGAGGAAGGACACAGAAGGAGTTTGAACTGTCCAGGCTATAACATCTGGCCGATTACCACTTTCTGGCATGCCCGGCATGTCCATAGCCAGAGCGCAGCACACGCCTGCTACCCACCACCTGTTCTGCAACCGTAAGCTCCCTTTGTACCCCATGATCATCGCCGCAATTTTTCGTTGGTAATCTGCATCCCTAAAACGTTGTGTACTGCAGTATAGGAAGTTGAATATTCATGCCATCGTTGGTGCTTGGTATGAACTGACAACAACATCAAATTTAGTGCTTGCACAGTTGCTTTTATCAGGCTGTATACCCGAAGCGTTCATGTGCAGTTGTTGCCCTTATCGAATGCTTTCTTCTGGACTTCTTTTGGGGAATAAATAGCCCAGCTGTTTGTAAGATTTTGAGTTTTATTTGAATTATTTGACACAAAAAGGTATTTTATGAGATCTCAGGATCACTCCCTGTGATGAAACAGCGCACTTTGTTTTTCGTGAGCTTAATTGTCCTGTGGTGTTCAGCATGCTGTTGGCCAGTCTTAGCCAAACTCGTACAAAGACTTTGAAAACTGATGTTTTGGAGTGACAAAATAAAATTACAAATATATGCATGAATAACGGAAAAGGGTATCAAAATCTTTTTAAAAAAAATTATTCAAAGTGGGAAAAGTAAATCTAATGTCAGATATTTTTTCTTTCTGTTTCCTGGTCACTGCGATAAGGTTGTAGTTAATTCCAAAGAAAACACCTCAAATATTGTTACAATATTACTGGCCCCACTTGTCTGGCTAAGCAGCAGGCAGTAATCAGGCATTTTTGGAATGTTTACTATTGTTCATCTGACCAGGTGGCGATGATCATCAAGCACTTTGATGTGTCAGGGTTGTCATTCCGTCTGTGTCGTTCCTCCATGCTGTCACCAATATCTAGTGAAATTGGTTTTGGCACAGCATTGAAAATGTGTATCTACGTGTTCACTTTTACATGGAGGGTGAACGGACCTCCAGACGTGATGAATACAAATGCTCACTCTAAACAAGTACGTTCTGTCCGTTGCGTCGCTAGGTGCCGTGAATTTGAAGACAATATTTCCCGTTCCCCTCACTGACCGGGACACTGCCTCTCTTGCGTCTGTCCACAGAGTTGGAACTGCACATGCATTGTAAAGCATCGCCGATGCAGAGGAACACTGTTGGTCTATGAAAAGTGTGAAATCACAACATTTACTGAGAGAACACTTCTTGACGCTGCCAAGCCTGCCATCACAAACATGTACACACCTGTATCTGCAGATGTCCTTCTACACCTTAGCAGGGGTCAAATCCTTGCTCTACCTACAAGTACATGACTGCTCAGGTCAACATCGCGATCAGTTAAGTCACAGTCAAGGTAATGCCGACATATTTGTGGAGCACCAAATTCCTGTGTATTTCTGTCTTCATTTTAACTACAAATGTGCACACTCGTTCAGTTGCAAAAATGAGGCACACCAAACTACGTTGTATATTTAACAAATGGCTCGACTTTTCATTTACACTTTGCAAAAACAACCCAAAGGCTACATGTACAAAGTGCACGCTAAAATGTAATATTCCAAATTTAGGAACCTTTTATGTCCCTGTCGCATCTAACATATGGGTTTTAGATTTTAGAACACAATCTTTAATTTCTAGGAGTGAAGCAAATTAGTCAAACCTCGTTAATAAGAGCACTATTAATATAAGATTCTGCTTGTAACAAGCAAAAATTTAGGTCCCAGCCATTTGTTTCTCATTGTTTCATTCCTGATAATACAAGGTCCCTGTTATAACAAGGTAATTTGCCATGTCTGAAGGACCTCTTATTAACGAGGTTCGACTGTACCTGCAAATCAAATAAGAATACATCAAAGTTAGTTTCAATATTATTCCCTTGTCAAACTACATTCATGTACACGTACCAATAGAGTGTTGTGCCGAGATACGTGTACATACATACACACATGTAAAAGTACTACAGACCCATCACTTAACACATACACGTACACGAACATGAGAAGGTTTGCTTTCGGTTCAGTGAGTGGGCATCACAGAACAACTTGTTCATCCATCTGGAATTGGCTATTGAATGTTGCCATGGGAATCCTCATGGGATCCTCCCAGTAAACATGACACTCACTTCTTGGGCACTCGCCAAAACCTTCATCCGATCCCCATGGTGCATTATCCCCGCAGTCGTTGAAGCCATCACACGAGGTTGACCTGGGCACGCACACACCGTTATTGCATGGTTGATCTGTGATGACTGGGCACTCTGTTAAAAAAGCAAACACCAACAACACAGCTACAACCTCAACTCTCCTTTGGGAGAAAAAGGTGACGGCATCTGCGTGCGGTACTTTTTTCCCAAACTCGCAGTTGAGATTGGAGGGCAAGAATTATTCTGAAGCACCATTTTTGTACACAATGTAATTAAATTGTTAACAACTTACACAAAGCTCCATGTGGTTGTAAATCTTTGAAATCCATCCGTCATGTCAACAAGATGAAGCATTTCTTATTCTTGTAGATAGAGTAGCAGATACTACATGTAAATGTAGAAGGGTTGTACACTCAACACTCAACCTTCCCCCACCCCTCACTTTTGGGCAAGAACTTTGATGACGTTGGGTTAAGTATGTACTGACAAAGAGTCTATACTGGCAATGATTGTGAGCACGGTTCCCATCTTAGTTCGGTCAATTTCCAGTCAATTTGCACCCCACTAACTGTCTAAATAGAAATTGCATGCAATGTACACGTATGCTTTGTTCCCAAAATAAACTTCAGGCACTGAAAAAATAATGTAAAAATAAAAACATTTCAAGTAACATGTACGCAGTGAAACTAAATCTCATTTTTTACAGTTAAGTTCTAGAAAACAATTTTCCTGTAAAACAGAATATTGAAAATGTAAAAAAAACAGGCATATCACTGGTGACTTCATAATAATTCACTCAGGCAGTAAGAAGGAAAAGCCTTCGGCAATCTTTTCCGGGGCATGGATATGATGGAGTGATGTCATATCCATGGCAACGTCTAAACATGCCCATCCCATGTTTGTCAACTCCTCACCACACGTTGAGTTTAATGGGATTTTGCTTGCTTTGGCCACTTTAACAAATTAAAATGATTGATATCACAACTGCTTTGATCATTCATATCAAACACATTTCTCACAGTTGATATACTTTTTAAGTGCATTTGAACACTGTTAATATATGTTTTCCCAACACGTCTTTTGCTGGTTTTTAATGCTGGTTGGCTAAAACACAGTCACAAGGGAGGTCACTCATTCACAGCAAAGAACACAGAACTAAGACAAAAGTGCTGTTCTGAAGAGCAAATTTAAGAATCCCAATCTCTTGAATTTGTGAGTGTTGTTTGTTTTTACACAAAGTTCGGTTTATAACAAAGGACTATGTCTGGTCCTATAACTTTGTTATCACTAGAGTTAACTTAATAAACACACGTTTCGGTACCCTGCATGTTGACTGCATGTAACGAAGAGGTCACTAGTGCTTGCCTATGCACCCAGAGGGTAGGTGAGAGACAAGTATGGAGTCCTATTCCTGAGGTTGAAGGGCCAAGAGAAATACATGTACATGCAAGAAAGGGGGGGCAAGGACCTGTCAAACTGACCAAACTATGCCAGCCCATAGAGATGTTTTATAACGCACCAAAATATAAAATAAGAGGTGAATCATTACGGTGCTTTTAAAACTGAACTGGTTTAATTCAACAACACTTTTCCCTTGGTTCAGTTTTGAGTTGCTGTTTACTCTTCTTGCCGGTATCATGTGAGGGCACTTTAACCAGTAAAATATTTTGACAATAGTGCCTAATTGGGCACAGTACGGCCTACTCCAGAAATTAAACGCATGTGATGTGTTTTGGTACAAAGCCAGTTTGCCATTCGTGCATCAGCCTATGTATCATGAACTCTGAGTGACCTTGTTTAAGCCGGCCAGGACGACCATGGAGGAAGGAAATGGGATGACAGACCAGCAAGAGGTGCGTTAGAATAAAGGCTAGTGAATAAACATGGCATCTAGTGAATAAACATGGCATCTAGTGAATAAACATGGCATCTAGTGAATAAACATGGCATCTAGTGAATAAACATGGCATCTAGTGAATAAACATGGCATCTAGTGAATAAACATGGCATCCTGTGAGCTACTGAGGATGCACATCAAGACATCATGCATGCACAATTTACAAAGTACATGTACATACATGCAATGCCAAATTTAGACTGCATTTGCAAAGTTTTGAGCAGTTACACCAGGCGCAGGCACAAACACCAAAGAGTTTCTCTACTTAATTCACATTTTAGACAGAGTTGAGTTATGAAAACTCATTTGGAGTGGCATATGCATACACGTGTGATGCGGTGATGTGGTGACGTACATGTACCACCAACTTCACCCACCTGTTCCCACAAAGATATCATGTCGAGTTATTTCAATTAGTTCTTGTGAAGTGTGTACTACATGTATTACAGAGCAAAATTCAAGCCCACACTTACGAAGCTGCACTGTAACATTGAATACACAGTATGCTTTATTTCCACCAGTGTCGACAAAGGTGTAACTGACTTCAGAAACTCCGACACCAAATCGAGTTCCTGGGGGGGTGTTGGTCGAACGGTCCACCCCAAGAGTAGGGGAAAATGGCTCAATCCAACTGATGGCCACTTGAATAAAGGAATTCTGAACGTATGCAGGTTGAACCACCGGAGGGCAGCCTTCAATAACAATATCTGGAAGCCCTGAAAGACAATAAAGAAATGAAAGTCGTTTTATTGATGTTCCATGTCCAAGCTGACAAAGGTGTAATAAAAAACCGTTGTCCATGGGAAACATTCAAGGAGGTAAATCTACGGATACCACAGCGGTCATTTTGTTTCATACATGTGCATCATCCCAGTTTTGTGGTATAAGTGCTCGGCAAAAAACTAAAATCGCTTCAATTTGCGGCCGTGTCCAAAATTCCTTGGCTGCAGTTTGACATCAGATACATGAACAGACTTGTTCATGAGTACGAGAGTGGCTTCAGCCATTACCCATAGAGTCCTGTATGATTCAAAGCCAGAGTCAGAGTTTTTTGGACATGAGGAAGCCTTACTATTTCATTTGCGGCTTAATATGGTTTCCTGCAAAGCAACAGTCTAAGAGACTGCACTTTTCTGCTGCAAGGGACAGTTCATGTATCCTAAAATACAGGTGCTCCAAGACAAAAGTTTAGTATTTTGGAGCAGTTACACATTCAATGAACACTTTGTTTCCTTACATGTTACATGTACATGTATATTGCATTTAGAGATCCATCAGGCAAACGTGCATTACATCTCTCAATTAATCATTTTATAATCTTTCCAACAATACAGATGGAGACTGAAAAAGATTTTGGTGGTTTAAATTTCGTAGAGGGACAGGGGCATTAATCTGTTTTGAAAAAGGGGGGAACATAGCCCTGATCAGAACAAATGCGAGTGCAAAGCTCTGAGTGGGGTGGGGTCTGGGGCCGGAAAATTTTGGAGTATAAATGCTCTGTGGTAAGATCTGAAACAATTTCTGGCTACTTTAGCCATTTTTTTAAAAACAAATTTATGCTTTTGCAAGGTGTACATTTTCATTTAGGTTTAAGAAAAAAGTGTGGGGGGCGGACAATTGATAGAGTATCCCCCCTTGGAAAAGTTGGGGGACACGTCCCCCCATCCCTCACCCAGCGGCGTAGCGAAGGCATTTTCTTTGAGGGGGGTTGTGCCAGGGTCAATTTGCCGACTTGTTGAACGACGATGTACGTCAATAATTCATGACGTCAATTTCAGTTTCATTTGCCGACTGACCCTTTATTTGCTGACTGAAAAGAATTACTGGGGGGGTGCAACACCCACCACCCCCCCTCGCTACGCCGCTGCCCTCACCGATTGACGCCTATGTAATAAGAGGGGTAAGGATAGGGTCATTTTATTGGGAAGTGACTGCCTGTGAAAATTACCAGGCTAGTACCCTATTCTATACACCAAAAAAACAGTATGGCACTCTTTTTCCTGTTACCAGTGGGGAAGCTGGTATATTACTAGTGAGGGGTACAAGATGGCACCGGCACCTTATGGGGAGTCAGGAAGGGGGGGGCACCAGCTTTCAGTGGTGTGGTTTTCAGGGGCAAACTTTTGTTAGCCTTGTTGAATATCATTTGAACATCCATTTACCTCATTTTTTAGTGGGGGGAGGGGACACCTAGGGGCACTGGGCACCCCTCCCCCACAGCCACACCCCTGCCTGTTACAATACCCAGACCACATTTGTACAGTCCAAAAAACCCTCTGTAAAAAAAAAATGAAGCATGCACAGCTCTCTTCATTATTTTAAAGTGAAATGTAACGAAAACAATGCTAACATATCCTACATAAATGTACAATGTCTGATTTTTGGGTATGTTTTATGCATTTATAACTTGCAACAGCAGCATAATAGCATTTAGCAGTTTACAGGGAAATTTACTCAGCAGCAAAAATACACGCTTTTTAACTTGAAAAGTACAATGTAGCTGTGGGTAGAGATGGAAGCATTTGAAATCAATCAACAGAGTTGTTGAAACTGCCGTACTTTAGAATGGTACATGTGCGTTGGGAATGGGTACGCAGGGATGCCTGTGCCTGTTAACTATCACACAAACCAAATCCAAGTGCCCATGTGGCCAGTTTTGAAAAGAGTTTGGGAAAAGAACCTTGATATGCAAATCCAGTCAGTTATCAATTGTTGTCAGTCTATTACTGTTAGTGTATGGTACGTGTCCGTCCGGTCAAAATCAAACCTCCATTGACTGTCCAGACAAACGTCTTTTGCTGGGACAGTCCAGCACGGAAGGATCAAAGGTCCCGGCTCCTTTTGAGTGGACAAACGTTTCTTTCTTTTTATGTCAGGGCACACAATAGTCTTTATTCAGGTTGGTTGAACAGGGTCACTTTTCAAACAGTATACCAGTTTTTCTTCCCAGCATACTTGCACATGTACATGTGATAGTACTTTGTGTGTCAAGGTCTTGTTTTTAAATGGTGGCATTGTGAATTGTTAAAGAAATTTATTCAGTGGTGTGCATGATCTTGCAACACAATTGAAATAATTTCTGCTTTCAGGGAAAGTTGAAAAGCACCTGGACTCGCAAATGACAAAATGAAGGCTGTAACGATGCAACAGTTATGCATCGCCGTGGAAATTATGACTCATGAAAAACTGGCATCTGTTGTGGATGTTGCCTATTGCACATGACACTAAACCCCTTTATTGTGTTTTGCATTGCAGACAGGTGTAGTCCTGTTTCAAAGTATTAAGGTCAACCGCAAAAATCATGAAAAACCATGGACTTTTATTTGGAAAAATAATCTATTGGATAAAAAAAAGTCTGGTGCCAACTACAGTATACATGTATGTACATGTACATCATAAATTATTGCACAGGTTTACTTTTTCCTTTAAAAATGTTTAAGATTTTGAAAAAAAAAATGAATAAAATTTGATTTGACATGAAAGTGGCTGGCTCTTGTGTGTTATACTCATCACCCTCTGCTTTTAAAATTTAATTCAATTTCAACTTTTACTTGTGAATTGCTCAATTAGTCATTTCCCCTGTGCTGTTAATGTACACATGTACATACATGTACATACATGTGTACATGTACATACATGTACATGTGTAGCAGTGTACTACTATTGGATCTGACATAGTCAAATTTTTTACTGAAAAAGTGCAGAGTACAAAAATTAAAATATTTCAACTACCTATAAAAATTAAGTATGTACATGGGATGCTTTATTTTTTAAGAGGTGTTTGGAAGCACAACCATTTGTTATTCGGTCTACTGTTGTATTCCAAATTTGGCCTGAGCGTTCCAAGCAAATCTATTTTGTAAGTCATTGAGCTCTTTTCCAGGCTTACTTAGTTCATTCATGCAGAGTGTTTTGCTTTATGAAATAGATAACGGGTCATCAGCGAGCAGGATATTAGGTAACACAATTCTGACAGGATGACGATAGGTCCTAGTACTTGCATTGTTAAACATCCCAATCAATTTTGTTTCCCATAATGATGAAGTACATTGTACATGGACAGTACATTCTTTCTGTTTAACTGTAAAGTAAAAAGCACACCCAAATTGGTAACATGTTTCAACACATGAACATGTACAACATATTCAAGTTTCGGTTTTATACTGAATCAAATGAAAGGAAACTATTGATATCAATTTTTACAAAGAATCATCTTCACAACACATTTTGGAAGGCCAAGCCCAACAAAAGCAATACATGTAGTGTTGTACATGTATATGTTGTGAGATTTGTCACCAGAAACAATGTACAGTCATGACAGTGTCTAGCCTGTGCTACACTGAAACTTTACTTTAGTCATTAATATGCATGAATTTTTTGTGACTGTTTTTATAGAATTTTAAAAGCTTTCTCAGCCCATATGCGTGTACATGTATATGCAACTTGGTTTTTTCCCCTTAAATCATGTAAATTTAACTTTTCTGGACATATTTTTGCTTTCTAATGGCTAATAGGTCACTGTAGGAATAATTATTGGCGTCCGTACATGAAACTCTTCCCCGTCTTACTGTAACTTTGGGTTTGCTCCTTTTGCCTTCCAACAATGCCTTTCTGTTGAGCAAAATCACCAGGGCCAACACTCTACCACAACTTACCTTGGAGAGTCGTCGTTGAACCACCAGCGAGTGTTGTTGCTGGGTCCGGCATGTCCGGAGGTACAGTGGTTTGAGGGTTCACCACACTGACACCTGTACCCAACGATATGAACACGATCACCGCCAACCTCAACATCCACACTTGCCGTCGATTCATTCTTGCCCCAACGTTTGTCGGAAACGAATTTAAAAGTTGTTGACTCCTCACTCAAACCAGTCTTGGTCTGTAGAATAATGAGAAGTTTATGCTCTTGTTGTAGGGTTAACGTCACCTTTGGCAAATTTATGCCCACGGTGCCCGCCGTCAGTAGAGTTCCTGTGTCACGGTGAGAAGTTAGTGGTATGTCACTTGTCAGTTGCCTGTGTAGCCTAGGTAGGTGCTTGATGACTCGTGCAAAGAGTTTATAGGTATTGAAGCGTGATCTCTCTTTTGTGGTAACATGCAAATTTTACGCATGACACTGAATTCAGGCATGTCAAGGAAGGCCAGGGCCTATATACACTGCACAAAACTGATATGATCGTGTGGGGTCTGGGGCCGGTGGCCAAGGCTGTGGTTTTCGATGGAGTGGACCTGCGATTAAGACGGTTACCTGACTGCATTGACAGATTGGGGTGTGGTCAAAACCGTCGAGACAAGGAATGATGAGAAGTTTTAATTAGTGCGCAGCCTTATCAAAATTACTGTGGGATTTGTGTGCATATTCCCCAAGATTAAAGCGTGAAAAATGGACGTTTTCAAGGTTAAGAATGGCTAAACTGAAACTTTGCGTTGCAGAGGTCTCCTTGAATCATGGAGGAAAAAAACACCGTGCTTGAATCAATGGAAGTTTCCTTGAATCACGGATGTTCCTCTCTATAATTGTTTGTGAACCACCATGAATGGGTCAACAGTCATCGTCACGTGACTGGACCAGCCCATACGGGGATATGAGAACTACACGTCAATTCATTTTAAACGTGGGTAAAAACTGGCTGTGCTCTACGCATTAGGCTTGGCCCCAGTGACAAATACACGATGCTTTCAATTGCTATAGGTGATTACCTACGACCCATCCATTTTCTAAATTTTTTTGCCTGGAACCTTTTTTGAGAAAGAAGGCATGTATCTTTATATCCTTCCAGAACTTGAACAGGGGGGATCCATCGCGTTGTACCTTGGAGGTTCTGATAGCAAGTTAGTAAGCTTTCTCTTTTCGGAGAAATAAAAATACCACAGTATGGGAGTAACTGCTTGAGTATGGAGATATCCCCTCAGGGGATGGGCTATTGAATCACCGCACCACTTTTTCGCGGTGAGAAAAATTCAGGTGGATTGTTAAAAATTGTTTGGACTTCCTAACGCCCGAAATCATGTCTTCATTAGCACTCGAAAAGGGAGAAAAATTAAAGGGCAAAACGTAAATACGCCATTTCGATTTCAGGTTGTGCAGGAGTTTATACAGATGAACATCTCTATCGCTAGAGTCATATTGTGTCAGCACCCCTCCCTTCACATTTTTTATGGCTTGGGTGCTAGTCACCCCCACAAATCCATCCCCAATCCCCACTAGTCCCGGCACAAATTTACTTCAGTGAAACATCATTTTCTCACACGGATGTTAACAATGAATCAACTTTCGCAAGACCGAAAACGCAGTCACGTTTCACAGGCTTTTTTTCAGTGAGTTCATTCATTCCAAGGATGCGAACATTACAAAGTCCTTGACTTTCAATAATGGAATGGTAAACATGCCATTGCTTTTTATAGTTCGTGCATCCGTGCAATCCAATACGCCAATTCTAGGTTTTAAGTGTTCCCGGCACTGCACTTTAAATCGTCTCTTTACTTCAAAACTTCCTTTTTACCTCGGTATGCCATTCGTCTTTCTAGCCTCCATTTGATCCATTTGTTTCCACAGTTATCGAAAGTTGAGTCGTTTTGGAAGACTTATACAATTACCTATCCTATTGTGTATGCTTTATTTTTATATTTCGCGTTAACGCTGAAGGAAGGATTTACATTTATTGATTTTCTTACTCGAATGAGAACCTCTCGTTACATGGTTAATTGAATTTGGTTACTTGTGACATGTATGTATAAATATAACGGGGGGTCTTTACTCGACAAGCTATGGCTTTTCGAGGCCTCCATACACTATGACACTGTATTGTTACTATGAAATGTTACGTATGGAAAATAAAGAGAAAGTGAAGTGAAGTTGAGCTCAAACTGGGAGCACACATTCACTCTTTGTTCCAATAATAAAACACACTTTAAAAATTTGCATGAACAGTCGCATTTTGTTTCATTCCATCAGTTCCTGATATATTTGCGACAGAAAAATCCTACCATGCGGATCTTTTCGATGGCATAAACTAATAGCCTACATGTCACCTAACATTGACCGAAGTTGAATCAGTCACTGTGGTGAAATTATAATGGTTTTATTTAGGTTTCCGGAAAACAGGCCTACGTTGCGTGCTGCGTAATTTATTGCCCGCGGCATGATGACATGATGTCATCGACTACTCAGTAATCCATGTTATATTTGTTTTGCTTTTCATTATTCACATAGTTATCTTCGGTGAAATAAAGCTTATTTTGGCATGTGTGCTAACTGCCATCTTTCCGTGTGTATGTAGTATCATGCAAACGCGTGTACACGTGCGGGGGGGTGTATAGGTCTTCACTGGATTTCAAGGGACGATTTCATTTTGTCAGGCAAATTAGGACTGAGTTTGTGGGGACGTTTCTCTATCCTCATGACTTTTTGGTCTCCACAAATAGGTGAAATATAGTGTGTATGTCATCACAACTACGGAACAAAAAGCCGTGTGCCACAGTCATTTGACAGTTCCTGATCGCTTTGTATCAGCTCATGCCAAGATGAACTAGCACGCAGGTACCCGTGGCTTTTGGGGGGCGGGGAGCAAAAAATCGAATATTTTTCATGTAAAAATTTAGGCCTTTCCGAGGGGCGGGGAGTTTTGGGGGGAGTTTTTACACACTTTTTTGAAGGGAGGGAATTGAAATAGACCAAATGATTCACCTTTTCTTATTATTTTCCCCTAACATATATGGGCTTTTTGGAGAGGGGATGGCCCCTGTTGACCTCCCCCGGGATCCGCCTTTGTACAAAAGGAAGAACCAATTTCGTCTTGTAATTCGTCTTCGTGGCATTTTCAGACATTTTGGACAGCGAATAAATTTTCGTCAGGCCAGAAAATGGCCAAATTAACTAGTGGTTGAGAAAATGTAGGCCGAAACGTTCCCCGCAGGCGGATGACGCTATTTCCGTGAGTTAAATCAGTAGTTTGGAGAGAAAATCGACCTCGTGTTCCTGCGACAATCAGGAAGAAGATTGCTATAGTTGAATAACAATCCGTTACCAAGCGCTACAGTAAATGGCCTCCGTCGCGCGGGCGAGGCCACATAATTATGGCAGGATGACACATTTTGGCCTGTTAAAGGCCTACTATACCCCAGGCTATTTGTGTTTTGTTTTTTGCATTTGCTCAGACATGGGCCCTATTCAAAAACGAAATCGCGGGAATGCACATCGATCATTAAAACGAACACCGGTTGTCTTCAAAAGAACCGTCTTCTTGTCAGATAAATCAGCACAACTTAGAAAATAGGTCTGCGTGCGAACTGAAAACTACATTCCCCCAAACATACTGTGTAAATTGTAGGATCACAGGTAGGAAAATAATTAAAGGCTTGCCTGTAGGCCTATAAGAATGGCCACTGGACACATCTGCACAGTAAGTTAAAACAATTGGCCTGTAAGTTCTACTGGTATATTTCATTAAGTGATGCTGGAATTTAATTATTTTTTCAGCTGAAGTACATGTTCGTAGGTACAGAACGATACGAATCTGTTTTTCCTGCTTCATGATGATTAAGTTTTTCCTTAAATTTTGTAACGACATCCAAAGCTGCAGGAAAGATCGAGTTATTTTGCATGATGTTTGAATTTGATTTAATGTCTATGCGCCTTTCAAGATTCGAATTTTGAGAAAATTACGGAAATTCATTTTTTCCTACTAGTAAAATGAAGAAGTGGAATGATAAACGATGCCAGCTCGTTATCCCGTATCCAAAGTACTTAATTAAATATAATAAAATATCTCCGTTATACATTGCACTAAATGTACCTCGTTTCAAGGGCATCACATGTAAAGGTGAGGACTTTTATTCAAGAGCGTTCATCAGGACTGTTTTCAATACCAATCACATTTACAATCTCCCCAACAGGTACTCTGATTGCTACCAGCGTTTTTTTTTACCTAATCCTACCTTGACTTCAGTCACTAACTGCAAAGTATAATAGTATACAAGGGCCTAATTGACTCACATCGCGGGTTGAATGAACAAAGTCTGAAAACAAAATGGTGCATGTCTATTTTGGATTTCGATTTGTATTTGTAGTTTGAAAATATGAAATCATTCATTAACGCATGTTTGTATACAGGGGCGGAGCCACAGGGGGCCTGGGGGAACATCCCCCCATTCCCGGTGCCCCTCCAGGTGTCCCCCACTAAAAAAAAAAAAAGATAAATTGATGAACGGATATTGAACAAGCTAACAAAAGTTCGCCCCCATGAAAACGCAGAAAGCTGATGCTCCACTGTAAGATGATATAGTTCCCCTTTGCGCCCTAAAATGCTATAGCTACGCCACTGTTTGTATATTAATCCCCGTCGCCAGCTTCAGGCATTAAGGGGGCCCACAGTATCAGCTGGGGGGGGGCATATCACAAGAACACAATATGTTTATTAAGCTTATGCTTTTTACTGATTGGGGCAGCTTCCCGGGGGGGTTGCTGCCCCCTCGGGCCCCCCGAGCAACGGGCTTAAACTTCCATATTTATAAATCAAGCATTCGTTAATCTTATATACGTAACACTGAGTTATCTTATTAGTCTTAAGTTTGTATAGGCCTACACACGCTGTTGTGGCAATTTGTATTTGTCTAGGGCACCATAGTAGTGTGCACAAAACACTCTTAAAAATGCGTTCGTTTGTTGAAATGGTAAAATATGCGAAGTTGGTATTACACATGAGTAGCAATAGCTTCTTACTAATAGCTTCAATTACTAAGAAGACACTAAGTTTTGAAAAGCAACAATGTAAAATTAAATTTGACTTTGTCTCTATAGCGATTCAGAGGTACTATGTAAAGCGAACAACAAAAGAATACTAAAAAAAGCAAAAGGTCACGTTAAGTTGATGGAATGGTGCGAAGTTTGTGACTTGGTCAAAATGAAAGAACCACTACACAAAGTTTTATACCGTTGAAAACAGAAATGTTCAGTAGTAAAGTCTTATAAGCTGGCCCAAACATCTTGGTTTCATGTCATTTATTTTATTTACAGTTGGTTGGGAAGAGGACTCTTTAATCTTGTTTGACGGCAAAGGGATGTTCCTGGTTATCAACGTATTCTGGTTGTCTCGTAAATTGTGAAGGCCACTTGTACAAAGACGCACTGGTACGAGAGAGTATCAGCAGCTCAATACCGGACGGAGAGTTCGTGCTTCCGTGGGTCGTCTCGGTGCCTTTTCCTGCCAGTGGAGTCTTCCCCCCTCCGCTCATCAGACAGAACACGTGCTTGCTTCTGTCGACGGACTTCAGTTTCCCGAGGAGGATCGCGCGGATGTTGTCCTGACGCAAGCAGAACAACAGGAAGATGAAGAGCCCCTGCAGGGAGTTGAAGACGGAGAACAGGACCTGGAAGGCAAAGTTGGAAGCCTCGAGCACCGACAGCAGACCGAACGACCAGGTCAGGCCCAGCAGGACGGAGATGGCCAGGGCGTTCTGCACCCGGCGGGAAGCCTTCCGCCGCCGGTGCTGATCTGCCGTGCTTCGGACCTGATTTCGACCGTAGATGCTCACCAGCACCATGATGAAGATGATTGTGTTGTATAAGAGGACCACACCAATTATGGCCATCTCACCATATAGGAATGCTGGACCAGACTTCAAGAAACAGCTATGATAGAAATAAGACAGAAATGCTCAGAGAAAACCTCTGTCTTGCTCTCTTTCTCTCTCTTTTTTTCTGCGATTAACTCCTATAAGTATTCTCAATCCACTGCTGCCATAAATTTGTGGCAATTTTTTTGCGAAGAGCTGCTCGTTTCATGGATTACTGGTGCAAAATCGTCGGAAACTTTTATGAAGTATTTCCATTGTTGCAGATTGTCTTTTTGGAATAGCGTAAGGATAATCTTGAGTGGCTGATGGTGGGGTGGGTGAGGCTAGCAATGGGTAAGGTGTAGGGCGTAGGGTCGGTGATTGAGCTTAGCTCCTTGAACCCCTCAATATTCCAAAAGAGAAAGCTATAAACTCACACAATTTGATGGTAATACCCCGTTTCAATCCAGCTAGGCCTAGTTGTACCCCCACATTGTTTTGGAGTTGGGTATTTTACTTCATCACAGGCTAAGTAAAGCAGGGCCTTGAGAATTTAAGTGAGGGACGTTAGTGCGAACACCCTCCTGATTCGATTTTTCTTTAATACGGGCGATTCACAAGAGTGCGCCTCCAAGAGATTTCGCACGTTGTGATTGGCCAACGCGTTGCAAACTCTTGGAGGCCCACTGTTATGAAACACCCGTATTGCTATTTATCACTCAGTTTGTTTTCTTTTGCTGCTACTGCGCTTTCATTACCCTCTTCACAAGAGCTAGGATTCATGAGATGGATATACAATACGCCAGGTTTACAACTTACTATGTCTTGCTCTGATACTGTGTATAATCAACCGCTAGGATGGTGACCACAATTATTAGCGGAGCACCTGTTAACAGGGAACATATATAAAGTATCAGATAACAATTATATCTATAGGAAAATTATTTCTGAGACTTGACTCAAGAATCGATCAATTAAGCGGAGTTCGTTCGGGGTAGCATCCTTCTGACATGCACGTAGTAGGGACCCCACGCCTGTGATTCTGGGACGGGGATGCATGACGAATTTTCTTTAAGTCCTCACCGCAGTTTTGTTTAAGGAGCAACACAGATCAGTACATTGTGTGTACATCATACGTGCGCGCATAATGTAGGTGCATAGGAGAATAGGAAAAAAATGTCTAATATTTTTGGGGAATATTCTCTCAGTCAAAGTACATTATTTTAGAACATTCAAAATTTCTATGATTTTTCTGACAAATGAGGGCGCTGTTGTTGTAGTCATCAAAAGATGGCACGGTCACATGGGGTGGCAAGTGTACCTTTGCTCCCCACCCCTATTCATGCTTGCGATGTTATGACCCTATTGACTCACCCCACGCAGCCAGGGATGCGTGCAGCATAAAACGCCGCATAGAAATCGTGTTGATGACCTTGACCAGGAGCAAGTACATGTTTGTGGCCTCCACCGCCATCCAGGCCATTGAGGCCAAGGTGAAGTAATGGAGTAAGACTGCCACAACCAGGCAGCCGTTACCGGAGGAGGTCTGCTCAATGCCGACCAAGAAGATCAGGTAGAGACACAGGAGGGAGAAACAGAGACAGATCAGGATGCGGCTGGGGATCTTGACTCGCAGCGATCTCGGGTAGAGGAGAGAGGAAGACACCAAAGATGAGAAATTACTTCAGCAGTTCACTTCAATATGCAACACCTGGATGCGGCTGGGGATCTTGACTCGCAAAGAGCTTGGAAATAAAAGTGGACACCATAATGACGGCTTTAATTAGTGCGATTAACCTATGGAGTCTGGATGAAAATAAACAATCTCAATGTGGCTCATGAAAGGGACAGTTATCGACAGCCTCAGCCAAACTGGACTTTCCAGTATGATTCAAGCTCAACCTATCAAGTACATTCAGACGAGCGCCAGATTGCCGATCGACTTTTCTTTAAATGGTCAGTTTTATATTAGAGGTTCCAGCTCAGCCTAGTAACTCCATTAGAGTTACCAGCTCAGGACCATTCAGCCTACAGACCGAGACAAACCGGAAGGTAAAGACAGACATTTTAGCGTCTTATTCAGCTGTTCTCACTTTTGCAATGGGGGTAAGGTAGACCAGTCAAGATCCCTGGCAGATGTTTCAGGAGGAAACTAACCAATTGACTAGTAAGGGTGGGGGCTACATATTACAGCGAAGGGGTGCAAGAAAACCCTCACCCTTCGGGTGTATGCAAAATAAATAAGTGGATTTGGAAATGTCAGGGTTAATAAAGCAACCATTTATAAGGAGGATGCGCCCCCTCTGGCTACGCCCCTGTGGCCCTTCAGGAATTATAAGACGCACTGAAGTAAGGCAAAATCCTTACCGTATACCGATGTAAACGGCAATGGTGATGATGAGAGATATCACTGATACTCCGCAACCAATCTTGCTGATAATATCCAAAGCTGGGCTGGTCCTCGTCTGGCCGAAAACGTCCTGCCAAAGTCAATCGTGCATTAACTTAAAGAAAAATCCGCAATGTTTTTTTGTCTGCGTGAAGAAAAATTCAAACATTTGAATAACCCTGGACATTACTTGTTTTGATTTTTTTTTCCGTTTTGGACAAATACTGCTCGGCTATTGAATATCCTCTTGAACGTGAGCTCAGTCCGAACTTTGAAAGAATAAAGATGTCTTTCGAAGTTCATAATTTTGTCCTTTTGCGGAGAAGGTAAAGAAGACGACGAGACAAAAAGTATAAGGAGAGCGTCTTAGATTTAGCTGATGCTGCCATACCATGACAAATGGTTACACACCACTGCTCCAAGATGCATGGCCTTAAAACAGACACATGGAATCGGTGTTTGCTTTCGATTCGGGGACGGGGGGTACTCACCACCAGCACGGCGAAGCTTGTCAAGTGGTTGCAGCTACACACCGCCCTCTTTTGGCTAGATGACACCAGATGACAACCTTTGTTGGACCAATCCCCGATTCCGCCGTGCATTTTGAAGTCCCAGAAGACGCACTCGGCATTCATTGGTGTGTCGGTCTTTTCTTCATGTACCTATTTAAAGGACAAGTTAATAAAACCCGAAAATGGTTTCGACAACAAATGTAAATTATTCTGTGGGGAACGGCATCACTCGTATCATGCAAATTAAGCAAATTGGTACAAACTTTTACTGCGCTCCTATTGGCGTTTTTGTTGGGCATGAATCAGGCCATAACACGTAGGCCTAATTTGCGTCAATATCTGTGGAAACGCCACGAATGCGTGAAGCTTGTATGCACGCGGATATTTCAATATTTGTCTAATCGATCCGATTTAGTTTAGTATAGGGTTATCCACAATTTGTCACGTTTTTGCTACTATTTACTTTCTTGGCTCAGATTGTTTGGGGAAAAGATCAGAATTTGGATTATACATTAATGTTTCAATGTCTTCAGAATCTCCTTATTTATTTATTTATTTATTTTGATTGAAAATGATTTTTTAGGAAGACAGAAATCCAAGAGAAAGAGAAAACCAATGTACATCGGTGGACAACACCTTTGTACCTCTCGAGAGCCGACTATTACCTTCAATAAACTGAATGTTGAAAGAACCGACGAATTGCTCGGAAGGTTGTCGATTTCGACGCCGTCCACGGCGGCGACCACGATGCTACTACCGACAGTTCGAAAATAGGACGTTGCATATTGATCCAACAAGTTCCGGGACCGAAACAACTTGTCGTTCTGATACATCATGAAACTCAGCGGTACCTGGCCCACATTGATTGCTGAGATTTTAGGGGAAAGAGGCAAACTTTAAGGATGAGCACATGTTATGTCATTTTCACCTACTTTGCTTGTCAACTTATTTTAGAGAAGCTCGCAAAACAATCTTGGAAACGACATGCAATAGAACAGACAGAGCTAGAAGAACTTCGCAGTGGCAGTTGGGAACACCACCAGCATGCATAGCGGGCCCATTTCCAAAATACACTGCATCGGCGAGATCATTTTTAATAGAACAACAGGCACATACAAGCCAAATAGGTGCAAAACGCCTGTTAAAGACTATGGGGAGATTGGAGAAAAAGAAATGGCTTTTGGAACAACTGAAGGCGAAAACTAATAATTATCCCGTTGTTTCTGAGAGACCGTCGTGCCCTGATAATGCCCCAGTAGGTCATTTCACTTGAGAGCACCAAGTCCTCACTGTCACCAGGTTCTATGTTAATTTCTGCATTGTAAAGGTGACATAAACATTCCCGACAACAGAACTCTAGTGAAGTGTCAAAATTTCCAATCGACTCACGCTCTGAAGGAAGCCGGTCCACAATTTCTTTAGGTAGCATGATGGATGCGATCATGCTCTGAGGGTTGTCACCATCGCATTGGCTGGGGCAGATGTTGATATTCTCCTCCTTCAGCCATTCTCCGTCTCGGCCTGCTCTGGCCACCATTCCTACTCCGTGCGCGCCGACAGAGTCAGAGGAAACGTGGAGCGCTTTGACGGCGAGGCTATGGGTCACGGAGCTGAAGTTCCCCCCTCCCGACAGGACGAGAGAGACCTGGGCCTCCAGGGACTTGACTATCCGAGACGACGCGTTGCCAGTCGATTCAAAGGAATCGTCGTCCACCTGTAGCATGTTATCAACAACCTGGACAACATCGGAAGTCACCTGTGAAAAATCAATCATAATTTTTCAATGTTAAACATCCCAAATGTCTTTACTTTTGTGAAGACAAAAACAAAGCCTGTTTTTTCTTATTATGTCATATATGGAACTTTTTTGCGTCAGATCACTTCATATCATTGGTCTTGAAAAGTGTATACTGTTAAAGTCTGACTGTAATGCATTGTTAATTATTTCTACGAATTAAATTAATTCTACGAATGCTCAAATGAATGCCAGTTTCAACTTTGAACACTGATAAATTGATTGCTGTTCATTTTGTACAAAATAGTACCCAACGGTGTAACTTTGAAAATAATTATTCAAAACAAAACACCTGAACGATCAAGGCCAAGATTCTCGCGGGTCAAAATTCATGGCAAAGAATTACCTCAGGTGACGGGTTCCCAGTCTTCGTTATACCGTCCAGTATGTCAGCTGCGGAGGCCACACCTTTGTTATCGATTCCCGACGTTTGATTAGTCAGAGAAGCAAGTGCGTCCGACACGTCATCCACGTTCTCGTCTGTGATTGGTTTCTGAAAGCAGGTCATTTCATGAGGAAAACTCATTTTTGTTATTGCAAAAAGGCAGAGAGTGGCGCGGGGGGGGGACTTGGACATGACCTCGTGGTTTCCACAGTTACTCCGCTGAAAATTTTGAAGCAGATATCTTACCTCAGCCAGTTCATCCAAGCCCTCGTTGACATTTTGCTCTTGCAGGCAGTCGATAAAGACGGGCTGTTGCCAGTGGGCACCCGTTTGGACGCTTCCACCGCACAAACGAGACGCACGAGGATGCATTGTGCCTACAAATTTGTATAAGAAAAATATTTCAAGTCCATGGGAAGGAAGGACATCAGCTCCTTCCCCAGCCACAAACACAACAATCGAATGACATATCGAAACACTTTGTGGCCGGCCTTGTATTTCGCAATAGACGCCTCACTAGCAACATCGTTCTAAATCAACTAATTATTTCTTACCCGTTCCGTCGTTCTTGACGCATTCCTCCAGTGTGTTTCGAGTTTCCGATAGTCTGGTTTCAGGGAAGGTGACAAAACCAGCAGATATAACATAGATATCATCCGGGCACCAGGCTGTGAGGCAAAAATTAAAAGATGTCAAATCCAAGAAACGAGCGCGAACTCACTTGTTCCTTTCCCTGTTTTAATCTTGGCACATCCCATGAGCCTTTGCAACAGGTTACGAATTGTCGAAATTTCGGCAAGAGTTCGTGATACAACTTAGTCTTACTAATTACAATTACTCTTGGCACCAAGACACTACCAATGAACAAACGAAAATAAACAAACTGGTCAAATGTTTGCAATCAGAATCATTACAGAAGATAATTAAACTTACTTGCATTCAAACAGCGAATTGAAAGCTTTCAAATAACGACAGAAAAACAAGTTACAACCCTTAAAGCAGCGTTTGCATTATTTTACACTCTCCTGCACGTGTGCCCTGGCCTGAAACGAGTTACATCTATAAACACAATCTGGTAATCTGTTGTTGGTAGTGTCTTCGCCAAATTGGGTGGAGAAAAATCTGTTTGACAAGAGGAACACAGAAGTCTTCGCGCTTGCGTTTAAGTGTCATGGGTGAGCAGAAAATTTGGACCAGGCACACGAGGTCCAAAAGGTGCTACAATCAGTCTTACAGGAACTGCTAACTAGCCGAGTTGACGGTTCCTTCGTCAAACGGGTACGGTTTACTGCCAGGGATGTCCGTGAAGTCCCGGAGAGCACCCGAGCTGTGTACAGGTTTGTGGCACCGGCCGAGTCGGAGGCCAAGGCTCAGGGGCGCGGTCTCATTTTGCGTGCTTGCATGGTGCTTGATACCGCTCTGTGGCGTACCAGCTGGGGTCATTTTGATTATTCTCTTTTTTTTTGGGGGGGGGGTTAATTTGAAAAGGGTAATCCGCAATCAGTGGATGAAAGGGCTTTTCACCGATCAGCCCACCCTTAAAATCGGGAGAGTGGGAATGGCCAATCGTTAAGAGTATCAATACAGTTTTCTTATCTGGAAAAATCTCCCTCGGTTTTTACTTTGCATCATGCCTACCAGTAACAGCCACTGTGAAGGAGCATCTTGCTTCATTTCCGAAATTATCTCTCACGTCACAAACAACGTCAGTGTTTCCGATGGAGAACTGGCTACCAGATGCCGGTTGGCAATTAGCGGCCTCCGTGGAACTACTGACAGTAGGAGGAGGCCAAGTGACAAGAGACGTCGGACTCCCGTCAGTGATGTCCAGATCCATACTGTCGGGACATTTGATGTCCACTGTTGGAAATGCATTTTAAACAGAGGATAATCTTAATGAATACTACACGTGTCCCAATTTCTGTTGTAAAGTGTTTAAAGAAATGAACACGAGGTGAAAAGTACCACTGGCAAAGGTTTTTCTAGTTCCGATTGACAAGTGACTTGAAAAAGAATTCTGAAACGAAAACCATCAATACTCTTGCACCACTTCACAATATCTGGATTTATTGAAATATTTATGGTTTATATAAGGCCATTCGAAAGGACCTCCTAACTTACCACCTGGGCTAGCTGAGTCAGTCGTGGCTTGCATATTGGTGGTCGCTTCAATGGCCTGGTCTTCTGTGGTTGCATCAGTTGTGGCTACTGTTTCAGTTGTGGCCTTTACAATTTGTTGTTCGGTGGTGGCTATCGCTGTGGTGGCCTTTTCAGTTGTTCGTTCTATAGGGGTTGCTTCAGTGGCTTGTTCAGTCGCGATTGCATCACTTGTGGCTACATCTTTCGTTGCGGCCTCTTGGGTGATTACCTGTTCAGTGCTCGCGTAGACAATGGTGGCTGCTTCAGTTGTTTTCTCTGTGGTAGCTACTTGGCTGGTGGTGTTGTCCGTGGTAGGTATGCCGGTTGTTGCCAGTTCCATGGTGCCATTTATGGCCACTTCTGTGGTGCTTGTTGTGTCGGTTGTGTTGTCCGTGGTAAGTGTGCCGTTTGTTGCCAGTTCCATGGTGCCGTTTGTAGCCACTTCTGTGGTGTTTGTTGTGTCGGTTGTGTTGTCCGTGGCAAGTGTGCCGGATCCACTTGTTGCTAGTTCCATGGTACCGCTTGTAGCCGCTTCTATGGTGCTTGCTTCCGTAGTTATCTGGTTTGTGAGGGTTGTATTAGTAGTTTGTTCTGTTTGGGATTCTAAAGTGATGTTGATATTGACACTAGGTTCTGTAAAAGGTTCGTAAGTACCCCGCGTGGTGCTTGTGCCGGTTGTGTTGTCCGTGGTAGGTATGCCGGTTGTTGCCAGTTCCATGGTGCCATTTATGGCCACTTCTGTGGTGCTTGTTGTGTCGGTTGTGTTGTCCGTGGTAAGTGTGCCGTTTGTTGCCAGTTCCATGGTGTCATTTATGGCCACTTCTGTGGTGCTTGTTGTGTCGGTTGTGTTGTCCGTGGTAAGTGTGCCGGATCCATTTGTTGCCAGTTCCATGGTACCGCTTGTAGCCGCTTCTATGGTGCTTGCTTCCGTAGTTATCTGGTTTGTGCGGGTTGTATTGGTAGTTTGTTCTGTTTGGGATTCTAAAGTGATGTTAATATTGACACTAGGTTCTGTAAAAGGTTCGTAAGTACCCCGCGTGGTGCTTGTGCCGGTTGTGTTGTCCGTGGTAGGTATGCCAGTTGTTGCCAGTTCCATGGTGCCATTTATGTCCACTTCTGTGGTGCTTGTTGTGTCGGTTGTGTTGTCCGTGGCAAGTGTGCCGTTTGTTGCCAGTTCCATGGTACTATTTATGGCCACTTCTGTGGTGCTTGTTGTGTCGGTTGTGTTGTCCGTGGTAAGTGTGCCGGATCCATTTGTTGCCAGTTCCATGGTACCGCTTGTAGCCGCTTCTATGGTACTTGCTTCCGTAGTTATCTGGTTTGTGCGGGTTGTATTGGTAGCTTGTTCTGTTTGGGATTCTGAAGTGATGTTAATATTGACACTCGGTTCTGTAAAAGGTTCGGAAGTACCCAACGTGTCATTTGCGGAATCTGCAGCAAAACAATAACACGACATTTATTGCCTTAAGTATTTCTTTACGTTAATATTACACTTCTATAATGAACATTCCAGAACTGAATTGTTTCAAACTGCTTCAACTTTGCATTGAAATTACCATCGTTAAGCAAATTAGATAAGCCTATCATATATTCTCCTGGTTTGGAGTCATGTGAAAAAACACCCAGTTTTGTTATATTTTATATTATAGTTGGACCAAAAACAAACTTGGCTTCTTTTACGCTTGTAGGAAACAAATTAGGCCATGGCTTATTATAACAAGGAAATTAGCAGAAAAATTTGTTACGGTACCTCTAGGTGTTGCGGTAGCGTTGTTGGCAGTGCTGCGTGTGGTTTCCAAGGTTCTTCCATATGCAATTGTGGTGTTTACAGACGTTTCAAATGTTGTCTGTCCTGCATTAAAATTTAATTGTGAAATTTAACGGCGATATGCCTTTTATTTCGATCGTACAAACGCTTATCTGAACTACTTTGAACGTGAAAAGGAAACTCCTTGGATGGATGAACTTGAACCTAAACCCACGACGTCACGGTATTAACTCGTCTACAACAGAGACGATTATGACGGGACCATGCTACATTCGTCTGCAATACATTTTTCCTCAGACATGATCAAGCCTTTCCTCGGTCTTTCTTTTTTTCGATGCCTTCTCTTTTCCTACTAAGGTATTGACGAGTTTATAGAGATTTAAAATACCTTATATACAGGTTTTGACATCATTTGCATCAAACACGTACTTCGCTCAAAGTGTCAAAATTTTAGACCCAGGGTATACTGGAGAGTCCAACACTCTTTCATGGACTCTGGTGACGAAAAGGGGTTAATCCGCAAACAGCGAAGTGAAACACAAATTGCTTTCATGGCAAAATTAAACTGCAAATTTTAGAACGAAGCAACTGTACTTGATTTAAGTTAAAACAAACTCTGTAGACCGCAACTGTCAACATGAAAATGCCCTGTTTAATAGGAAAGATCAGCAAAGGAAAGAACCAAGAGTCGCACTGCGCAAATTACAACCGATGTAAGGCCCTATTATTGTAATTTTCAGTTAAAATTTTTTAAATATCTGATTACTGGGAATGTCATGTCTTGAAATCACGTTTTTAGAATGAAGTTATCCAGACACTACACACTTAGATGTTGACATAACACTGGCAAGCAAAAGGTACAATGGACCATTTTCACAGGAACCCATTTTCGATCGTTTCACCCGAAACCATGTCTTATTCAATATGATCTATTTGGGGTTCCAAGCTTTACTTTTACATTTTTGTTAAATGTGGCTTAAAACATCTAAAATAATTTATCACAAATTGCTTTTTTTTTACCCTTGAGTTCCGAGAATAAAAAGTTTAGCTCGCCTTGAATTGAATTGGTCAACTTGTCAATAAAGCTAAATGTAATACCTGAGCTCTACGTAAGGAAAATACTTGAAAAAGTATCGATTTTGGCTGCAGATAAATGACGAAGACGCGTGGTGTGCTGTTTTTAATTTACAGACATTGCTGTTTAAAATTTGATAAATGGTATCAATCATTGGCCAATATTTCTCTTCGCATTTGTGATACACATGTATAGAAGTCTGCAAAATATCTACATATCAAAATCATAACCATGAACAGTAAACACGGCAACTTCATGTTTATTTGGGTGAAGAGGAACGAAAAAAACCCACACATATGTGTGCAGCATCGCTCGATATCTAGTTAATCAACAACGTGCAGACTATCGAACCGAAAGATTACTTAATCGAGCTGGTATTTGCACCAACAATTCTGGTACGAACTATTTTTGATGAGTATTGACAAATGAAGATTTTTTCAAATTTTTTAAATTGCGGTTAGCGCACAGGTGCATTTCGTTGTTTTTTTAGTCGTTGGTATATAACGTTTGCTCTTTCGAAGTTACAGTAGTTATTTAGTCCACAAATGGCTGGTATAACCTCTGTTGTCCGTTTGTACATACAAAAGCAAGAAAATAACACTACAAATGTTAGGTTGCGATAAGCTATAAAAATAATTATGATGAAACCACTTATGCACGACCCAGTCAAAATTTTTGTAGAGCAAATACATTTTTAGACATGTGGTGGATTTTGAAGGAGTGGGAGATATTCCTTCACAATATATTTTGCATGGACCACAAATCACTTTACGGATTATTATCACTGGGTTTATAGTACTTTCCTAAAACCCAATATTTGAGACAATACTCAGCTTGGCATTCAGTTAACAATGACACATCCAGTGGCTTTTTCCACATTAATTATAATTTTAGATCATAATAGCAGCCATTGGTGCAAAAATGAACCCCTTACCTTGCACCATTGTCATGATGAACAACATTACGACCAGCTCGAGGGTGCCCTGGATTTTTTGCAAGGAGCCCATCTCCGTACTGCCACTACGCTCGTTCACAGTCAGGGATCTTCGCCTAGGAATCTCTTCGTCGACTCTCATCCGAAACCGTTCTGCTCGTGTCGCATTTGCGGTTGTCGGCTTCAATAGGTGCGTTCGCGCGGTTACTCCTGTTAACACCAGTAGGATGCATGCGCATTACACTCGGGTACAGGAGTATATACTCCCCCTCTAGCGAAAGTATACTCTCGCTGACCCTCGGGTCGTACTCCGGCCGTTCGAGCGCTCAGGAGTATGCTCGTGTCAACGCGAGTTGCTAGCTCGAACGCGCCCTATAAAACGATTGGCTCGTCCGAAAACTTTCGCTTTCAAACAGCGTTGGTATTGAATTTTGTGGGAAATAGTGACAAGAACTAACAAATGACAGAGAATCAACAAACTATGAGTGTTAATGCTGTTTGCTTGTTATTTCAGTTCATTTTTAACGTGTGCTTCCCTACAATAGCATAGATATTGATGTGTGAAAGCCAGTTTCTTTATACGATTCTAAATTTGAATTTTAGAATAATCTATACCTGTTTTATAATGTTAAAATTGCTACTCTCGCCATAAACTGTCCTATGCTATAACAAAAGAAACGAAACGTTTACGCAGTGGCCGATGCTCAGTATTGTCACAGCGTGGTTGAACTTCAATATTGAAAGTGATGGTAGACTATTGTAATTAAGACTGAGATCCGAACGTATTCATGGTCAGTCAGCTGCGGTGCTCGAAAACTGCCCACAACGTAAAAGGGTGGATCCTGAGTTAGATTTTCTGAGGGGGGAGATGCAACAATTTGGGAATCTATTATTGCAACCCTTGATGGCCTTGAGGAAGGTAGAGGCTGGATTCGGACGCCTTAACTCGCTTTGGGAAGGAAGGCAATGTTGTACCCCTGAGTCGTCTCCCTGTCATCATTAACGGTCCCGTTGCCCTCAGGGTCCATCAATGACCACCAATGACCGCGTACTGTTTGACCATTTGCTAACGCTATAGTGCGTTACAGCCGAGGGATCCTTTTAAAATTCGTTTGAGGACAAAAGTTTTCAACAGTAAATTTCAAAGCTTTCTCTCGCTGTCAGTCCCTGTCTCCACATTTAGTTACAACAGAGACCACCGTGCCATGACAACCAACTGTTATAGAAGAGCCGCACTTGGAACTCACATGGATGGCGTTCTCAACCAACCTACACCATCTTTACCGCCTGCTTTATCCCACCTGTTCTCTCGTCATTGTTGCTATGGAAACCAACCAACAAATACATCGACAGGAGAATTCAACCTTTGAAATCCAATACGGTAGTATACTTTATACAGAGAAAAAGTCACGAGAGCTTTGGCAGCCACCTGCCTTCTGTAATTTTTGCCATTGAAACCTAATTACAGTGCAAATACGCCATAATTCAATACATCCATTTCAAAACTTGAGCTACTGAGTGAACACAGAATTATCCTTTTCTATCAAGTGTAAATTTAACACCAATTTTGTGTAGGGAAATTGAATTTTTCCCCGCAATATTCTTCGAGCCTGTATGCTTGTCCGCTGATATACATCGGAACCTTCTACATGGACTTGCATATCCAGGGCCATGATTTTCAGCCTGGGTATCTATTGAAATGGCGTCGACCTTTTCAGACTTTTATGCAGTAGATAATCGTTTCGTGTGGATAAATTATGTTAAACATTTAGTCGTTTTTCGAAGGAAGTGTGAGTTACAGCTTAATCTAAGTTCTACAGCCACTGACGTTTTACTTATCCCCAAGGTTCAATAACATGGTGCTAATCGCAAAAATCCAGAAGGCAGGTTAAGAAATCGAATGTTACAGCTTTTGAACAGCTCAGTGGCAGCAAGTGCCCTTCAAGTCGCGTCTGAAATATTTTGCTACGGCTGGAGTAAGCAGGCGCCTCTATGAAAGCCACCAGGCGGTGGTCTCAGCCGTTTCCCGTAGACTTGTGTGTGACTGCCGGCCGTAGCCAAATGTAATTCTATCACAGCCCTCTGTCATTGCTTGGCTGTAAAGTGCCATCTCTGTTTCACACACGTTTTCAGTATATAGGCTAAATTTGTACTCTTCAGATCGTGTGCATATAAACATTAGAATATTGAATTAGTTTACAGACGGATTTATTATGGTCTACTCTGTGAAATTTCATTTCAAATAAATGATATGGGTATTCTAAGAAGACTTAGGATTTCTAAAGAAAAATCCTTTCCAATTCAAAGACTACGCAGCCTTAGCATTATTAGCGGAGATACTCTTGCTAAAGACAGGGCTAAGTATGGCATTCTCATTTTTCAATAAAATGCAGCAGTATAATAAATATGGCATTCAAAATCACGATGCTGTTGTTACAGTTTATAGGAGAAAATGTAGCACTTTTTTAAGTATAACGCAAAGAAAAACTGAAGAATTAGAGAACATATCAAAGAAATGAACTACAAATACATCACATAAATTGAACATTTGTTTCGGTGATTGTTCTTGAAATGAACTTCTTCTTTGATATTTTTAAATTTGACGTTTGAATGAAAGCGGCGGCTTAGGTCTCGACATGGAAATAGAATGAATTCCTAATGACGATTTAGAGGATTTAAGAAACAACTTCTGGTGTTCAACGATGTAAGTTCGTACCACTGGCCATTCCAAACCCACTGTCCATCACGGGGACGCAGAAAGGATGTTCTTGGTCATCGTCTGGGGAAGTCGACATGGTCAGACTTCGGTTGGGTAGCTGGATCAGCTTATCCTGGGACGGGTACCGGGTGCCGCTGTTGTACTTCTTCAGGGACGAGAAGCTGATCTTCAGCGCGGCGCGGGCCCGCCGCCGGACGCACCGCGCCAGCACGACGCGTGTGGTCTCCTGGCGCACGCAGAACAGCAGGAAAATGAAGAGCCCCTGCAGCGAGTTGAAGACGGAGAACAAGACCTGGAAGGCGAAGCTGGATGACTCGAAGACGGTCAGGATGCCGAAGACCCAGGTCAGGCCCACCAAGTTGCAGATGGCAATGGCATTCTGTGCTCGAGTCATCAATCTCTGCCGCATGTGCGCAGAGCCTCGAAGTTTCCCTGGTCGGTACATGTTGGCCATCACCAAAATAAAAATGGCGGTGTTGTACACCACAACAATACCGAGGACTAAGAGTTGGCCGTAGTAAAAGGCGTTACCGGTCTTCAAATAGCAACTACAAATCAGAGTAAAAAAATAAATCAAACAACTAGAGGACGGTAAATTTACCATCTTTCTTAAACGCAAGAACTCATACAAGATAAGAGTGTCAAAACTTAAACTTGTGTTGCCAAACTTCGAAAGATTTTATGTATTTAGCGCAATATCACTGATCAGAAGAGTGAACTTACAAACTGGTGTTTTGGTACTGAGTGTAGTCCACAGACAAGATTATGATGACAATGAGCAAAGGAACACCTGTCAATTATCAAAAAACAATGTCTTTCAGAAATTACTGTTTGTTTGCTGTTTGTTTTACTTGATTTTCAAAGAAAGGGCACTGTTTACTTTTTCTTTGCTGTTTATTTTGCTTTATTTTCAAAGAAAGGGCACCCTATAAGCCTGAATAAGCTGTAATGCCACAAGAAAACGACGTGACTCAAAGAGCATATGACGTGATGTTGAAATACTCAGAACGGGCATTTTGGCCTAAAAGCTGTCGGCGTTACAGATTGATGTCGGTACAAATTGATGACCGCCTTGTAAAAAAGATTGAAAGAAAGGGAAGCGTTTAGATCCTATATTTTTAGATTCCTTCGAAAGTATAGTTATTCTCTACAGAGGCTTAAAGGAGATGAAACTAATTTACATACTTTGCATTAAACGAAATGTTGGTTGGAATTTTCGTCATTTGTCTGGCTATGTGGTCTGAATTAACTTAATACGGCCGTTTCATAATAGTGCGCCACCAAGAGTTCGCAACACGTTGGCCAATCACAACGCGCGAAATTTATCGACCCTTTCCAAACGCGCATTGCGTCGACAAGTTTCGCGCGTTGTAATTGGCCAACGCGTTGCAAACTCTTGGTGGCGCACTATTGTGAAACGGCCGTATTGTCCTTATGTCCGAATTTGCCCAAAGCGCATAGGCCTACATACAGGCGGAAGCTGCATTGTCGGGCTATTCGCTCTTTGCACACTGTCGCCATATTAGGCAGCTTGTACAATCGCGTCAGAATCGCGTCAACACAGCTTGTGAAATATTGTCCAATCGCATGGTATAAGAGCAGACGCAGCACGACTATGACTACGGCGGCAGCTTGCACTCAAAGAGTCAATATCGTTGCTCAATTTTTTTCTTAGGCTGTTCGAATCTGTTGTCTAGAGCTAGGTCTAGGTCTTCACTCCATTAATACGCTGAGACGCGCAGACAATAGACCTAGACGCAGCTCTAGGAAGCTCTGGAAGCCCTTGGACACGGCCTAAATTAGAGCAAACTCACCCCAGGCTACGGCAGAAGCCTTCAGCACAAAATGCCGGCGTTGGATGTTGAAAACTTTGACCAAATATAGGTACAGGTTTGTGGCCTCCACAGCCATCCAGGCTAGTGAGGCCAGGGTGAAGTAATGGAGTAAGACGGCCACAACCAGGCAGCCGTGACCGGAGGAGGTCTGCTCAATGCCAACCAAGAAGATCAGGTAGAGACACAGGAGGGAGAAACAGAGACAGATCAGGATGCGGCTGGGGATCTTGACTCGCAGCGATCTCGGGTAGAGGAGAGAGGAAGACACCAAAGATGAGAAATTACTTCAGCAGTTCACTTCAATATGCAACACCTGGATGCGGCTTGAAATTACACAAAGGTTTTCGGTGGTGGCTGCGGCTACTTCCTTTGGAGTCAAGCGTAATTTCAAGCCTCAGTCCTGCAAGTATGTCGGTACAGAGTATTCTTTGGAATATTTGAAACGAAAAAAAAAAAGAAATTTGAAGAGCACAACGCGAGGGAGTATTTTTTGTTGTTGTTCCCCGAAACGATTTTTTTAATGATAACATGCCTACCAATTAAGCCTCCTTTTCATTTTGTTTCCAAAAGCTGTGTTCAAAAATCGAAGAATGTTTAATTCATCACAAATTTGAAATTATTCAATACAGTAGATGCATGCAAACCAAACTGTCATGAAATTCAACTTTATTGCTTTCTACTCCTAGGGTTCCCCAAATAAAAACTTAACCTCATTTAATATAGCAGACTCATAAATAAAGTGTACAATTACAATAAAGAAAAGGAATTGGCTTTGCGCATGTCTGTGGTAGGTGAAATACGTAATGGGAGCGAAGGTGTACTTTAAGACTTTAAAGCACTTAGAGGATCTACTTACTCAATCGACAAATAAATGCCAAGGGTGACAAGGAGTCCAATAATGGACACCCCGCAGCCGATCTTGCTGATGATATCAAGCGCTGGACTGCTCTTTTTCTGACCATAAATATCCTATACACGGGTAAAAAACAAAAGAGGAAATAAATGAGGACTTTATACCATACCATACATGACTCAAGATAGCTCTTCATTCTAACATAACGCTAAACTGAAGAAATGTCCGCGAGCGTGCTTTTGAGAGATTAGGATTCTGTTGCAGTTGTGGCAGAACAATGTTATGTGAACTTTCCCGTTTCCGGAATCTTATACTTTTGGACACTAACTGGCTTCATCCAGGAAATCTCGTAAGGTTGCCTCCTGTATCTATTACTTTTACTTTGCAAAGGGGAGCAGGTTATATCTCTTACCACCAGCACGGCAAAGCTAGTGAGATGATTACAGCTGCATGTCGTCAGCCCCAGAGAGTCGGTGGAGACAGTCTGGCACCCTGCATTCGACCAATCTCCAATGCCGTGGTTCAAAGTGAAATCCCAGAACACACATTCTCGGGTTTCCTCGGCGATTCTCCTGCCTTCCGCCACCTTCAAACAGAGTTGAAACCCCGCGCATAAATTGTTAGTAAAACTGACACGCACGTTTGGTGGCTCCTTATTGCTCCATTCCTCCACGTGTCCTCATATTAAGTGAACGAATAACCTCGTTAACAGATTTAATAGATTAAATAGATCTCGTCAATAGACCATTAGATAACAGATGGACATTTTGCAAATAACACATTGGCATTTTGCAACGACTGCTATGATTTGCCTGGTGTTGAATCTGCGTGAGGTAGTCCAAATAGAACAGTCAGGCGCATTTTTTTTTCGTTTTATTGTTTCTTTTCATTTTTCTCCACCCTGTACCAAACGAATAATGAAAAACTATGAGGGGGCCCCTTACTCAGTTAGCAGAGCAGTATTCGATTCACGGGTGTGCTAAATAAGTTAAGCTGCTAGGGTAACTTTGTCCAATTGAATTTACTCGAGGACTTCCTGGACAGTTCACACTTCAATTTACACTACACTTTACCGACAGTGCTTTTGGATATCAACGTTGCGTTTTGGACATCAAAAATATTTTCGGACATCGACCATGGTTTCGGAAAATACTCCAGGACATCAATAGCAGAAACAATAGTTCTGAAAATCAACAACGTTTTGGGACAGAATAGAGAGTCCTACTTTTGACTGTGGTTAATCAGGAACAGGTGGATTTCCTGATTTCATTTTGTATTTGATAATAACAGTCTTTTTGGCCAAAAAAGAGGACGATGGCATTAATCTTACACAAGGATTTGTGCCGTTTATTTTCTTCTACATTTCTCCAGAAGGAAAACTCCAAGAGCTTGAGGGAGTGAGAACATCCCTTCACAAATCCATAATAACACTCGGTCAGGCCTTTGTGAACATATCCTTTACTTACATTTGTGGTTAGACGGAACGTGCTCACGACTGAAGAGTTAAGGGGAAGATTCTCAACTCTGACCCCGTGAAAAGCGGCTGTGACGATCCTGCTGCCGACAACTCGCTGCTTTGTCTTTCCTTCACGGACACTCTTGGATTGAAAGAGGGTGCTTTTCTGGTAGATTCCAAAACTGACGGGCAAGTGATCGTTCTCTGAGTATTTTAAGGAAGCGTTATGTTTTTTATCAGTGAAAGAATCTTTTTATGGTTATGTGATGGTTTATTTTTGAAAACTATTGGAGCCCTTCGCACATTATATTACAACATATGATGAAATAAAATGAAAACCAGTAAAAAGGAAACACCATGAGGTTAATTGGCTTGAAGCCAGGGCCATAAGGGTGTGGCTCTTATACAAAGCTAACACAAAATTCCAAACCATAATCGTTAAAAAATGGTTTGTGGTTCATAAACCACTTTATTGTTAATTTTTTTTTCGAGAAAGAAATTTAATGTTCTGCATCCGTTTATCAACGTGTCTGTTCTTGTCTCAGATGCAGGAAAATTCTGAGACAGAAACTAAGAAGGCAGTTCAAACTTTGAACGAATCATAAAATCGCATCCCCAAGTCAAGAGATGCAAAGCGACTACTGTACCCGGTGGTGAAGGAAGTAGATCAACTATTGCCCCGGGCAAATAGATCTTGGTCTCGATGTTCTCATCACGGACGCCATCACCGCCGGTAAGTGTCACAATGGAGTCTTCAGTCAGGGCACCGCTACCAGACTCGTTGTAAATTGTCGCGAACAGCAGCCCGCCACTCAGCGTCGCCAGCGGCAAGTTGAACGCCTCGACGCCAAGGCTACCCGCCACCGAGCTGAAATTGCCGCCCCGAGAGAGCGCGTAGGATACTTGCTTCTCGAGGGACTGAACCAAGCGAGATGACGAATTCGTAGGCGCGCCGAAGGCGCTCGCTGGGACCTGAAGCAGGTTGTTGACGGCAAGCACGACCTGCTCAGTGGTCTGGTGTCAAAAGAGCGATCAGATTTAAATGGCGGACACTAGGGCAAGTTTCAGTGAAAACTATCAGGCACGAGACTTTATAGCTAAACTTCTTGTTCATTTTGATGGGGTTTTGGTCTGTTATCTTGATCTGTTGAAGGTGTCGGTACAAACAAAGGTTTCATCTATGTTTCCGTGGCGATACAACCTATACAGATTGCCCTGGTAAAACGAAGTTATTAAATTAAACAGATAGCTACCCACTTTTTGCGGTCCTTTGCAAAGAACAGTCGATACAACGTGGAAATCTCTTCGAGGCTTTTCAAATCGCACATCATGCTACAAAAAGGTGTCATGAAAGCTCAACTGGCATACTTAAGAACGGAAACATTAAGTCATGGCCTGCCATGCCACATTCTGGACAGCTTTGAAAACATCGTAGCTTGACTCACCGTGGAAGATGTGTCCCCGACGCCGATAATGCTGTCTAGTACATCAGCTGATGACTCGATGCCCTCACTGTCGAGGGAGGATGGGTCATCTGTGAGGTCCAGAAAAGCTTTAGCGATGCCGTTCACATTGTCCTTCGTGACGGGGTACTGTACAAAAAGGAATAACTCAAATGTGAATGGCAGACCGTAACGAAATTGCCGTACAATAATTGTACCATTATGACAAATGGCAGACTTGACCAAAACTTTCCATGCAGATTAACAGATCTAGATACAGTGCTAAAAATATTTTACCAAATTACTCACAAATCATCTATTCCTTTAGGTCATCTTAAATAAAAGAAATGACATTTTACAGGCTTTAGTAAATTTATAAAGCAAATGGAGTGCCAAAAGCAAGCAAGGTTGAAAAAAACGAGATTTGGACTCCCTCTCGAAATGTTTCTAAATGACTGGTGAAATCCATCGCTGATTTTCTGTTAAGAATCGGCAGAGTAGATTGGGCAAAACCTGTCTTGCAAGGATATGAAGCTACAGCTGTTTGAACGTACGTCAGACAAGTGGTCCAGTTGTTTGTTGACGTCACTGTTCACCTTACAGTCTCGAATAATAGGGTCGCGCCAAAAGGCGCTGGTTTGGGCGTTGCCGTCGCATAGTCTTAAGGCAACAGGTTGATTTCCACCTTCCAAAAGGAGAAGACATTCGATTTGACTCAAGTGAAACGAATTCTCGAACCTGTATTTTACTTTCCTAAATGTAGCCTAATCGTGTTGTAGAAAAACTAAACTCTGTCCTTGCTAGGTATTTTATAGCTGGGAGTATGATTTGGTCAATTTAAAATTAAAGGCCGGGTTATTTGGCGCAAGCGCGAAGACGCGAATTTGTGACTTCAGATCAAATTATTCGCGGTGGGGAACACATTTCAACTTGAGTAAATTTTGCTGCAAATTAAACTTCTGTGATGTCAAATTCGCTTCGCTTTCACATTGCCTTTGGCATGAATCGACCTTTATCCACTGGCGCAGGCACGCAAATGATTGGACCATTACAATGATAAGACTTCAGTACAAACAAACTAATGACTGATGTGATGTTTGTTTCTTTTTCAAGACTTTAAATTCCCAAAGGTGCAACCATACGATCTCATTTTCAGAATACTGATTCATATCGGAAAGTCAATGGTTCTCATCTATACCTGTCTTAGTGACACATTCCTCCAGCGAATGCTGTGTTTCGGTCACTCTTGTCTTCAGGAAGGTCAGATATCCATCGGAGAATTTGTACATAGTGTCCATACACCACACTAAAGCTTACCATCGTAAAACCGGAGTGAAGAATCCGACAAAACATTAATCACGAGAAAAAAGAATACACTCTAGTTCAAAATGGCGTCATGCTAGACAAATTAATTTCACGTTTTCTGCAAATTGGCAAGTTTCGAACGAGACAAGTGATACAGTTATACGTTACACAAGGCAAAATAAAAGACAGACATATATGTATTACATGAAGAAACGAACATGTATCATTATGCACAAGAAGTTCGCATGCCCTCAAATGCCATAAAGCAAAAAATCGTACGTAGGTGTTGTACGGTACCGGCAGGCCTTGTATACGGTTTGAATCTTTATCCTCATGATGCACTGAGGTAACAGGTTTCTTCTACAGGTGCGTTAGCCACCATTGTGAAGAACGAATCCATATCAATGCAAGTTTTGAGAATTTTGAGTGGACTATGGAAGGTTCACATAAGGTCACCCACTCTGAAAACCAGTTTCAGATTTTAGGTTATCTGTTGCAAAGGATTAGAAAAAGCTGGGCAAAGCCTCAGCTGAGCTTAAATTGGTGTTCACATGCAGTTGCACAAAAGTGGGTAATTTCAACGATTTGGTTAACTATACATGAAAACGAAGGACTTCCCACGCCAGAAAAACGTACCCAGGCGTGTGTGTGTTTTATTACCGACTATACATTCAGGGTGGCACGGTGACAAGTCTCTCAAAACATCAATGAACATTCAGGAACAAAAACACCGATACTATGATTTAGTTATGTACCCATTATGGTGACTGTGAAGCTACATTGTTCCTGGTTCCCGGCACTATCCGACGCTGTACATGTGACGAGTTTGTCACCAATGCTGAACTGGTTACCACTTGCCGGTTGGCAGTCTATCGTCGGATTCACACCCGAGTTATCGGTTGCCATGGGGTCTGACCACGTGATTACCAAGGAGTCCTTCCCTGATGGTGCTTCTTTGCTAAACGAAGACGGACACCAGGCGAAAACTGGTTTTTCGTTGTCTGGAAAAAGGTTAGGAATTAATTTGGTGAGGCCTTTTTCCTCGAGACTTGCAATTCTCTTGTGCAAATTTAAAACTGCCACCAAAAATATGCAGATGTAAATTTGCCTGATGTTTTTCAAGTTCCCGACAACGATATTCTTTAACTTTAGGATATGGCAATTCATGACTCAGTGTTTTTCAGGTTTTAAAATAAACGGTAAGTCCACAAAAACTGCGCTCGTGGGCTGACTGCCTTGCACAGATTGAAGTGAAGGAAATACGGCACAGGGGGTCAGTTAACAACGCGCAGAGCATTGTTGGTAAATTTCTGCCAGGCGCGCTCAATGCGTTACACAAGCGGCGGCTGTCTGAACTCAATATCTTTACTTTTCTTTCATCATTGCTGAAAATATTCTAACTACACTTTATTCGTTCATCCAAAACTGATCAAGATAACCAATGGTTTCAAAGATATCGCCAAAAGACACGTGATCAGTGACACCCACTTAATTACCACACTGTGGCTGTACCAAGGCCATGTTTTCATCCTATTGGAGACTCGTTGCCTGTGCCAAAGCATTGCTATTGTCGAACCAAAAAATTTAAATAATGCTTCGCTAACAGGACGTGATAACCTCACGGTCACAGGTCGTGCACAATGCAGCCAATCACAGTGCAAAGCCGTCTGGGCAATGAGCGAACTCAAAAACACGACGTCTCTCAAGATTCCTGAACAAAAGGATTCGGTGATTATTGGTTACTCTTTAGTTTTATAAGTTTTCCGAATAGTACCGTAAGTGGGAAATCAATTGCTAAATGCTAAAAGCGATCTTTAAATAAGTTTCCATATCGGTTGGAAAAAAATTACACGATACAAAATCAACACCAAAACTTTCTTTTTTCAAACGCGTTATATAAACCAAAACTTTCATTGTGAAAAGTACCCACCTATAATGGTAACAGTGAAGCTGCACTGTTCCTGGTTCCCAGCACCATCTATGGCCGTGCACGTGACGAGCTTGTCACCAATGCTGAACTGGTTACCACTTGCTGGTTCACAGTCTATCATCGGATCCACACCCGAGTTATCGGTTGCTATGGGGTCTGACCACATGACTTGTGTAGAGCCCAGCCCTGGTGACGTGTCTCTGCTAAGTGAAGGCGGGCACCACGAGAAGACAGGCTTTTCGTTGTCTGGAACAGTGACCATTCTTTAAAGTTCGTTTGCAACAACCCACAGACATTACAAAAGGCACATGCGAATAACAAATGAGGTCCACACCCATCTTATTTGATAAAGGGAAAGGTTTCAGCCTGGCATGTCTTTATCCAGTGGCGTAAATTTGTGCCAGAAATGGGGGGGGGCCTGGCATGGGGAAAGGTGAGGGGTGACATATATGAACATTTGAGAAATGGGGGGTGACATATTGGTGTGTGGTCCTGTCCCGAGAACAGCGTTCTTGGATCGAGAACAAGAAACCTATGTCAAGAATAGGCCACCCGAACTCGACTAATGATGACTTTATATAGAGGTCGGTGTTCATGATATTAATGAACACATGTGATATGTATTCAAAAATGGCATTATTATGGTTTTAAAATATTTTTTGCGTGATATTGAATGCATTTTAGTCGTTGGAAGTCTGGAAATTTCTTCACAACCAACTTTAATTTTTTTGCTCACCACAAAAAGTAGGGAGGAGGTGATTCAATAACCCATCCCCCACCTCAAACAGGGGGGGGGTAATAAATACATCCACCCCCTCGGGATTTATGCCCATGTCTCTATCAATTCAGAATACCAATATTAAACGCAATTTTAAGGTAAAAAATTACCATAAATACGCTATGAAAACAAAAACATTACTCAATAGTAGGCCTAAGGGCGGTTCGAGTTTCTGTGATACCGATCGGCAAAACACCTTTCAACGTCATAGTCTCCATCAGTGTCGGCGACAGGGCACGATTTAAGATTAAACAGGGTAAACACGCAGTATAAACAAGCAGTAAATTGAAAATACCTATAACTGTGACCGTGAAGCTGCACTTTTCCTGGTTCCCAGCACCATCTAAGGCTGTACACGTGACGAGCTTGTCACCAATGCTGAACTGGTTACCACTTGCCGGTTCGCAGTCTATCATCGGATCCGCACCCGAGTTATCAGTTGCTATGGGGTCGGACCACGTGACTTGTGTAGAGTCGAGCCCTGGTGACGTGTCTCTGCTTGTTGAAGGCGGACACCACGAGAAGACGGGATTTTCGTTGTCTGAAACAGTGATTAAATTTTCGTTTGCAGTAATCCAAAGACATTTGGGCCCACCAACGGAACATGCCCACAGCAGTTGAGGTCTAAACAAATCCACGTAAGGGGACATTATCTTAGGTCAAGTAATTTTGTAAGTCTGTTTAGATTTTGATAACGCGAAAGGTTTTCAGCCTGGATTGACTGTATTTACTCAGAATGCTAAAGTTAATTTCAAATTTTAAGGCTTTATTTCAAGAAAGTTGAAATTAAGAACAAATGAGTATTTCGATCTGCTCGACGAGCAAATGGAGCTTTTCATTTTCTTAAAAAGTAGCCATAATTACGTTATTAACCACACATACATCACCAAAACTGTTTGTCTCAAATTATGACTACTTATGAAATAAACACACCATCGAACAATACCTTGGCAAGAATGGTCTGAGTTTTGTGGCACATACCGATACGCAACATACATTTCAATATTATGTTGGTGTTCAGGTGTTGGCAGTAATGCAAAAATTCCGATTAAGAAATCGCAGCATATATACCAGTAACAGTGACCGTGAAGCTACATTGTTCCTGGTTCCCGGCACCATCTACGGCTGTGCACATTACGAGCTTGTTACCAATGTTGAACTTGCTACCACGTGTCGGCTCACAGTTAATAGTGGGAGCTAAGCCAGAGTTATCGGTTGCTATGGGGTCTGTCCACGTGACTTGTGTATAGTCCAGCCCTGGTGACGTGTCTCTGTTAATTGAAGGCGGGCACCATGAGAAGACGGGCTTTTCTCTGTCTAAAAAAAAAGAAATTTGGTGATTTTCAAAGCAATTAACGCAGTGAAGTTACGGAAGTGTGCAAAGACGGTGATTTGCTGATACTCAGTGTTGAGCAGATGTTGGGCTGATAAGAATTCTTTTTGCACCCAAGACAGTAAAATTTTTCCTATAGGTCGAAAGCCCGTCACGTGGCCACCTGCTGATTCTGTGCCATCTTACACAGAATGCGCCATGCCAATTTCCATTATGAAATTGTTGGCGACATACCATACCAATAACATGGCCGGAGGGGTGTTTTAAAAATACAGTAAAACCTATTGAATAAAATCTCTGGAAATGTGTGATTTTCAAACTCGTATCGACATTGTGACTCAAAAAAGGTGTGAATGGGAATAATTATGTGCTGGCCAGTCTTAACCTGAGACAGGCCCAAGCGCAAATCCTTATTCAAAACTCTTTAATGTTGTCGACCATCGAAGAACACATTCATCAGCCTTGTAGAAAAAAATCTCAAATTTTAAGCATAAGATCACAGAAAAGGCCTGTCATTTGCAGTTGTCTGTAACTATGCATTCTGTATTTAGAGTCAAGATAAGCACCAGTTTTTGCAAGTACATGAAAAGTAATTCCCTGCATAACTGTTATTTGAAGATTGGCATTACTAAATTACATGCAGACCATTGTCTGCTGACCTTTATAGGGGAAATGTTTTTATTCCATTTCGAATGATGTTGTACATATTATCCGTCGGTACAAGTGACGAAAAGGCCGATTAATCATGAAACACAGACTTGCAGTTTAATTTTAAAATACCTATAACAGTGACATTGAAGCTACAGTGCTCCTCGTTTCCCGTGAAATCCGACGCTGTACACGTGACGAGTTCGTCACCAATGTCGAAATGGCTACCACTGCTTGGCTCGCAGTCAGTCGTTGGAGTCAAACCGGAGTTATCGGTTGCTATGGGGTCAGGCCACGTGACTTGTGTAGAGTCGAGCCCTGGTGACGTGTCCCCGCTAATTGAAGGCGGGCATAAGATGACCGGCTCTTCAACATCTATTGAACATGAGTCGAAAAATAATGAAATAAATTTTTGACAAGATATCCAGGCTCTTTTTGTACTTTTTGTTCTTTTTTTTTATCGCGTCTTCGACATCAGCTCGTCAACCTGCACTTCCGATTTCCGTCTTTTAAATGTTTTAATTATAGTAAACATAATTTATAGAGCACCCTATTTATTAAAAACGCTCCAATAAACAATTAATAAAAATACTACAATTTAAATCCTAATTTAAGAATCAATAGTAAGAGAATCCATAGTTATTCTCAGAAGACAGTCATGTATTGTTTTATGGGCTAAACGTTTCTTAAAACCCCATCGAGCCTCGAGTTCGAAGAAACAATTCTTGCTATCTTTTAATTACAAGTACACAGACTTTATATACATATTCAACGCAACTGCAGTTCAGTGATTAAAAATTTACTGTGTACAACTTATAAGGACACTGAAGTTCACCCAACACTTCGTTATCTTTTCTCTCTATAAAACTTCAAATTCTTTCGGAAGCTGCGTCAACAACTTCACATTTAGCAAGAACACACCAAATTGATTAGGTACGAGTAAAACTTGCCTATTACAATAACAGTGAAGCCACACCATGCAAACGGGCACCACACATCATGGCTGCCGATGTAAAAATTTCCCGGGGATGGTTCGCAGTTTTCTGTATAAGAGTGGTAGTAATACGAGGAGCTGTAGGGTGGGGAAGTTGGCTCGTACCACGTGATGTAGGCACCGGGCAGTCCCGGATCTGTCCCCTGGATGATGTCGTCTTGGAAGCAAGGTGTAGCTGTTAAACGTATAAATTCAGTTTCAACTGTCTGAGTCCTCAAAGAAAAGGTGATTGGCGTACACAATTATTTGAAAATAGTGAACAACAGATGGAAGTAAGGGTTACTGAGACAGGTGCATTTAAACAAATTGATCGCAGCTATCCTTTCAATAAAAACTTGCTAATTCAGAGTCTGTGTCAAGATGTATATCAGATAAAGATTGAAGTTGGGTTGTTAATGAATTTACATATCATATGATTGCGTTATCCTTTATGCCATTCATATATGTCAGTCTGAGTACAAGCCAGTGGAGCAAACTTGAGGTTTTGATTCTCAAGGCCAAGACTATGACCCACAAACCGTAAGACCAAGGCCAAGGTTTAAACCTCAAGGTCAAGGCCCTGTAGTGTGAAGATAAAAGCTGTCACATTATAACAACTCGTGACTTCATTATCGTCAAATTGACCGAATTTTTAATTCCAGCCTATTTTTTATTTTATTACAGTGATATAAAATCTGTAATAGGTGATAAGTACAATGAGCATGACGTGTGTTCAAGATAAGATCGCGCCCTAGAAAGTGAGGTAATTCTAATCAGCATAGCATCAGTTCCCGAGCGCAGTATTCTCGTAGACTTGATCACTGGTCCACACCGTAGATCAGAATGATGATGTTCTACAATCCTGGCCAAAGCTGTTGGGACACATAACAATAGACATACACGTGTAGTTACCCTCCCCAGGTCCCCAATCCGTCGCTCAATGTTGTCATCTCGAGCTGGAGCGCAGGTCGGGCATCGACACCTAACATTGAGAGGGGGGCCTGTGCCCAACGAGATTTGGCCAGGATTGTAGGTAGCAGCTATAAATTTATGTACACACACATTTCCTGCAAAATTATACTTTTCCTCAATGTAGCCTAACTGCCCCTGGGGTTAAACCTACGAAAATGTGCACTTTTCTAAATATTCAAAATTGCTCATGCTTCCTTGAACAATTGTCGGCGTTAGTTGTTGTGATGTAATTGAGGCAAGACATGGCTCAGTACACGGGTTACTCTAAAATTGTAAACTTAGAAGTTAGTTATTGAAAACATTTCTGAGAAAGGTTTACCGCTACTTACTTACACAACAATGCACTACAGAAAGAAGTCGGGCCAGCAACATATAAAAAACAGCATTTTTTGTACTTCAACCAATGTAACATCAAGACACAGAAGTGCATTATGAAGGTTTTATTGTTTAATGCGTTGTAGCGAGCCTTCAACACGCTCACCTGATGAGAAGATATCCTCATCAGATCTCAAGTAGGTTGCACTGCTGATGGAGAATGAACTTGCGTCTGGAAAAAAATGCAGAAATTAAGAAAACGCAAATAAACGCCACCACCAACGTCACGGTGGCTTATCACTGCTGTATTTTAGTCCTCACCTCAAAATTAAAAATTGTAAAATTGTTGAAAACGTGGAAGGTAACAGCAGATAGAGGAATGTACGGGCCAAATTGAGTTAACTTTCAAGACCAGTTGAAAAAAAAAGAGTTTCCGTTCTGCAAGGAAAACGAGAAATGGGACCTAGCTTTTTCAAATAGAAAAACAACATTCCTTTTTGAAAAAGACAACCCAAAATTCCAAAAAAAAAAAATTGTTTGCATTTTTGAAAATTAAGATATATAGTTGCATGAATTGTAAGCAGATATTGGAGTTTAGGTCATTTTCCACTTACCACTGACGACTACAACACCTAAAAACAAGCAGCCAACGAGATAAGTAATTCTAGAGACCAACATCATTCCACAATCCAACAACTACGTCCGGTACGTGTACTTGAAATCACGCTAATGCTCAACACTTAGAAGTCGGTCACACTGCTTCGTATGACCACAGCAAAGGGGTCTGCACTTCTGAACCGTTACTCTGATGGTAAGTGTTGGCGCTTGCGTTTTTGTGCCCCCGCTGATTAAACATGAATTGTCAACATTTCGTTTCTGCTGGGGCGGTATTAATAACTAGGATGGGCTAATGATTTAATTAATAGTTGATAAGGTGATATTTCGGTCCATGTAAACATAATTCTGCTACATATGCCGTTATCAAACCAACTGTGGAGTTGTTTACAAGAGCGAATGTTTAGATCGAGCCACCATCAGTCCAAGTCGCGGTATCTTCGTTCAAGTAGGGGCGAACAGTAGTCATGGACGCCTTGTAATATTGTTTAATTAATTCAAAACTAATTTATCACATAAGCTCTAGAGAAAGGTTAAGCACTATTGATTTTATATTGATAAATAATTACATGTAGATAATAAGATAATAAGCTGTAAAAGCATTCCATCTACAAGCAGCAAATTTGGAAGAAAAAATCAGTAAATTTTCACCACCAAAAGTGGAAGTATTACGGCTGTCCAAATATCCAATACAAACAACATGATCTCAAAATGTACGGTCCCCTCTTTATGCCACATTTCGAATATTTCCAAATATTTTCTGAAAATGTCCAGCATCAAAATAGGTTAAAAAAAATCACAATATGGGCATTTTGGTTCAACTCTAAAGTGACATTTAATTCGTGTCATTGAACACCTTTACAAAGAAATGAAACAACCTCAATTGTCACAAGCGCTTAAAAATTTAAACCGAAAACCATTTTATACAAACCAAAACTGCACTTCAATTGTTAGTATGGTGTTTATTCACAAACAGACCTCTATTAAGACTTCATTTAAAATATAAACTATTATTTCTGGATAACCAGAATCCATCATGTGCACTATTCCTTTCTTTATAATAGAACTCTGTACACGAGGTAAACCATCTGTGCTACCTATAAACACACGCTGCTGTGTTGCGGCGAGACAGACAAAAATGCAACTAGGAACTGCTTACGTTTGATAGTTTCAATTTTAATATCTCAGAAAGTAAACAAAAAAACATCAATTGAGTTGAGCTGAGTTTGCATTTGACACCAAGACTTGGAATGTTTTACCCAGTGGAGTTCTTACTGCTGGGGCGATTTTAAGACAATGTTTATTGCTATTGGAAAATCATATATATTCTATATGACTTGCAAAATGGAAAACACTGTTTATGAATCCAGTTATTCATTAATCAAAAACCAGTCCCTTGACTTTTTGCCAATCAAACTTTATGGAGGCTGCTATGGATCCAGAAAGTGGGGGGGGGGTCCGGCTAGAGGGGGAAATTTTTAGCATTTTTTAAGTAATATTGTATGATCTTTCGGAGGGGAAAGTTAACTGTTGGGCTTTTTACGTGTGTTGGAATGGAACAGAAATGAGACTGCCCTCAATGACTTTTCTTTGATCGATAAAATCAAAAAGAAAATTAGTCCGAGGGGAAAGCCCCTCTCCCCTCCCCCACTTGGAATTGGCTGGAGACTGAAGAATCGAATGAAATGGAAATCTTTGAAAATGGAAAGACAGCCCTTATCCTCCTAGCTCAATCAGCTTTCAACCAGCCTCCCGATCATCCTTCTCGAGCAAAAGACTTCTAGTGAGGAACAAAAAAGTTTACAGATCCATCCACAATAATATCACGGAAAATCAGAAGACAAAATTATAAATAACCGTGTAACAATTCAATTACCTCAAAAAGAAACTTGACCAACTACAACCTAAACTAAATTATGAGCTTGTAGACAGAATTTCGCGACGGTGCATCATGCATGAACTTAGTGCTCACCGCACTGCTATGCAATTTTGTTGGACGTGGATCCAGGGGAATGGCATGTGTTTCTAGTATCTATACAAAACGGGGCCCCATTGGAGATGCCATCAAACTTGAAAAATAGGGCATTTGGGTGGTAACTACTGTCCTCAGACTATACCAGCCGACAGCAACAGAGAAAATTGGGGAAAATGATCAGGAGTCTCCCTAAAAAAAAGGGGGTAAATGGGTGTGCCCCCTATGGATCCACTGCAGTTCGTGAAGCCACTGAGACGCAATCATGTCGTGAAACGTCTGTCAACAAACTTTTCTGCGTTCATGGCTATCGGTAAAGAAACAAACTAGTGACACTGAGCGGGCAGTCAGAACGACTTGACCCGGCCTCTCACAAAAATAAAACCAATCAAAATTTACTGTATACTCTGTGATCAATGCTATATGTACATGTAATTGGCACATTCGTTATACTCTGAATTCTCCTCAACCCTACACCAACTTCCACCTCCGCAATAAAATCACCGAGGACAACATTGCACTAAAATGGTGACAATAATTGGGACGAGGAAAACACCTCATCATGAACAATCTATTCTTATTTTTTTCCATTAAAATCTAAATGTTGATTTCCCAAAACTTTGGTCACCCAAACAACCTTTACGTTTTGCCAGGCGTACATGAAATAAAGTTTTTATATAAAGTGATAATGTATACATGTATTGTACATGCAGAAATATCCCCCCCCCTTTTGGAGAGGGTTCCCTTGATTTAGTTACTGTGACTCAAATCCATCACACACCTTGACGAAAAATCCTTTACACTCTCTCAATGTCAAAGGAAACAAAGAAGTCGAAATAAACCTCACGGCACATTGGCACAGTTTAGAGAGAGCATGAAAAGAAATTGAAATTGTATGAATGTTTAAAGATTTATTTTTTGGTAAAGAGCTTCCATGATTTTACTTGAAAAATGGCAACCATCAATGAACAACACAAAAGAATTCATTGCTTTGGATAGTATGGGCTGATAGCCCTTTAAAGAGACAATGAATGAAAGTACCCGTGGAAAATTTCAATTCAAATGGGCATCTGATTTGTTGTTTGGTTTTTTTAGTAATTCACAGATCATGCCCTCATGTGCATCGGACAGAGTGATTCAAGCAGATGTCAACAACAAACAGAAGATATCTTTTGTTCACCTATCGGTTTTAACAAGCTGGGTCAAAATGGCCGCAAGGCAAGACACTGAAGACTCGGTGAAATAAATAAAAAAAAAACGGCACTTACTACGATGTTAGTATCAAGAACATGTAAAGAATTTCACACTGTGCCTCTTAACGATTTAAAGTTATCCCAGTGGTTTTTTCTTTTGAATAATGTTAGTATTTATGGTATATTACAGAAGAAGCTGTTTTACAGTGAAAGTTAGGGTATGGATAGGAAAGTGTACAAAATGCATGAAAATAAAAAAGTGAGGTGTTGGAAAGTTGAATGAATACATGTACATAGCAGAGGTCCACAAACCCATGCATTCCCTGAGCTGAGATTATAGGCAAAAAATTTGCTGACAATGTAAGATGTAAAACTGGAAAATCAGGAAATGCAAGGAATTTCTAGGCTCCATTCTTATTTCAATATTACTCCATATTTTGGTGTTACTTTGATGTTGCTGATATAAATCTCTGGACATATTGAAACTTCGAAAATTTCAATACTGAGGGATGATATAAAAAATAATGAAAGGACATCAGGGTGTACTCAAAACATTGTTGTGAGCATTTTGTACGTGAGGGATAATCAATATACGAATTCCTGTTACTGGGTATTGGCAAATCTGGCATCAACAGTCCCTAGGAAATTTTGAAACTGCATAAGAATTTGTACTTTTTTTCAATATGAGAGAGTAAAAACAGATGATGATATCACAGCTATCTAAAGACAAGCTGATAGGCAGCCACTCGGTATCCTTCAAGAGTGACATCCTAACATGTGGACCAATAAGATGAGAGCTTTTCCTCCCTAGGCTGGTCCCAGACCCCCTCCTTCTGTGGTCTAGAATATTATGGGGGACAAGCAGCCAGCATACACGTACCTCACATCATTGAAATAAAAAAAAAACCAACCAGTCCTGAATTCGCCTTGTCATCCTGAACAAAGTTAATGTCAAGGTACACTGACTATCCATTTGCCTTTCGACGCCAGTCAGGTTACACAGTGCCACCTTTAGTCAGCACAGAGACCAGTTACGAGTGTCCAACTGCTCATCACACATCGATGACTTCGGGCTGATCATCAAGGATACCGAGCCCATTCCCGACGGCCCTCTCCTGTGACGGTCTGGTGGGACCCGGAGACGTGGATATGCCCTTCTCGATGTCCACCACTGGGGTGACCAACGACAGACTGTAACAAACCACAAAGTGCTCAAACCCTTAAAAACTTCAGCTTCTTCTCAACCCTCAACCTGATCCTTTTTCTAACCCATTACTTCACTCTTTTCAAAGCCCTCTGCCCCGCTCTACTTGCAAGGTATCCTGACCCTATCTGCCCTGAGCGGGACCAAAAGAGGGAGCACATTTTCCTAGCACTGGAGGCTCGATTGGTGGAAACTGCACTTCACTGGTTCACCAACGACTGCCAAGTGCATGCCTTATGGTCACATCACTACCAACAAAATGAACACTCCGCAATATGGCTCTTTTCACCCAAAGAGGGGGCGTTTTGCTCAATGTGGATTTCCGACTCCTTACATGCCTAATCATTTTGAGACTTGGCACGCATCATCATCAGGACAACATAAAAGTTTCAATCAATTATGACATATGGTTTTGATTTGGCAGTCATTTCAGGTTCACGACCTCAAACGTGTCAGCCTGCTGCAGTGAGCATCAATGGAAAAAGTACAGATTTTTGGCTGATCTGAAAAATGCACATTGCATGAGAACAGCATCTCCAATTTTCACAAAACTGGTGTCCAAATGACTGCAAGATGTTACTGGTTACTTATTAAGGCTTAATGTGTGAAATACAATGCCCAGTGATGACATAACAGAAGATATGGAGGGCGTGGTCTGCCCCTACCACTTCTTTTAGAGCTCACCTGATCCCATTTCCCAACCAGTAATGTTGTCTGTTTTTCAACCCAATTCCTAATCTTACTTCCAAACACCACCATTATCATATATCTGAACTTCATTTGACTGTCTCTACAACTTCAATCCTGATGCTGTTTCTAACCTTAACCTAACCCCTTTTCAAAACTTCACCTGATTCTATTTTCAACCCTTAATTAGGCTTTTTAAGCCTGACCCAACTACCAACTCTTTACTGGACCCACTCTGAACCTTAACCCCAAACTTTTTTCTCATTCTGAAATCTGACCCAACTCAACGTCAGTGGTCAAAATTTTAAAGTGACAATTTTACCGATAAAGCCACCACTGCATACATGTCGCCAGCAACAACAGCACTACACAGAATTTGAAGATAGTAATCATACCTAAATTCTGCAAAGCAAAAAGGGAAGAAAAAAAAATGCAAAACCGTGTAAACTCGAAAGCAAATAAGCTCAACTAAAAATGACAGTCAGGGTCTCTGCCGAGGTGCTGCTGCTGGTAATTGGGTAATTCCAGAAATTAGGGGTCCAGAAATGTGACATTGTCCCTGATGTATCTTTACTTTTTTTATTTGACATGGAAATATCATTGGAATTGATTTCAAACTATTACTATTTGTTTAGCAGGTAATTTGAATTGATTCATCACCGTTGGAAATGGAAAAATGTGTTCTGAAATTACAAAATCATATGTCAGATTTGACAGGGACACCTAATTTCTGGAAATACCCACCTCTAAAAGGTAGTTCTTTAATTCCTTACTTTTTGTGGAGTTTTGGTTGTCAGCAGATCTGCCCAACATTCTAAGCCATGACATGTCTATACTTATTGGTCTTCATTTGACAAGAGTTCGGTGAATTTGAACCAAAGGACTGAGTTCTCATTTTGTAACCAGCTCTCAAGAAAACAGACAATTCTTGGCTTATTCCTTGCACTTAAGCATCAAAACTTTACCATAGAGTCTTGTTAACTCTAGTTTTTAATTTTAAGGAAGAAATTTCGATTTACATAAATAACTCTTTAACCCAACTGGCTTATTTGGAAAAACCCTAGAGGGTACTTATCTCAAGTAATTCTTGAAAATTTCACAAGATACCCCGACAATCTTAGTTTTGATTTCCATGGTATTTAGCTTCGGAATGGATTTGCAGACTTGTCCAAACGGTATATCAGTATTTTAGAGAATGGACGACACGACAAGAAATGAACAATTCACCTGAAGAAGGATAAAAATGACTATCAAATTCAAGGGAATCCGAAAGAAATTCATGATGGTCGATCGGGCTGCCAAAAGAAAACAAAAACAAAACAGAATTAAGGAGTGGCTACTCATTTTGGACTCATGAAAAAAATGGGAGCATTGTACACAGTGTAAAAAGGTCTGTCACGATGCCATCTAGGCACAATGCGAATCCCAAATGAACCATTCAACAAGATATGATGACAATCACTAACACACAAGTCTATGTCTTTGTCTTGGAAAAGAAAAACTCAAATAAAGTCTCAAAACTAGCGTCCATTTGTAACTGATGTATCTGGAATTCTTCAAGGAAATCTGTGACTTCTCACGACAAAATGAGATGAAAGTCAGAATTTTCAACGTCTGAGATATTGGTATTTTAATTCAGTAGCAAAAGAGTTTCCAATGTATCTATATGCAACACTTGGGGTAAAAGTACAAGGTGACAACATGACATTAATCTGGCAGCTTTGCGTCTTTGTTTCCAACCTTGTTTTAACATTTCTGACCAGGTACGAATAATGCTGTCCTCAAAATTGACGGGAAAAAAAATTTTGAGGATTAACCACTTGCTGTCGGGTGCATTTGGAAATGCAGTGTCTAATGCCGGGCGATTTTTCGATATCTTTGGTTTTCAAAAATCTTCCAAAATTCATATTTTCTTTTCCTGAACACCTAAACGCCATCAAGTGACTGTCTGGTGGCTACTCTAATCTGACAGACAACATCTATTGACACTGGAGTATTTCAGCCAGGCCTGCCGCCTTGTAAAATGAGCCCAGATTGTGTGGTGTCATGTCTTCTTTTGTTCCCGAAACTGGCACAGTGCGCTGCTGGCGTCTTTTCAAATGTGGACCTGATTAGCATGCAGTGGTATTGTATCGCTCTTCCCTGGAGCGCTGAAGCGCTTTTGTCCCTGGTGGTAAACCGCTCATGCTGAATGCCACAAACAGTTGTAAAATTTTTCAAAACAATGACGGACTCCTGCGCTATTGACAACTGAATAAATGTTGACAATTCCCAGCAGCCCAGTCTTTTCTTCCGGGTACAATGTTTTGTTACAAGACCCAACTCTCTTGTCCGATTTCGGGCAGCCCGGCTTTGGGTAGAAAGAAAACGTACCCAAAACCGGGCTCCCCGGCGGCAAGTGGTTAAATAGGAGACGCGTTACTCTTTCCAAATATTACAAACCCCCAAATTGATCTCCAATTCAATATTCGACTTTAAACCGTCAAAATAGGAAAGAGCAGAATGTTGTGATGGGTCATATCTGTGGAATTATAACAGCTGCAAGACTGTACATGTGTATAATCTCCAGAAAATTAGTTCCAGCGGATGTGCATGTAGGCTACACGAGTAATATTCCAAAAGAATTTTACCTTCCTCGGGCACATATCTCCCCCTCATCGTACCCAGCGACGGCCAGAAGATACCCACGCAGCACTCAAACACTAAGAAGCCAATGAAGATTGCAGACTGGCTCTGAAAAACACAACAATAGAAGAACAGACTGACCAACGGCTTGCATCAAAAGCAACAGAGCGTGACGTTGACTAGTACACGATATAGTCATATTTTGGACTAAAAAAAAAAATCCACTCCACCAGCTCCCCCCCCTCCTAACAGTCCGATACATCCAATAGAAGCTCACACTTCAAGATACTATTTAATTCATTCGTTATGCAAGACAACACCACTCAAGTTTGTCCAATCAGCAACTGATATGATCATAGGTCTTCAACCTTCGGCAAAAGGAAAGCACAGCACACATGCATGTACAGTTCACTGCCTGCCCCCAGCACATACCAGACCATGCAGACTGGTTAGGCTTAAGTACATTAGCACATGTACATGTAGTTAAGCTATTCTACGTATATTACTGTACTAAAAAAACAGTGTATGATGCGCAGTTTGCAAATAGCTCATATTTGAATCTGCCTGTCTTTCCTGGGTTAATATTTTGACCAATTCTCCCTTAAATACTGCGATTTGTGATGGATATAAATGTACATCATAAGTAAACCTTGGAGATTCCACCTTTTTTGAGTAAACTCCACAAATCGAGGCCGTGAAATTGTTGTAGGGCCTTGTCTAAGTACCCCACAAGGACAACAAATGTTCCTTGTGCTTCTGGTACCCCTCATGGCACCATAAACCCATGTACAGGGACAAAGGAAATATCCCACAAGAATAAATATGCAAGGGTGGGTGCATGTGTGAGTAACTGCAATCCCAAAACTATGGGAAACCACATTTTCAAGGGTTGTAGACATAGTATGGTCAGCTGACACCTATCAGTCAATTAACAGCCGTCAACCGATTTCTGCTCGAAATGATGTCAAAGTTTCTGTGTTGAATCTTGCATCCTCAAAAATGGATTAGACTCGAGCTCACCGATGGCATGATCACTGGAACGCACAGTGCTAATGCTGAGACCAACAGGACAGGCCTCATGAAAGATTCCACGGTTAAGTAGCGGCCGGCTATCTTGAAACCAGAGGAACCAATCATGATAGCTACCTGCACGTTAACAAAAGGATAGGTTGAAAACACATAAATCCCAATTTCTGTAAAACTCAAGAGCTGGCATCGTACAAATGTACAGGAACAAAACTTTGTAAAGCCTTGGCAATGAAATCTGAAATATTTCTGCTGTGTAATGAACGAATGGAAAATTGAATTAAATGAGTGCAATACGGGACTGTAATTATGGCAATGTTACGTAAATGACTACATGTCCATTAAATCCAAAACCTCTGCATGAAAATCCACTGAAATTTAAGTAAATCTTAATCAGGTATAACTTTGGTACATGTATGTCGGTTAAAACTTAATCCTTTTAGTTTCAACAGTTTTGACTGCCTAGAATTATACACATAAGGGGGAGAATGTATGTTTAATTTGAAAAACATTAAGATAACTTTCCCACACTGTTTAAACATTTAGCCAACAATTAACGGAGACCGCCACCTACCTCAGTGTTTTCATATAGACGCATTGTTATAATTATAGTTTAACAATGCACATGGTCCAACCAACATGACCAATATAAAAATATAGATTGATGTTGGGGTGTTTAAAACAAGCAATGTTACTGTTTTAGAAATCCACTTTATTTCTCAAAATAAAAAAAGTGTCATGGATGCCAAAGGGAAAAAAACAGTATGTAACAGGCATCATTTATAATAAAAAAGGAACATCAGACTCCATTCATCAAAACGCCAAACCTCTTAAAGGGGCAGTTCCATTTAATCGTTTGGAAAATCTGTAAATGTATTTAGAACTTTTTTCATTTGAACATGTACATGTCCCACTCTTACATGTATTTAAACAGCTGTGTGGATTCACCAATGTACAGCAGTGTCTGGCTGTGTACATATACTGACTGCATGAAATTTGGATAGAGGTACTGATATTAATCAATACTTAAGCTAGCCTGGGCCCAATAAAAAACCTTTACAAAATTTATGAAAAAAAAACACCTGAGCTATAAGATTTTCCATTTTATACTGCACTCCAAGGAGGTTGTACAAAAAGGAGAATTACTGGAGAAAAGTGAGAAATGTTTATTCATAAAGATGGTGACTCAATTTAAAATATTAAGGACTACATGCATCAAATCAGACTTGTTAATAAGCTGATCATCAGTCAGGTCACATGTAGGTAGACTGCATGCCTGTGTTACTCTCAAAACTCAAGGGTGCGAGGAAATGTACATGCAGTAGCCTTGACTAAGAACAGAACAGAGCATCTGGCATTCGGATATCTTGAGATAACCATGCAATGTTAGCGTATACTCCCAGCCTGACTGAGTGTATCCCTTCCCCCGATTACTCATGGTTTGTACTCCTGCCGAGTGCGTGCTCAGAAATGTGGTTGTTCCAGCGCAAGTAAAGTGCTCAAACGCAGCTGTAAAGTTCAAGACTGTGCCGTAGTGCAGCCAAAAGGCCAGGCACAAGTCAAGTCACGAGACGGAAAAATCATATATGACAGGGGAATTGATGACAAGGGAAAGCTTTTCTCAACAATTTATTTGTACGGCTTGTGGTGTGGCCGAGGTATAGATGACCTGTGATGGACTTATAATGACCTTGCAGGGAGTGTTGATGGACAAGACTACGGCCCCAGCAAGGGGCCAAGCGAGGGACTGACAGAAATGCCTTTGACACGGTCTAAGCACAGCCTTGGATTTGCTCAACCCCGACTCACCATGAACGCGGCAAATATGAAGCCATGGGGGATGACCTCCTTGGGCCTGCCTGGGTCCGTCTGCACCTGAGACTGACTGAGGGCTGGCGTCCACTCCAAGACAAACGTGTACATGGCTCCCTCGAATAAAGACTGGATCAGACCGAGGCACAAGACTTTGCGATCTGAGGAAGCAAGCTACTACGTGTTTCAAGAGCTAGGAAGTACACGTTCAACACTGCTGAAGAGTTCAATCAAATTTGCTGATTACATGAAAGAATATGAAAAATTTTTTGGGTTCGGCTTTTGACTGACTCAAATACATCTGAGAAGAAACATAGATTAAGAATGGAGAAATAGAATTTGACATGTAGAGGGCCTTTCAAAAAAGTTGCACATCTTTATTAGTCAACTGATACCTTGTGCTAAGAGAGTCACGGCAGTGACTGTAACAAAGATCAGTACTTGTGCAAACATGATCATGGCAACCATACAGGAAGACAAACTGATGTACCACAAACCAAGCTATCAAAATACATGTACACATACATCATGCAATGAACCATCCAGGGGTTTGCACTTGATGTCACAGCTCCCGCGGGTGCCATCTTGGTGCCAGACTTTTCTGTAATTTCTGTATGTATTATGATAGATCTTTGGGCAGCATCTCAAAACATGAAACGTTCCTAGTCTTTAGAGAATCTTCCTCCTGGGAGACAGAATGATCCTGCTTGGGAAACAAGAGTATTTCCAGAGTGTCCCCAGCTAGAAAAAGCAACTTACCCATATCTGAGATGGTATAAGCTTGAAGGAGCTATAGCAAAAGTAACAATCACATTTACAAGGGTACGTTTGGAATGTGGTAATTGGTTCCTTGCACTTGGTACTCGGTGACTATTCCTTTCACATGGCATGAAATTTTGAGAAATCCTTGAAAATGTTGAGCCCTTAACCAGTGGAGGGGGGAAAGGAATAGGATTTGGATGTATCTGACCTGCTTTTATGTAATATAAGGCAGTTTTGAAGGACGTTCCAAGACTGGCTTTGGAGTCACCGTAGTTCTCGGACCACACCATCATGACTAGAATGACCATGGCAATAAGGACAAACATGGACACATCGAAGGGCGACCTGTAATGACAAGCATAATGTACACATCTCGCCAGTCAAGTGTAATACAGAGCATGATGGCAACCCAAAAAACTTGAACGACTAGTTTTGGAAAAACAAAATTTATGCTTGTTAGTTTACAAAAACTGTAGTTGCGTAGTTTTGATCAATAGGACAATAAGAACATCCGACAAAAAGATCAGCAGTGCAAGTTATTTCCTCAAATAACTGTACAAGAAACAATGCATGTTGGTCACAACAGTTGCCGGAGATGAAACATACCGACTAAAAATTTGTCCAATTTGGCAAATGTAGGATACCTTTAATGTGTAAGTTTCAAATGGTGAGACGCATGAACTACAACCGACAGATGCCAATGGGTTTTACTCACAAGATGGCCATTTAG